GAAGCAGAACACACAAGCTCCGATGTTGCTCACAAACTGCCATCTGTTTGTAAGCACCACTTAGATCAAGGCATCGGCCACTCCACTCTCTAGGTACGACTCCCGGCTTTCCCACGACGCGCTTTGCAATTTCCATAGCCAAAGAGATGCAAAAGTCACCGTCCTGTAACTTTAGCTTCATGGTGCTGGTGAAAGTGCTGTTCAAGTCGGAATCGCAGGCGTCGTCAATCGGCCTCAGTTTGCCTCCTTGTCGAACGCCGAATCTTCGCATCAAACTCCAATCCGACCTCCCCAAGTGCTCTGAAACTTCCTTTTCACTGCTGAAAGGCCCCTGAAGCCATCCAGCCTTTGCCTCGTCCATAGTCACCTTCAGCAAATCGCGTTCGAGCTCGGGGTCGGAGACACGATTTTCCAGAAGTAACGCTGCTCGTTTCAAGGGAGCCACTTGACGGAGTTCCGCTTCGGTAGACGTAGCAGATTTCACTTTGACATCAAAGGCCGCAGGGCATTCGGACACACCCGACAACCTCACCCCCGACTTTAGAAGCTCGATCGCCTCCATGTCGTCAAAGTTGTGCTGTCTCAACAATGACTCCAGAAGTAAGATCCTCTTGCCTTGCATCACAGTCTGCATCCACGATGGCATAGCTGAGTGAAGCTTGCTCTCGTCTTGTTCCAACTTTTTGGCAAGGATCTCTGCCTTCATCAGTGCGAGTTTTCGACGAAGAAAAAGGGCCCGGCGATCAGCAACCATGTTGGCCTCAAGGGAAGCCTTCAGCCCCTTTGGGAGTTCGTTCTCGGAGTCAAGAGGGTGGTACACTTTCTTGGCAGCCTGGAACCACTCACTAGGATCTCTGTAGAAACCAACCTGGCAATCCTCACCCCTATCCAGACCAAGCCCCTCACTGTCTGGAGAAGTTTCAGGAAGAACTTCGGCGGCCTCCCCCGAATCACCCCCTTGCACGGGAGGCGCGCCGAGGACCTTGCAACCGGAGGAGGGAATTTGGCCGCGCGGCATGATGCGCACGAACTTGTATTCGGAAACCAAGGGCTTATGCTTACGGGTTTGGCGACCCACGGCGGACAGAGACTGCAAACGAGGGTCGGGGGCTTCCGGCTGGCCAGGGGAAACGTCGCAAGCAGACGCAAAGCAGGCGGCCCATCGAGCCGCCAACACACCAGGATACTGGGCCTCGAGATGAGTGGACCAAACCCAACCTCCAGCGCGCCAGCTGACGCCCCAAGGTTCATGCACATGACGGCCGCTGCAACGGGCACGAAGGCAGCCAAAGGCATCCCGATTGCTGAGCAGCTTGGTGGACTTTGGGCGAGCACCACCGTGCTCACAAGCGTCGAAGAGGATCTCATGCAAGTCATCAAAGCCAGCACACTCCAGAACCACGAGTTCGTGGGGTTTTCGAGAGTGAAGACACAGTCGTGCTCAGCGCACCAAAGCAGGACATGAAAGACCAGGTCATAAAGACGATTGGCGGCGGCCAAGCGCAAACCATCATCGCTTGCAGGGTCAATGTGAGGCAAGCCGAGGGGAAAGTCGGCGCTCCGAAGCGGCCGAGGGTCACGGAGGCCGAGGGCTCGTAACTTTGCCGGCAAGGGCCGCTCACGGGCCCGAGAAGAGGCGCCACAAGGGGGGCCCAGATGCACCGCGGCAGGCTTTTTGTCACTCAACAAGCGAAACAAGGCATCGCGGCCCAGACTGGAAGCAAGGTCAAGGCGAACCGTGGGAACCTGAGGGCGCCGGGGGCAGTTGTCAACGGCAACGGCGGCTCGAGCCAGGTTTGCAGAGCCGGAAAACACCTCGAGAAAGAGCTTGGGTGGGCCAGGGATGGGCAAGGCGGACGGGGAGGGTAGGCGAAAGCCAAGTGAGCGTAGCCAGTCACGGTCGGGAGGGGGAAGCTTAGGACTATCCCTGGGGGTGAAGGCAATCAACACAACCCTGCGGCCCTGCCAAGGCAAAACAGCATGGCGGTTCACGGCGGCATGAAGCAAGACTGGCTCTGCGGATACCTCATGCAGACGCCCCCAGAAAGTGCCAGAAGCGTCTTCAAAGCGGTCAGCCCCGCCTTCGCATTCTTCCCAGATTTGGCCATTGCGAAACCGGGTCAAGGGGATGACAAGATTCCAGGAGGAGCGGTCGTTATTGCAGTCCACGTGAAGTGGGCTTTGAACATCATCAAGCAAGACTAAGCTGGAAAAGGTGTGATGAGGATTCACTTGGTGAACATAGCGGCAAAAGAGAGCGGCGCTCTTTGGAAAAGACTTAGTGTCAGTACGAATTCCGATCTGGGACCCGAACACCCAGGCACCGCAACCAAAGCTCCGGTGATGGAAGGCATCTCGTTTAGATGGATTCCTGGGCAACAAGTCGAAAACTCTCAAAACATCAAGGGCCGCCAAGGTTGGCTTGCGAAGCAGTTGCTCGGCAAGGGCTTCGGGACCTAAACCAACGGAGTTGGCCTCAAAAGGCACGGGCGTGACACAATGCGGAGAGAGCGGCGCAGGCTCCGGGAGCAGGATGGAGCCCCCCGCCCGGAGTCAAGATCCCTTAGTGCACAGATGGCCAGGGTGGTCGCCACCACACCCGGCTCTCCAACAGATGTGGAAACCACGGCCGCAACGGTTCTTGGAGTTGACTCGAAAGCGGCACCTTCCTTGATTAAAGGCAAAACATACAGGCTTGTCGTTCACGCGGCTCACACAGCCTTCGGGCACCGTGAACTCCTTGCGACCCTCACCTTTAGACGACTTGCCCTTACCCCTACCTCTCCCTTTATCGCCCTTCTCACCCCCTTTGGGGTCATCCCATTTGCGCTTGCCTGGCCAGGGTGCAGAAGGAGGAGGAGTAGGGAGAGCATTTAGGTACTGCAAAACCTCTTGGGACTCGGACAACAGCTTGATTTGGGTCTCCAAAGGCTTCTCGCGGCCGGGCTCGCCGGCGAGTTTTCCAAGGAGGGCATGCGAGGCCAACGTGAACAGGTGCCGGTCGGCAGCGATGAGTTGATGAGTGGTTACCTTGGAATAACCACTGGGCACAGGCCTCATCAAAGCAAGGAAGCATTTGTGACACCACTCCTCAAGAACCTGAAAGCTGCAGAGACCCGCAAGATCATAGGCCAGCGAACGACGAGTCCAAGCATTGCGCAGAGCCAAGTCAGTGTGCGTGTCACAAGTGGCGGACTCAGCCTTGCTAGCCATTTTCAGGTTCCCTTCGCCATCTACCACCACCTGCTGGTCTTTCTTCAACTGCTGAGCTTCTTGGGCACAGCTGATGATGCGATATGCTGGCAAGTACTGAAGGACTCCATCCTCCAGTTGTTTGACGAGAGTATCCACGACAGAATGGGCAGGCAAGGTTTCGGGTGAAAGAATGAGGCCCGTGACCCGCTTCTTCAAGGCTTCCTGGCGAGCCAATCGCTCCGCATTTGGCATAGCACGAACCACCGCTGTGTCAGCGGCAGGCTCCACGCGTGCCCTCATGTCAGCCACGCTCAGGTTCTCAGGTTCTGGGCTTCAAACATCAAACGTCTCACCTATAGAGGACTGATCAGGTGGGAAGTCATGGGGGAAAATGCTTCCCATCCAACGCTTCACATCGGCTTCATCTAGTTGCGTCGGTGTGGTTGACACAGCAAAGGCCAAGGTCCCGAAGCTCTTGAAGCCCGCATCGACAAGGGTGCGAATGGTGGATTCGCTCAATTTGACTTTCTGGCATCTCTCCAAAAACCAGGCCTCGCTGTCCACCGCGATTCCTGCCATGGCTCGAATCCTAGCAAGTCGGGACAACCTCGCTCCTTGTCGGGTTGAAGCCCAAAGCTCGACTTCGGACAAGATGGGTATTGCAACACAGTCAAACGTGTCCGCGGTTTCCCAGAGCAGAACCCCATGCTTTTATCATGACTGCGATTCCGAAGTGCTCTGACGGTGAATGAAGCCTCGGCTCCCGCAGCTGGGTGATTCTCGATAAAGATTTCGAGTCAGCTGGAGTAGGCATCAGATGTTCTCCCTCAAAGATCTCGACTTGCGTTCGAGTGGGAGCGACATCACCGATTGTCAGACTTCGGTGCGACGCCTGAGATTGGCTGAAGGATCTATCGTCTGTGCTGTTCACAAGGACAAATGCACTCGTTTTCCTTCAAGATTTCGATCACTCTGCAGCCTCCAAAATGTGCCGGCATTGTTTACAGGGGTCGGGGTCCTCAAAGTACACCCCCGCCTCACTGAAAGGAATATGGTTCCTCGAGAGAGGTCGGCCACACCACAAGTTGGCTTGATCCTTCAAACAATGCGTTATGCCGGACACAGTGTGCACTACAAGAGATTCCTCGGAAACATTTGGCCCAAAAGGGGCCCTCACTAAGCCTCCCCCGCCGCGGCCTGGAGCCTCAGAAGCTTCAGAGCTTTGTGAAGAAGGGGGGTCCTCGAACTCGTCAAAATCGTGTCGTGGAACAGGCGCCTCGGGTTCCGTAGCAATGACGTCATGGGCGGCACTAGGCCTCTCCGCTGCAGCCACTTGCACCACCCGATCAACGTCAGACAAGTCAGGGTCATAGTCTCCCGCGCGAATGGCCTCGAACATCGCCATGACACGGCCGTACAAAAGGGTGTACTGCTGTCTGGCATAGGTGGCGGGTGATTTCTCCTTCGGAGCAATGTGGTGTCCAAGAAGGCGCTTTTCCGCCCCACTGAATTTTGGGCGAGGACAGCGGCCCGCCCAAGAAGTCAACGTGGCCTTCAAAGAATGTGTCGCCCTCTGCATGGCTTGGTCTTGATCGATTCCCTTCAAAATCAGAAAGTCCTGGAGGTAGCTGGTCGCCTCAACGCTTCCCATCTTGACAGTGCTCCAACGGTTTTGGCTCTCGAGGCGTGACGGCAGCGCAAAATTCTCAAGAGAAAGGCCTTCATGTTCGCGAGCTTTTAGCCAGGCTTTTGCCCAGTTATGGCCAGACAGCCCGCAACCAAGTGCTGCATAAGGTAGCAGCCGGGTTTTTGCCTCCTTGGAGACCGTCGTCTTGGATGTCAAGCCTGAGGCAACAACAAGGATCACGCCGTTGGACTCCTGAATTGAAATCTCCTTAAGGTTCTGTGAGTCGCTCCATCTGTCAGCCGAATGCGTGCAAAACAGCAACTGTCCACAAATGCACGCAAGTACTGGTCCAGTTTCCACGCAAAATGCTTCCAATGCCATCACCATGGGAACAGTCAATTCAGGTTTCTGTTGCAAAGGACGCTTCATCAAATACAGATCCCGGCTTATTCCAAGCACCCGACTGGAAAGGACTGTATCAGGCTCCATATGCAGCAACTTGGCAACCCCGTGCACAAAGCGGAGGCCTTCCACAAAATGCGTCATACTAGTCGGCCTGGCGCCTGAATCACGCAAGAAGTTTGCATACATATATATGGTCGGCTCATCGACTGCCAGAGGGCTGTCTATGCTCTCTGTTGTGCACCAGGAAAAGTACCTCAGGAGGGACCCACCTCGCTTTGAGATTGTCCCGGAAGCTTTGGTCCTGAATGCATCTGAAAAAGTCTTCTTGATGGCCTCCTCGTTTACATCGGCACCGAGTAACGACAGCAAGGACCTTCCCAAGCTACTCACCTCTGGATCCCACAAGATGACCAGCCGCATCTTTTTGAGAGCAGCTGTGCGAATGTCTTCCTCGGACCGCTCCACAGTGATGCGTTTTAGGTACTTGACTGTTGTGGGTGGCACACACCTTCGCTTTGCTTCATCTTCGGATTCCTCTGGATCAAGAAAATCGTTTGCACCAATCACATGCAAGGGGTTCGTTCCTCTTTCCCAGGAAAAACGCAAAGACGAAGATGATTCCCATGAAAATCTCGGCCTGCTCTCAAAACGCTGTTGCGAAGTGGCTTCCACAGCTGCACGCTGGAAGTCGCATAAGATTCTGTCTTCTGGAAGAGGGACCAGAAGAGATGCGTCATCGATCTCCTGAAAAGAATGGCTTGCGACACGCAAAGTGGCACTCAAGAAATCGTCTGTCTCCAAGTCACGACAGGCGTCGTACCAAGCAGCTTCAGAAACTGAGGTAGGTGCACAAGACGAAGGCGGTATGTGTGGGCTGAACACAGGCTCGCTGCCCTGAACCCATTCTGGGTCGACCCAACCCTCTTCGTCCACTGGAACCCCGGGCAAACCCTGAAAAGGCCTACTGCAATCGACCCTGGAGTGACTTCCCAAAGATTCGGTGTCTTCAAGGGCTCCCGACTCACCCCCTTGGAAAGAGCCCTGAAGAGAACGAAGCAGAAACTGGGCTTGCTCGTCGGCTGCACGCAAATCGTACTCGGTTCGGTCCACCACACCTGCTGGGCCGAACAAGAGCCAAGGGTCGAAAGCGTCGGGCTCGGAAGGAGGATTGGACATTCCGCAAGCGGCACCTTAGTCGGACAATTGAAGAAGAAGGCGAGCACACGTATGCGGCCGGCGGCCGGAGCAAGCCAGAGCAAGCCAATGAGGAGGGTTGAGGAACAAAAGGATCCTGGATCCTTCTCTTGTACTGACCAGCACGCCACAGAAAGAGCTTTCGATGACGTACGAAAAGAGACTGGGAGGAGCGTCCAGCTGCCGCTGAAGGGAAGCGGTATGAAAGGATCGAGGCCGGATGCAAACCGCCTGGAAAGGCGGGGCTGGCGGCACAACAGGCCAGTCCCAACTGAGGGAGCTGCTCGCAGAGCTCGAGTCGCTGTCCATCCGCCGAGAGCTCACAGGCTCTCGGCTTGCACGACCCCTAAGGGGAGACCAGTAGCACCTCGAACCTCTAGCACGGCACCCTTACAGGATTAGAGGAGGCTCAACGAGGGACGCAAAAATTTTCTCTCAGCCCGAGCTTGAGCAGCTGTTCACATGAATGCGGCCAACTGTTGATTCAAGCATGCTGCAAGTCACACAGTTGAAAATGTCGTTCAAGATGCTGAGGAAAATTCTTTGAAAACTTGAAATAATTTTGCAACTCCCAAAGGTCACAAAAGAACTCTAAAACCCCGCGCTCGAAGGTATAGCGCTACAACTTTAGTTTGAGAGAGAAATGTCAGGCAAGCTGAAATTTTCCTTCTCCTTGATGATCTCGGAGATGGTCGTCACAGTGTAGGGGGCCTTGCGGTCCAGGCACTGCAAAAAATGCTCCTTGAGGTGCTCCTCCAGCGTCCTCCTCTCTGGGCCCTTCTTCTCCTTGCGAAAGCGATTCAAATCGGACTTTGCAGCTGACGTCATGCGGCTTTCCTTGAGCTTCTGCTTCTTCACTGCCCTTGAACTTGCACTCCACAACGTCAACCACGGCTGCTGGCGAGGCACCAGCTTCACGGGGGTCCTCTTTGTCGACGAAGAGCTCGCTGCCTTTGGCATTCTCTTCACGAGAGGCTTCTGGGGCATCTTCTTCACTTTCGGCTTCTTTGGCATGGGCTTCTGCTGGGGGATCTTGGCGGGTCCTGAGGTCTCGATCTCGCCCGGCTTCAACACCACCTGGGACTCGGTCTCCGCGGGCACCAGGAGGATCGCGCCCTCCGTCTCCGTGGACGTAGCTGTGGCCAACCGGGTGCTCTCCTCGAAGTCCTCTTCTCCCACCGAGATTGAGGCCGCTTGAGTCGCAACGACTCTCCGGACCAGCTTCCCTTTGTCTTTCCCTTCCATGCGCCATTCCACTTCGCTCTCGCTGGAGGAGGCCATCTTCTCGGGCTGCGGAAGGTAAACTCAACGACGATAGGACTGGATCTCTCAACGGCAAAGCAAACGCGAACCACAGCACTCTTCTGAACCCCTATGGAAGCACCCGTGGCAGTCACACAGTCTCTACCAACGTGCTCACTCAGGCTCAGCACTTGCACATGCTGCAGTGTCTCCTCGCTGATCAGGTGCGTCGACGCTCCGGAGTCCAGCAACCACCAGTCCATGGCTTCAGAGCTGCTACCATGTGTCACATGCGGGGCTGCCATGCTCATGTCATGAAAATAAAATTCACTCAATCCATGCTCACCAAGCGTCAACGGGGCCTTCTCAAGCTCAACGGGGGTCTCTAGGCTTCCAAGCTGCGACGTTCCGGCTCTGGGGCCTTCTCAAGCTCAACGGGGGTCTCTAGGCTTCCAAGCTGCGACGTTCCAAGCTCAACTGGGGCCTTCTCAAGCTCAACGGGGGTCTCTAGGCTTCCAAGCTGCGACGTTCCAAGCTCAACTGGGGCCTTCTCAAGCTCAACGGGGGTCTCTAGGCTTCCAAGCTGCGATGTTCCAAGCTCAACTGGGGCCTTCTCGAGCTCAACGGGGGTCTCTAGGCTTCCAAGCCGAGGTTCCAAGCTCAACTGGGGGCTCCGAACTCTCCAACAACCACGACCTTCCAAAGGCTTCCCAGTCACCATCGCTCAAGCTCGACTCATTGTCGGAATCTCCCTGAGCGATATCAAAGAACTCGCAACCAATCGCCGCTGCAAACACACGCGGGCCCTCCAAAGTCAAAGCCGCCAACTGCGGTTCTAGAAGCGTCGCTGCTGCCGCCACACCCTTGGCCACTTTCTTAGGGCATCGGTTTGAATAGTGCCCCAATTCATTGCAGTTGTAGCACTTCACGTTGGCACGCTTGTCGTGCTTTGGATCACTACCAGAGCTAACACCGCCCCCTTTTCCAGGGTCTTGAGTAGCGTTTCCCTTTCCACCTTTCTCCCCTTTCTTGTCATGCTTGTCCTTTCCTGAGCGACCTTTGTCCTTTCCCTTGTCCTTCCCTTTGTCCTTTCCTTTATCTTTCCCCTTGTCCTTCCCCTTGTCCTTCCCCTTTCCATCGCCCTTGAAGTTCAGCGGATTCGCTATGTCGTTGTTGTTCCTGCGGTCTCGACCTCGCCCGGAATCGGCGAAGGTAAGGATCTTGATGTTTGCGTCGTAGAACTTGATCGCAGTCTCAAGCTCACTCATGGAGTCAATCTTCGCATGCAACAAGATGTACCTCTTCACATCCGCATCAAGACCTTTCAACACAATCATGCTCTGATCCGCTTCACTCAACGCAAGGTCTGGGAACGCAGCAACAAGTCGACCATACTTTGCAAGCTCAACCTGCACGCTGCGAAACACTTCCAAAGGACGATCCTTCGTAGAGGCAGGGGGTTGGTATCTCAACATCTCTTCTCGCAAGGTCGAGGCTTCTATCCTCGAGCAAACCGACAGATCCTGATGCAAGCGCCTCAACGCCTCATAGCCTGCCGGAACACCAAGCTGTTCACGCTCAACTTGCTTCAAAATGTCAAGCCCACGGGAAAAGTTCGCAAAGGACTGCCGAAGGTAAAGGAACACTCTGGTACTCCTAATGCTCTCTCCTTTCGCCAAGTCTTTGTTCAGGATTGGCTTGTCTTTCACAAAACAAGCCTGCACTTCCGACGGTATCCTATCATCAAACAGGGCAATCCATGGCAAAAACACTTCAAGGTACTCAACCCATGCTTCGATCTCGGCACGCCGACCCTTGTTCATGCGTCCACCATCCAACATGGGCAACTTTGGCACATATGAGTCTGCCTTAGGATTCCTGATAGGAGCGCCGTTCCCATCATCAACCTCCATGGCATGGTCCACGCTGTCACTGATGCTACTCAAGCTACCAGCACCTTTGCCTTTCTTCTCAGCACTTGTCCGGTCCTGGACCAGCTGCTGCACCAGCGACATCATTTGAGATATCTGCTGCTGCTGCTGCTGAACTGTCTGAACCAGAAGCTGGGATCCCAGGGCTGCCTGCACGGCAACGGGGTCCACTGCTGCAGGCGGTGGTGGCACCAAACGCGACATGGGTGAAGCCATTGCCGGTATGGGGGTGCCCATAGCAGTCGGAGAACCAACCACCGGGCTTCCTGTGGGATGCACTGCACCCGACAAGTTCGACATCAACCTGAAAGCAACTCCACTACCGACAACGGGGTTCCTTGGTGGAACTGACGAGTGTCTGGACCCTGAAGGTCTCTTATAGGGAGGCTCAGCCCCTCTCCTGCCTCTCTCACGAAGCATTCTGGGTTCACTCTCACCTATGTGGTAGCATGATGGCCTTCCACGGCCCTCCATACCAAGACAATTCAAGCACACACCAAGTCAGCGTATTGGGCTCACTTTCTTTCTTTGCAACAGAGCTTCCACGCTCCGCTACCACGTTAAAATCCCAAGATGCCAAGCAAGGCACCAAGGACACAACCAAGCCAACTTACACAACTCCAAACCAAGCAAAACAGCTCAGACACTCTGTTTTGGCTTGCAGCACTTACATCAGTGCTCGTCACTTAAGTCAAAATGGAAAACGTATCACAGCTCTCCAACTTGCCAGCTCTTAAAAGACCTCCAAAAGCCCTCGAAACTCGACGAGAGTGGTTCCCTACGCACAGTTCTCGAACTTCTACACACAACTCTCCCTTTGTGGTATCTTGGCCGAATGACAACTCTGGAGAGGCCAATGCGGCGGTGCCGCTTTCTCCAGGTTGCAGGCACGTGAGAATATGCACACTGCCCTGGCAAGAAGCCATCGAACACCTGTGGAGTAACTTGGCCTTTAAAAGTGCCATCATCGCCTATGCTTGGCCTGTGGCGGGCAGGCAGGCCGCCCGCCTGGATGCGACCTGACGGCGTTGCCTGGACAAAAGCTGTGCACCATGGAGACAATGTGAGGCCACCAGTGGCTACATGATGGTGGTTTTGAGAATCTGGTGATGTCGCAATTTGCGATTCCCCCACAAGCTCTGTGCTTCCTTGTGAACCGGAACTTCATTGACATTCGAGCACTGAGTCCGTGGGGTATCTAGTAGTTCAGCGCGATTGCTCGCTTTGTTTCTTTGGTGTTTGTTGGCTGGGTTGGTGTGTCTGACGGATTGTGTGCGCTAACTTTGTTTCTGTGAAAAGCAGAGCTCGCGCAGCTGTCTCTTTTTCACTCCGCACTTGAGCCAAACACCAAAGTGTTCAGCAAGCTTCAGTTCTTGCAGCAAGCTCTCTCCAAGAGCTAAGGGCTCCAAAAAGCTACGAATTCCATCTCAACTTTGTTCTACAAAGGAGGTAAAGCAAAAGAACAATGCAACTGCTTTGGGCTACACCTCGGGGACTTCAGGTCACTTCCGAACAGCAAAACAGCGAAGCTTCAGAGTCCACTCTGCACTCCTACTCCCATCCTACACGTCCAACGGCAACGAACGAAGTGGCGGGGACACGGAGTGAGTTGCAGCAAGACAGAACCTCAGAGTTCTGACACGCACTTCTTCACTACTGCTCTCAAGCAGTTCCAAGTGCTTCAAAACTCATCCTAGGCCATGCCAACAAGACAAAACATGTGTCGCAGTCAACCCAAACATGCTTTAGGGACTTTGGGCAAAACCAAACATGCTCATGTCAAGTCATGCAGCACAAAAACTCTCATGCTTCTCTCTGTACAGTAAAACACCACATGGCACCAACTGGGCAAACATTACAGGTGAATTTTTCTTCTCGGAGCGCGAGGCGCGGCCGCCGAAGCGGCAATTCCTAAAACCGTCCTTGGGTTTTCCACCTTTGGTGGAGGAGCCTAAAACTTCTACCACACTTACTCCTCATTTTGGAGGGTTTGCTCAAGACCTCTTTGGGCCGTTGCCCTACGAGCCCTTCAAGAGGTGCCCTGCTTGTTCCCCCCTAAAGGGTGGGTAAGTGTGGTGGTGGTTGCCGTGTAGGCCCATACTCCCCAAGGTGGGTGAGTGAAAACAGGCAGAGGCCATTCCGGGTTGGCTTGGGGCATCCCTGCCGGGAAGTTGTGCGAACACCACTGCAGAGTGGACGAGGGCCTAAAGAAAGCTGCCGCTACCCTACTCCTCTCTTTGGAGGTAAGCTGGACTACACAGGACTGTACAAGTACAGGCCCTGCAAGAGGTGCCCTGCTCCCCCCTTTTCGGGTGGGTAGGTGTAGCGGTGGGTGCGGCGTGGGCTCCCGCAGGTGGTGTGCACAGGTGGGTTTTGACCCCCTTCCCGGCGGGCTTACGCCTCAAGGTCTTCAATTGAGGCGAAGCACCAGTCCCCGCTACTGTTGACTCCATTGACCGTCATCGGGAGGCACAGGTTCAGCGAGGGACTAGGGATGATGACCCCTTGACGGATCAAAGTCCCAAGAACCTCCTTCCCCCCATCCGTGGCAAGGAGGCGCTGCCTGAAGGCGATGGCGAGTCGCCGTGGGCTCGAATGGTCCGTACGGACGACGCCTCGGGCCCACGCCGCTACCTCGGGGGTGTTGGCTTCGATCCACCTCCACCATGAGGCAATGCGAACGCGTTGGGGAAAACCAAGCGGGGCATCTTGGAATGCCCAACCCCCACAATCAAGAGCCACGATTTCCGCAGGCCCTTGATCGGGCCCGTGTGGATTGGGGGGACGAACCCCCCAATTCTTTCTGTTCAGGTCCCTGACCCAAATGCCAGCACCCACAAGGGCTGTGAGGACCATGAACATGTGCAAGACCTGGAGGTTGGAGGGCTGGTCAGGCAACAGCGTAAGACGCTCAACCTCCAAGACCTCAATCTCCAGGGTCTTAAAGTCACGGATGGTGAGCTGTCCCGTCCCCACCATTCTGGTTTGCGTGGCACATAAACCTGGGAGCCGTTGCCCAATGGTTTGCTCAATCCCATGGTGGCTGGGATCTGCTTTGAGAGCAACCTTCCACACCTTGCCTTCTGAGGTAGGTGAGGTGTACACTGCTCGCGTTCCCCCTATGCCCAGGAGGCTGGAACCCTTGAAGGTTGGGAAACAATCCAACCACAAGGTTGGGCCGAGGTTAGACAGCCAGAAGTCACGGTTGTTGCTACGGCGAACCCGGTCAACCGTGAGGTGGAGGCTGTCTGCCAAGAGAGGCCAAGGTGGAAGAGGTGCCGCCTCTCCTGACGACTCTTCGGAGCTAAACTCCTCGGTTGATTCCTGCTTGACTGGCATGGGGTCAGTGCTTGCCTCTCCCCCCTCGGCAGGTGGGGTTGGGCTCGGCTCGGGTTGGTGCCGCGGTTGGTCGGGTGAGGCTCGTCGAAGCTCTGTTGAGTTCGACGATTGCGAGGGGGACTCCGCAGCTGGTGCTTCTGCATCAGTCTCCTCTTGGCGCGGTGTGCGGCTGCGGCTCGTTGAGGGGCTTCTTGCTGCTGGAGCCCCCCGTCTGACGGGGGGAGGTGTGGGTGGTCTGGCGTGACCCCTTTCCTCTGCCGGGTGTGGGCCTGCTCGGGCGTTCTTGCCTTGCCCCTTGGGAGGTGGCCACAAACCCAGCTGCTTAAGGCGATCTCTGTCCTTCTTGGAAGGCCGCTTGAAGGGGATCTCGCCTTTACCTCCAGGAGGATGGCCCCCTTTGCCTGCTCCGGGAGGTTGGCTCCCCCCCCCTTTACCTTTGCCTTTGCCTTGAGGAGGCTGCGCCCCCTTTCCTTTGCCCTGGCCCCATCCCATATCTACAGGTTCTAAGGTAGCTAAACTGCCCTACGGCTGCTACCTGTGTTTGAGACCAGCGGCTGCAGTGTGGGGATTTTATTCCATACGGGAGGTGAGGGCAGGCAAGTGGAAATCAGGCAGGTGCAAAGGTACTGAAGGGTAGTTTAACACAAGACACTACAAAATGCAGATATCACATTGTTCAGACCTGAAAATCACTATCCATTTCTTGGGCCCCCAAAGAAGGTGGCGACCGACGGCGTACCCTGGGCTGCTTTATTGAGTTTAAGGGCATTCATTGGGGGCCTCTTATTCGGGGCTTGTTGGCAGGGTCTTTCAAGGGGGCCATGGGTTAACCCCCCAACACTTTGAGTGCTACTGCATTTTGTGCACACCCATCGGTTCCCTTCATTCACCATAACGTGGGATGCGTGCCACGTCCATGTTGGGGAGGGAACGCTGTCCGGATGACCCTTGCAGTGGTTATGGGTCTTTCGGTTGAATGTGTCTTTGGTGTCAACTTGTTGAATCCACAAACCGCAATTTTCACATTTGATTTGCAAATTGTTAACGGTGTTCCGGGTGATGACAAAGGTGTGACCTTTAACGTCTAGGGTGCCTTGCACCAAGCCTGTCAAAATTTGTTTTTTGTTAAGGCTCCCTGTTTCTTCAGGTCGTGCTGTGGTAGCGTCACTCCCTGGAATGCCATCCGCCGGATTCACGGTGGGGGAATCCAGGCCTGTGGTGGCTTGGTTGCCCCTCTGAATTTTCCGGCGTTTCTTCCACCGGTTTTTGGAGAAGGTGGATTGGTTTGAGGAGGAGCTACTGGAGGGAGGGTTGGCCGGTTCTTCCTGGGGTTGATCCTTAGGGAAAACAACTTGCGGGCCATCCTTCTTGCCTCCCTCAAGCAAGGAGAGGAGCCGGCGTCCTAAAAAGCTGGCCACATCGGTAGCCAGTTTGTCCTGTTTCTGCAGCCTTTCTGCACGCTCAGTGCTGTAGAGGGCTTTGGCATGTCTGGACACCAATGCATCAACCTCAGCATTGATGTTGCGCCGCCATTCTTGGCCTTCCCCCATTTTTGCCTTAAATTCCTCGCATCCCAAATGGGATGGGACCCATGTAAGGCGAAGCTCATGGGTGGGCGCAGTACCAAAAATGTCTTGGTGTGCTCCTCCCCCTGCGGGGCCCCTCCTGGCACGCGCAACGGCCCCTTTGCAATCACTGGTGACGTCGGTCCCTTCTGGAAGGAGAAGGGCCGCTTGTTGGATGGCTTTAGCCTCCCCTCGGTACACCGACTGCTCATTACCAAGGAGACCGGCAATGGATCCAATCCGCTTGGGCGTGTCCCCACACCATTCATAAACTATCAACCCCCACACCACGGTTTGAAGCCGATGGTCAGTGGTGGGGCCCCACTGGCGTCAGTGGCCGCGAAAGCGCCTTCAGGGATTTGGTCAGGATTGCGTAGGACTCCTTGGACTTCCAGAATGGAATCTCCGGAGGGCATTTCCCTGGGAAGGTTGGGCATGAGCCCAAAATTCCACAGACAATCAGTGGATTGATGCTCCGGGTAATCTTCCCACCATCTAGGCGGTTGTTCACCATGCTTTTTCCACCATTTGCATTCCCAGAGTACATGCTTCTTGGTGGCAGGAAGGTTGCACAGGGAACACGTGGCTGTTGGAGACGCCTTGACAGCGCCTTGCCACAACGCTTGGAGCGCCGCCTTTTCTTGCTTGTTGGCTTGTTTGAGGAGCCTTCTGGGGGCTGTCCAGTCCGGTCCTGTCTCTAATCCTTTGCCACCATCTGATTGAGCAATGCGGCGGTGTCGCCTGGTGTCAATTAGATGTTTTAGCTGGAAAAGAAGTCTATGGAAGTCAGGTCCCTGACGGATGTCAAGAATGTCGCCTTCAACACGCCACTTACTGAGGCTGATGGCCTCCCACCCCAACTCTTGAAGGTAGCACCAGGCGGCTCCAAGCGGTCCAGCCGCCCTTTTCCAGGGATGTTCAGCTTCGCTCAGCCATTGCCCGAGTTTGTTCCAGCTCTGGTGCAATCTGCCAATGTCCCTGTCGGGCCAGCTGAGAAGAAGCCTCCGTATCGCCTTGAAATGCTGCGACAAGATGGTGTAGGCTGGATCTACAACTTTGTTCGAGTGGAACTCAAGGGCTGAGTCAGTGCTGGCAAGCGTGGGTCTGCCCAAGGCTGCAGCCAGCAAACTTCTGAACCATTTGCGCCGTTTAGGCGCTACCCCAACCCCTTCATGCCCATACAAGGCAGAGGACCGGATGGAACCGTTGAAGAGTCTCACTCTGATGCTAGTGCTTTTGACTTGCAGCTTGGTCAATTTCCTGGCTCGCTGCCCTCCTTTAGCGTGCCTGCCTTTGGCCACTGTGATTCGCCTCCTCTGCCCCGCAGCATAATCCAGACCAAGGTCCTTGCCTAAGGTTTTGATGGGGGGTTCATGTTCTTCAAGCAAGGATTGCAGCTCTCTGGCCGAGGCTTTGTTTGAGCAGATGAAAGCCGTTTTGGTGGTGCTGACCATCAGGCCCTGATTCTCGAGGTCAGCTTGAAGCTCCCTGTAACACTTGATGGCTTGAGCAGCGACTGTCGGCGCATGAGAATCGACAAAATCTGCTGAGCAATCGTCCACCCACAAATCGATGTGGTGTACAGGGGAGGCAGAGTGCATCTTCGAGATCGGATCGTGGAGCACAACTCTGGAAAGAGCAGGGGCGAGAGGGCAACCTGCTATGAGACCTCTTGTAGCTCGGATGGGGCGAGACAGACTCCCCTGCGCTTCTATGTATCGGCTGCCTGAGTAAAGGCTTAACGCTCTTTCAAGTAGAAGCGGGGGAAAGGAGTGTCGGACACCCTGGGCTAGGAGCTGCCAATGTGGGACAGTCTCATAGAAGGATGTTAGATCAAGGAGAAGTGTAATGGTGTGACGCTTCTCTCTTTTGTTTGTTTCAGCCCTGATAAGGCGGCGGAGGGCCGTGTCAAGGGAACTGTTCCCTGCCTTTGCCTGATTCCAGGGAGAGGTAGGGTTGTAACTGTTCTCCCACTCTGTGATAAGATGCCATCTCGCCTTGCAAAATATCCTGTGAAGGACATGGGTTAACCCAATAGGCCGTTCGGATGTTTCATTTTTGGGGAGCATGGCGTACTGTGTGATATCACAGTGCTGGGGAAACTGGGCTTCGATTTCCCATTGGCGCACCATGCTAGCCAATTCTAGAATGGCTTCATGAGGTAATGCTCGGAGCATTTCATAGCACCACCCATCTGGGCCTGGGGCTTTGTTTGGGACCTTTTTTAGGAGGGAATTCCATTCCTCCACCGAAATGGGCGAGAGGTTGGCTGCTTGTTTCCTCGCTTGGTTCTGCAGGGCCAAGCGAGGGTCGGTGCCATGAGTGCCGCTCAACCCACTTGGGGCCCACATGTCAGCCCACCATGCCCTTCTGGCGTGAGGCTTAACCTCCACCGCAAGGTCCGCAAATGGGCGAGTAGTGGTGTTTTCCTCAGTCTTGAGTGCCCGGTAAAGGTGGCGCAGATGGTTTTTCCCATCACCTTGGAGCCAGGCCTCGTACTTTTTGGCTTGTTCCTGATGTGCTTTCCTCAGGTGAAGTTTTCGTTGTGTTTCGATGATTTGTCTGACCTCTTTGGCTTTGGGCCCTTCTTTTCCAAAGTGCTCTTGGACGAGGTTAACCGCTGTCTGGCACCTGAATGCATCGCATTCCTCCCAATTGAGAAGGAGTTGGGAGAGGTGGGATTGGACCACCTGCTGAAGCTTGGGACTCAGACCAATGCGGAGGCCTTGCCGGTGCCAGACCGTAAGTCTACCCCAGAATTTGGACTTCCCACCAGCCCAGACGAAACCTGTGGGTTTAGGCGGGGCTAGTGGTCCAATATGGGTTTCAACCTGGCAACCCCTGCCTCTGATGTCTGAGGGATAGAGGCTCGCCTCAACACGCTGAGTAAAACCGGCAAACCCAGCTGTAATGGCGTCATCCGCCCTCGGCTCTAGGAGGAGGCTGGGATAAACCAAGGTGAAATGTCCTTGGAATGGTGCCTGTTCATCGTCAACAGGTCTCCGGAAGGGCCTGGCTTGTAGGGTACAGACTCGGAAAACCCCCGCGTTGAGTGTGTACCGAATGGCGCAATGGGGCCTGAAGGGAACGTCCCAATCAGTTGTGATTTCGAGCCCATTTGAGACGGTGTGGCTAGCTATGGCAAAGTCGATTTCATTGCCACCCATGATGGTGGGCTCGTTAGTAGCTAGCACTTTCCCGCGCAGGAGGGACTCAATCGAGGTTTCGAGTATGTCTTGTGGTGGGAGGTTGAAATCCCCCGCTACAAACCATTCAATGGTGAGGCCTTTAATGAAGGCAATAAGATCACCGACAATGGTGGGGTTGTGTCCTCCAGTGAGGCCTACACTGGTTTCAAGGTAGATGGAAATAAAAACAATGTCCCTCTTCCCGGTTCTACCTACCACAGCCACATACCCTTTACCTTCAACACCAAAGGATCTCAGGAATCGGAAATTTCGATCTTTTTCAACCGCAATCATGACGCCTCCAGAGTTTTTTCCCCCCTCAGTTGGGTGGGCCGGTAGGGTCCAGGCAGCGTACCCGGCCTGATCCAACTGATGGATGGCAAGATGCTGTTCTTTAGCTGTGAGGTGGGTTTCCTGGAGACACGCCCCCTGTGGTCGCCTATCTAGGAGCCACGTTTTGATCTCAGCTCTCCATTTTGTGACATTGGCAACTGTGATTTCAAATTTTGCTGGTTCGTCTTTGGGCTGCCTTTTTGCATCCGCAATTGCCTCCAAACAAACACTAGGTTCGTTTCTGTGAGTGGCCAGTTGATGCAATGCATGGTTGGCCGCCCATTCTTCAAGAGACCCTTGGCGGATTGGCATTTTGTCCACCAGTTCCACCAATTCCTCCTCACATGCAGCAAGTGACTGGTCCTTGGCCTTGAGGAGGAGGGAGGTGAATTCATCGTTGCCGCCAGGGCTGAAAACCGGTTGTAGAGATTGATTGGGGAAGGACCGAACTCCCTCCACTCAGGTGAGATATTGTTTGTAAAAACCCCCCTAGAAAGGGGGAAAGGGTCAAAATCGTCCTCCGTCCCCGGCTTGGATGGTGTGGTCAAAACAGCCTGAGACTCGGGAGTGCCTGAAAGGCTCGCGGAGGGCACACGGGTGCTAGCCTTCTCAACGTCTTTGGACCAAGAAAGCTGGCCCTTCGCCTTCCACTTCTTTTTATATACAGTGACAAAACCTTGTTCGGCTTCCGAACCTCCTGGCCACAGGTCGGGCTCCTGGTGAGGCCAATAGCCCACTATTAAACCCCACTTGGCGCCCTCCCGGCCGGGTTCCTAACTCCTGGTTTTGGGCGAGCGGCTGCGCTCCCCTTTTTCCTTGCCCCCTTCTTTGACGGAGGTGGGTGGGGAGGCGCTTTGGGTAGCCAGCTTGCGTCGCTTGCGCTCAAGCTGCACTTCAAGTTCTTCTCGTCTTAGCTCAAGGTCTTCGATTTCCATGTTGGGGCATCCTTGCTCAATTGCCGCCTTGAGGTCGATGGTTTGTGAGGGGCCGGGCCACTGCCCAGTGATTACCATGTTCTTTTGGTCTGGGGTCAGGGTCACCCCAATGGCTTCCAACTGGGCTGCAATGGCCTGACCCCCTATACCTGGAGGACTCCCCCCCAATCCAGGCGGGAAGCCGGCATGGGCCAGCAGCTGCTCCGCAGCCTTCTGCCTTCGCTGGAGCTTGTGCTGAGCCTGGGCATCCCGCACCTTTTGGAGTTGGGCTTCATCAAGGGAAAGGCCAATGCTTCCAAGCACCTCGGACAGATTAAAGTCCTCATCTTCTTCTTGAACGGGCGCCTGAAGTACCTTGTCCCGGAAGGTCTTGGCAAGGGTTTCCATATTTTCCTCAGCCGCTTTCAGCTCTTGCATCAAGTTTTGCATTTCAACATACAACGCTTTGAGGGCGGCTTTCGATTCGTCAATCTTGGCTTGGAGACGAATTTTGCGGTGGCCTAAGGACCGCAGCTTGGTGGATGCCCCTTTGAGCTCGTTCGTGGCTGTTATGGCGGCTTCTTCTGGCGGAACATCAGGAACCTTGTTCCTGTTGTGCAGCGCTGTCTGGACGTCCGCTGGCAGATCCCCAATGTGGGCCTGCAATAGGTCCAGAAGGGCCACCTCATCCGACGACTTGTCCTCCACCGGGGCCCTGAAACCGGCCTTGGAGAGTTCAACACGGGCAGCTTCGGGAATTTGTTCCCATACCCCTTCCAAGGCCTTGTAGACCTTAGGGGTTCGAGGCGGCTTGGGCGACGGCGGGTTGGGCGTGCCCCCCATTGCCTCCCCATTCTGGGCTTTGGGCTTAGGGGTTTTGGGGTTCCTCCAGGTGGCAGACTCCCACACTGTAGGACGCCTCCCCTTGGTGGGCCAGGTCTTTGCACACTTCTTGCATTTGAGGTCCTGCGTGATTAGATCTGTGTAGATCCAATTTCCACAGCCCTTGCACACAGTGTATTCCCGACCCATTGCGGGAGGCGTGTTGACCACCCTTTCCCCCCGATGAAGGTGGGAGGGTGTGTTGGTCAACCCCCGTTAGGAGCGAGCCCCTTTCCGGCGGGTAAGGTATGCTATGGCACTACAAAGAGACTGGGATTCAAGATGGAGCCTGTTCCCCCACACAAGGTTTGGGCCTCAGGGCTTGTTTCACAGTCGCTTTCCTACCACAACACCCCACCGGGGTCTGAGCCGAAACTTGAGCCACAGGTGAATTTTTCTTCTCGAAGCGCGAAGCGCGGCCGCCGAAACGGCAATCCTAAGAAACCCGGGCGGCTACCTTGAGCCAGGCCTGGGGGAAAAGGGTTTTGACACCTACAGCCTACACACCCACAGTCGTTGTGACTAGGCGTGCTTGCCTACGGCACTGCTTACCCGGGCGCTTTCCAGGCCGGTGCTGAGCCCAAAATCCCACAGGAAAAATGAGGTGAGAAAAGAAAGCCTTGGTCACTACAGGCTACAGGACCTATGCCATCAAATGGAGGGACTCTGAATGGTCAACCCCCAGCGTCTTCTTCAACTTGGAACTGCACTATACAGGGCTAGGCCTCCTGTGTTGCTGCCCCGCCCCAATGCACTTGGCAGGGAGGAGAACCCCCAAGGCCTGGGGGCGGGGGGCCTTCAGCTCACCTTCTCTGGGCTGGACGTTAACTGGCGCAGCAGGGTTTTGTCCCCTCAATTTGTAGTTAAGCGCGGGGACCACGCACTCCCCCCAATGCTGCAACGAGGTGGCCCCTGCGTTCTCGCTCTTACTAACAGGGGCCAGAGCACCCATGCCGCAGCAGCTCTGGGCACTCGGCTACCTCTACCAACCAAAATCCACCCCATTGACGGGCAGTGGAGTGGCGCACTGCCCTTGCATTCTTGAACAGGCCCCCTGTCTGCCAAAATTACCTCCAAACGGGGAGGGAAAACCACCCCAAAGACGGGGAAAGGAGTGGAAGTACTGCCCTCGCGTGCATGCCACGGGCAGCAGAGTGGCCATCAAGGCCACATGTTGGCCAAACTTACCTCCAGCCGGGGAGGAAAAGCCAGCGTCCAGGCCCTGCAATGTACGTTCGACTCGATGGTGAAGAACTTTGGTGCGGGCGGGCCAAATTCAATGATTTTGTGCAGAAAAGGAAATTTGACCAAAAAAGCCTTGGCGATTTCCTATACCAGCAACGTAATGTTGCTATTTGGCCCTGCAATGCACGCTCGACTCGATGTCGAAGATCTTTGATGCTGGCGGGCCAACTTCAATGATTTTGTGCAGAAAAGGAAATTTGGCCAAAAATCTTGGCGAATTCCTATACCAGCAACATCATGTTGCTATTTGGGGCTCAGCGTGTCATCCTAAACCCCAAAATAGCAGGAACGACTTGTTTGGCAGTAAAAGGACAGAAAATGGTGCCTGGACTGTAATGAATGGGTCTGCGCGAAGACAGAGAAGCGCGCACTGCCTTTGCACTGTGGCTGGGAAAGGCCCCCGGCGAAGTGGGCCGGTATACGCTCTCAAAGGTGACCTTAAACCCAACCAACCACCCTGGGCAACTGCAAGATCCAAACCTAGGTGACTGCGCGTCAAGGCCGGTGCTAAGCCCTCAAACTAAGCGCGAGGGCAAACGCACCCCTCCACACGCGCAGGTGTCGACGCTCCCCTCAACAAGCGCGGGAACCACGCCGCACCAGCCATGAAACACACCCACTGTTGGCTTGGCTTGCAGCACAGGCAGGACTCACGGTCTGGACACTCCTGGGGACCTGCATGCCCGAAACTACAAAAACAACAAGTAAGAGGAGGATCCCACACTTGGTTCTGCCAACGCCAAGCGATAGGGAGGCAAGAGCCCGTAGCAACTCCTGCACTTGTTCCAAAACCCTGCAGGGCTGGCCCCCCAACTCAAGGACGTAACTGCATGGCCCTTTAGTGGAGGACCTGGACGCTGAGGAAGATCCTCCCAGAGGCTGGAGAGATGAGTGCTTCCTGCATGTCCAGAGTGCATAGCGCCTGAGTTGATGCACAAAATTCAGTAATTATGGTACTGGTGTAGCCAGAGGTGGCAGCACACTTGTGGCCCACACATAGGTAACCTCAACAACACTAAACCCTTCCAAAGATGCCAAGGGACCCCCCTAAGGAGCTCAACCACACAGGATGGTCCCCACGCTTGCCACCAAACTTGCCAGCGCCAAGCATGCATGCAATCCTAAACCCAAGAGACACCAAAAGTGACCATTGGCGAAGACCTTGCCCCCATCTGCTCTTCTGCCAGTGGGCGGCATGATCTCAGAAATGCAGCGGCATGCATGACTGCAAGCAGTGCAAATTGGCAAAGGAAAACAAAGCAAAACTTTGGGGAAAAGGCAGTTAGTTTAGGGGCACCAAGCGCTGGTGCTTATTCAAACTCAAGCTTTCCTGGAGGTGAGCCCCTCCGAGAGATTGCCACCCGCTCCGGAACTTGCGTCCCGCCGGCTGGGACTGGCCTAGGATGCAAAAAGGTGAATTTTTCTTCTCGAAGCGCGAGGCGCGGCCGCCGAAACGGCAATCCTAAGAAACCCGGGCGACTACTTGAGCCAGGCCTGGGGGAAAAGGTTTTGACACCTACAGCCTACACACCCACAGTCGTTGTGACTAGGCGTGCTTGCCTACGACACTGCTTTACCCGGGCGCTTCCAGACCGGTGCTGAGCCCAAAATCCCACAGGAAAAATGAGGTGAAAAAAGAAAGCCTTGGTCACCACAGACTACAGAGCCCATGAGGGTTTTGAAAAAGGACCTCAGACCAGAATCCTCAAAGCCCGCTGTAAAGAAACTATGTTAGCAGTTGTCAGGGTCCACCCCTAAACCCTGTGAAAAGAAAATTTCAGGTCTGGCTCACACAGCCAGACACTGCATTCCAATGAGATTAAATCCGATTAAAGCCCTGTTGAAAAAATCTACTAAAAACCCTATAAGCCCCGTAAACCCATATAAACTCGAAAAAACCAGGCGTGGTAGGGTTTTTTCGCTGTTTCAGGCAGGAAGCCCTAAACCCTAAAACCCCAAACCCTAAACGAGGGGGGAGGGAGTGGGGGGTTGGCGTTTTTCGGGGAGGCATCGGCTTTAAGTCGGTCTTCTGCGCCACCAAGACGCCGATCGTGCACCTTTCGCCAGCCCAGTGGTGCCCTTTTTCCTTTTTGTGGTTTGGGGTTTACGGTTTCGGGTTTAGGGTTTATGTAAAGTAACCAAAACCAAAAGAGGGGTGCCCTTATTATGACATGGTTCCTGGGCTACCAAGGCACTCGGAGCCTTTTCATTTCCACTTCGACTCGGAAGCCCTGGACGGGCTCGGGTACCTGAGCCTCAGCAGCTCTCATCAAAGCACCGCTTTTTTTCAGAAGCCCTTGAAGAGTGAATACTTTATATGTATATATGTGTATCTAGAAGTTTATGCACCTACAAAACGTCGGGCAAGTTTGGCAAATCTCTCAGAGGTTGAGAAGAACGCCTTGCAAGGTCAGATGCTTGAGCCAATCGAAAATGAGGGCTGTGGCTCCTAACTCCAGTCCCCTTAAATTCTCTATTCAGAAACCCGAAACCCCAAGCCCTGTGTAATTCAACCCTGTATTGAGTTCCATAAGACTTGGAATCTTAGAATGCCCATAAAATTGAACCCTGAACCCTAAACCCCAAACCCCGATGAACCCCAATGAACCCCCATGAACCCCAAACTGAGCACCTTGAGACAAGGATTCCATTTCCCTGACATCGGCCCGACGGCTTCAACGTCGGAACGCGCCTTGTGTCCTGGCACCACCGGAGGGCCTACTTGGGTTTAGGGGGTTTCGAGTTTAGGGTTTAAGGTTTCGGGTTTAGGGGTTCGGATTTCGGGTTTAGGGTTTATAGGGTTTCGGGTTTGGGGTTTAGGGTTTATAGGGTTTCGGGTTTAGGGTTTATGCGTTTGGAGTTTCGGGTTTGGGGATTCGGGTTTCGGGTTTTGGGGTGTCAGCACGTCCAGCTTTCAAGAGGGATGAACCTTTAAGCTCATTCCCCTTGAATCGCAGTACCCTTGAATCCCCTTGCCCTTTTACCCTCGAATCTCCTTACCCGGTTAATCCCATTACCCTTTACAGCTCTTACCCTTTTCATGTCAAATAGGCAGATCCGGGAACCACTGCAGCAGCAGTTGCTGACGGTGTACTGCAGGCGTTTCGGTGCCCTGACTTCACAGCAATACGAGCCTGAAATCGCCTGGGTCAAGCAGAAATCCATGTTCTTTGCCCGCTTGCTGCTCTTCGTTGAGGCGACTTCCACACGCAACCCGCCTCGAAAATTCGCCCTGGGCATGTTCTGCCTTGGCCTGGCGTGGAGACAGATGCTATCACAGGAGTGCCTTGGGTGCCTTCGCCCGGACGATGTCCAGGTCGCCGACTGGATCTCTGCCCTGCAGCAGCTCAACCTGCCTGGGCATGTCGAACACGCCCCCCACTCGCTGGTTGAGGAGCTACCTCTCATTGAGGCGGCCACGGCCGCCAGCAGACGCGAACTTCAGGTGGCCACACGCCAGGTTGTACATAAATTGCTGGAGTTGCGCGCCAACCACCCAACGATGCTAGCAGCATTGAATGCCTAGGCAGGTGCTATGTACCATAGACTGTACCCATCCCTGCTCGTCATTTGTCCACAGCCTAGCGTTCTGGCCGGGGTTCGGCTGCAGCTCGGGGAGTAGGAGCAGCAGCAAAGGTAACACCCTGTGAGACCACTTTGCTAGAACATCTTCATAAACTCTCATATACATATAGGTATGCCTTCTCTCTCTCTCTGTACATATACACAAGGTGTGTACATATATATATATATATATGTGTATACATGTATATCTATACGTACAACTATTGCCGTATACCTTGTATCTCTCTATTACATATATATGATATTATATATATATGCATCTGATGCATTTTACATCTGTAGATCGATACATACGACAATGGCCGGCCATGTGATGTACGATTTTTCTCGACCGCTTGCTGAACTGGCTGCTGCTTCACGCCCTCAGATCTCCAACCTCGGCCTTTGTTCCGGTGATGCTTTGTAGGCATCTCATCCCAGGATGCCCAGTAGTACTCTTATTCCCTTTTTGAGAGGTTTAGGTTCCCTTATGATCCGTTTTAAGCAAAAAGGGCACCCTTGTTCATGCTAGGTTACTGGGCAACCCTAAACCCTAAGCCCCAAGCATCATAAACCCCAGCATCATAAACCCCCTCATATACTTTAAGGATATTTCCTTAGGCCTTTCTGGGCTTCACACTCGGTAGGAGGCAGGACTCAACAGTCTCCGCCATTTCTTTCGAATTGTGCTGTTGAATTGTTATCAGGCCCGCTCCGGGATCGGAGATGAACTGTTTCACTGCCCGTGCAAGCCCAATTAATACGAGATTTCGATCAGAGCATGGCCGGCTAACTGCCGGCTCGTCTACAACGCGCAGCGCTCCACAGCTACAAAGAACTACTTTCGCCTGTTCCGAGCCACAGGGCTTACTTGGGACCCCCTTTACCTACAGTTTCATGGGTCATGCCCTATGCTGACTAAGTGTAGTGAATGACTACTAAACTATAGGTATATAGAGTCCCAGGTATTGAGACTGCCATGAAGAAGCCTGTAGTCGCAATGCGCTTCGAGACCCGGCCTCGGAGGATGTTCTTGAAACGACCGCACACCCCGAAGGCAGCATAAGCCACAAGACATGCACAGGTCACCTTTTGCAGGCCTATAGGGTTTAGGGCTTAGGGTGCGTGCATGGGCCTTGATTATAAACGAGCTTCACTGTAAAACGAAAGTCTTGTGTATGAAAGAGATCCACGTCGTGGTAACTTCGTTTAGCTTGGCTCAGCAGCCCCTAAGCCCTAAGCCCTAAGCCCTAAGCCCTAAGCCCTAAGCCCTAAGCCGTAACCCTGCAGGCTTTGTGTTCGACGGCCCTGGGAGGCAGCCCCCCAAATTGTTGTTTTTATTCGGATTCTGTATACCCTGTACACCCTAAACACAGAAGACCTCATGGGAGGCATTTTGCCAAATGGTTTCTGATGGCTCTATGGGACCCTATACCCTAAACCCTAAACCCTAAACCCTAAACAAGCCCTTAAACCCGCAAAAGCCGTCAGGAATGTCATGGAGCAGCTCCCAGCATTTGCTTGGCTTCCACTGCGCTCTTACGGGCGCCTGAGCTACCAAGACCGGGTCGAATCTCCACACCCAGAGCTGCCCTAAGCCAAAACCCTTCAAGAGTTTAGGGCGGGTTGCAGTGCTGATGGGGTTCGGGCTGACGTTTTTTCAAAGGGGTCTTATTGATTCAGTTGGATTCCGGGTGTTAGCCTTAGCAAACCCAAGCAGACCTGGCACCGGTTCAGACCACAGCAATCACGGTTTCCCAGGGCAAAATCTATTCAGAGAGACGAGGCTGTGCCAAGACCGCCGGATGCGCCCACTTTTCCTGGTGGACGGATAAGGGTTGTGTCATTCAGGACAGCGCCCTGGCATACACAGGTTGTGGTCTTTCGGGGCTGAGGAGGATTTATTTCGAGCCCAAGCGAATTCAAGCATGGAGGCTCCCGACTCTCGCGAAGAACTTCCGCAGTTCTGTTCTTGCCAGAATTCGGGGCTCTGTTTCGCGTCATGCCAAGCGTTCGAAGAAAGTCAGGAGTTCAATCTGGACCGTGCCGACCAGGGCCCCACTCTGTCCCACTCGTTGCCGAAGTTTCCCAGAACAAGGCTAGGGAACCCTGCAGGATAGGCTTGAAGTAGCCCTGAGCATTCTGTGGGACCTGTAACTCACCATACACCTATGCATCAGCTGTCTTGATGAAGTCTGAAGATGCTTGAAGATTAGAGCCCACACCCGTGAATATCAGACCTCAGTCCCTAAATATCCCTAACTAAACATCTTCAAACTCTAAACCCTAAACCCGAAACCCTAAACCCTAAACCCTAAACCCTAAACCCTAAACCCTAAACCCGAAACCCTACATCCTTTCAGCTGAGGCTCGGCAGTGTTCAAACCAGTATGGAATGTGGTGGCTGGCCCACCTCAGATCGTCCAGGTCGGGGTATTTGAGGCAACCCCTATGATAATAGAGGAGCCCTTGTTGGGGACCCCAAACCGAACCCCAAAAACCTAAGCCCTAAACCCTAAACCCTAGCCCTAAACCCTAAACCCCTAAACCCTAACAACCCTAACAACCCTAAGCCCTCAAGTTTACGTTGCCCCTAAGGGAGCCCAGAGCCCCGAAACAGGGTAAACGGGTACCACTGGACTGGGCGGCTTTCTGTGTTCCTTCCTGGTCTTTCTTTGCTTTTTTTTTTTAATTGTGATTGGCTTAGCTTTGAGAGTTGGCTTTATGGTTCGGGGGTGTAGGGTTTATGGTTTAGTGTTGTCGGCAGGGGGGCTTGAGGTTCCAGCATATTCGGTTGCAGTCTATGAGTGTAGCGCTCTGGAAATGCGATTCAGGGCTCGACGCTTTGGGGATGCTTCGGTTCAAGGTGCAAGATTCGCAAGAGCAGGAGCCTTCCTTCTGGAACCCGAACTCCTAAACCCTCTCTATCATATGTTAACTTAACCTTGATTAACTTCGCTGTTCAAGGCCAAAAACTCGTGGTTCAAACTTTTGCCTTAAATCATGCTTCAAGGCTAGGTTCACGGCCAAATCGTTCGTGGTTCAAGGCAAAAATTCGTGGTTCCAGGCCAACAATTCGTGGTTCAAGGCTAAAAACTCGCAAGGCTGACAAATTGTGGCTCAATGCCAAAAACTCGCGGTTCGAGGTCAATCCTTCGCGGTTCAAGGCCAATCCTTCGTGGTTCAAGGCCAGTTTTGGCCTTGAACCACGAATTTTTGGCCTTGAACCGTGGTTCAAGGCTAGTTGTTTGGGCCTCAAGGTTTCAGGGCCTCAAGGCCTGGAGTTTAGCGTTTCAGGGCCCCAGGCCCGGGGTTTAGGTATAGGGTTTCAGGGCCTCAAGGCCCGGGGTTTAGGGTTTCGCGGCCTCACGGCCTGGGGTTTAGGGTCTCGGGGCCAATGGGGTGTAGGGTTTCAGGGCCTCAAGGCCTGAGGTTTAGGGTGAGGCCCAGATAAGTTTCGCAACAGATCCGCTCCGTTTAGGGTTTAGGGTTTAGGGTTTAGGGTTTAAGGTTTAGGGTTTAGGGTTTAGGGTATGAGGGTAGCAAAATCAGGTTTTTTTGTGTCCGTTCATTTCAAGGCTAAGGCAGCACGCAAGAGTTGCAGTGGCAAGAAAAGGAGGTTGACAAAATTAGCTGTTTTTGTTGTGTCTATTGGAGAATGCTTTCCATTTTCCCAATGTTATGGGATTCTGCGGGTGGGTGGGTGTTATATCAGAGACGTAAGTATAATAGCTTTACCGTAACACTGCTCGATCCGAAGCTGCTGAACCTTCAACCCTCAACCCTAAACTCTGAACCCTAAACCCTAACCCTAAACCCAAAAACCTACAAGCTCAGGAACTCCAGGCAAGACGCAATAGGGCCAGGTTACTTGGAGGTTCAGGGGTACGTGTGGGGTTTACGGTTTAGGGTTTAGGGTTTAGGGCTTAGGGCTTAGGGATAACAAGGGTTAAACCATTGTTGGGGGTATATTAAGGGTACCCCTATCTTGGGAAATACCCATATAACCCCAATTGTTACAAGTACAGTTGTAACTGAGGTTCTGGGTACCCACGAAACCCTAACCCTAAACCCTAGACCCTAGACGCGAAACCCTAAACCCTAAACCCCAAACCCTAAACCCTAAACCCTAAGCCAGGTGCTGCCGGGGATGAGTCGGGCTTTGTGGCGTTGAGTGTTTCTTGTGTTGCCGTATTCTAGTAGCAGAATGGTATAGTCTAAGATTTTTTTTCAGGGTTCAGAGGGTTTTCTTATATTCTTTTTTTATTACATTCCATGGGAAGCTCCACGGGAGCTACGGGCATGTCTCCGACGCTGCCCAGTGCAGGAGACCATCACGTGCGCAGGCAAGATCAGTCCTGCAGAGACGTCGTGGGAGGCGGGCCACGCAGACCACGCAGATGTCAGAATGGGGTTTAGGGTTTAGGGTTTGGGGTTTAGGGTTTAGGGTTTGGGGTTTGGGGTTTGGGGTTTAGGGTTTGGGGTTTAGGGTTTGGGGTTTAGGGTTGATGGCTTTTAGGTTGCATCATGCAGGTTGATTGGGCCTGAGACTTTCAATATGGCCATAGTTGGCATGGCACTACTGATCAACGTACCTTGCCACTAGACTCGCCCTAATTAGGGAGTCTTTTGGCAGAGATGGTCCACGGTCCTGCCAAGGCCCAAGAAGATCCTAAACCCCAAGCCCTCAGCCCTAAAACCCTGGAAAGCTGTGGGGCTTCACAGGGCGCATGGATTGGATGCTGTCAAGTAGGGAGGAGCTTTTAGTGCTGACTAAACCCTCAGCCCTAAACCCTGAACCCTAAACCCTAGACCCTAAAACCGAAACCCAAAACCCTAAACCCATGTCTTGGAGGGAAAAGTCCAGCCTCTGGCAGGCCATCGTGTCTGTGAAGGACCTGCTGCCCAGCGGCTGGAGCCTGAAATTTAAGATGCGGCTTCAGCACAAGGCTCCTTGGGGACTGTAGCCCTAAACCCTAAACCCTAAACCCTGAACGCAGTCTCGTCCCAAGCAAGCGCCACACTTCTTGCCGGCGAGGACGTTGCCTCTAACTTCGCGTGTGCAGTTTACGCATTGGCTTTTATTTGCTTCTTTGCTTGTCGGCCTGGCTTGCTTGGACTCTGCTGCGTCCTTCTCTGCCGTTTTGCCCCTACGTTCCACGGCATTCCTTGGTGCTCCAAATTCCCCTCCCCCCCCCAGTGCTTTCTCCAGCGCTTCTGCCCCGGACTTGGTTCGCGGCCTCTCGCTTTTTTTTGGCTGTTTTGGCTGTTTCAGCTTAAGCGCAACAGCTTGCCACCGCCTAAACCCTCAACCCTCAACCCTCGACCCTCGACCCTGAACCCTAAACCCCAAACCCTAAACCGTGAACCCTCAACCCTCAACCCTCAACCCTGAAACCTCAAACCCTCAACCCCACACCCAATTAAGGGACTATGTAGCTACCCTTGGGCCCTGTTCTTGCGAGTTCGCGACAGCCGCTGCCTTCGGCTTCAAGGGCACCGAGGGCAACTGCTGCCAGACTGACAATGCCTCATGCAAGAGTATAAAAGTAGAACAGTAGAACAGTAGTTTAGGGTTTAGGGCAGTATAGGGTTTAGGGTTTAGGGTTTGGGGTGTAGGGTTTAGGGTTTAGGGTTTAGGGTAGAACAGTAGAACAGTAGAAACGTAGAACAGTAGAACGGTAGAACAGTAGAACGGTAGAACGGTAGAACAGTAGAACCCTAGAACAGTAGAACAGTAGAACAGTAGAACAGTAGAACAGTAGAACAGTAGAACAGTAGAACAGTAGAACAGCAGAGCAGCAGAACAGTATATCAGTATAACAGAGAACAGTAGAACTGTAGAACAACAGCAGAACAGTAGAACGGCACAACGGTCGAGCAGAAGAACAGTATAACAGTTTAACAGTACAACAGTAGAACAACAATATTTCACTTACAAAGCCAGTGTTGCTCGCGCCTTCTTACGTGCATGCATTACACCTCCATTTTTCTTCATTCGTATTTTTTTATGCATAGAGTTTTTTTATGGCATGATGGTGGAAGATGTCACGTGTCCCGCACCAAAACTGCATTGACCTGAGATGGCGGATGGCTGGTCCTCGATACGAAGATTGACTCCAAGTACTGGATGCTCACAGAAGGTCCAGGAGGTAGCTTTGAAGGTGCTCCGGAATATAACAGTGTAAGAGCATAGTAGCATAATAGCATAATAGTATAATAGTATAATAGCATAATAGCATAATAGTATAATAGTATAATAGTATAGTCGTTTGATAGTATAATAGTACAGTAGTATAGTAAGATGCTCACAGAAGGTGCAGGAGGTGCCTTTGAAGGTGCTCCGGACCACTGGTTATTGAAGATTACTTGGAGGTCCATGGTACTCATTCACCAATTATAACTGTGTGTATAGCCCACTTAAAAGCCCCTCAAGTGCCCGAATATGGTTATAAGTACAGTTCTAAGTACAGTTATAATTGGTTAAAAAGTACCATGAACCTCCAAGCAGGTCTCCTTTGGTTGAGAGCAACGGGGATTGCTTGTCTGAAGGCGCAGGTCTTCAGAGTCTCAAGAGACATGAGGGCATCAGGATCGGTCACGTCCGATTTTGTGAGCTAAAAGCGTCCTCACGCATCATGCCCGGCAAGAGCGAAAGCATGCCCCCCAAGACAGCCTGCCTTCCACTGCCTCAGGCGATAAGGACAGGGGAGATGGGAGCAGAAAAACCACATACACTCACCACAAGCTCGTCGGAGAGTCGGCGTACACCGTGAACGTTTGGCATGACTGGGCTTCTCGGTTTAGCATATGGCATCAGTAATTCTTTTGTTTCGGTTCACTATACACGGAAAAGTCCGGGCACAAGCTGCAGTTTGCAGGTTTTCTGCCTGGTAGCCTAGCAGACCCACCCTTGGCTGCAAAACGGGCAGGGTGAGCAAGGAACTCTCCGACGCCTGTTGCAGTCTACCGACTGCGCCGGCTGTGCCAAGTTGCGACGGCTGATATCCCCTAAACCTAGACCCTAAACCCTAGACCCTAAGCCCTAAACCCCAAACCCTAAACCCCAAACCTTCTACTGCGTGACACACGTCCGTAGCAGAGATTTTATGGTCAGTTCTCTAAATTTTGATAAGGACCCCAACCATCTTTGGGAGAAACGACCATGTGTGCTGTGTCTTTCGTGTCGTGCGTTAACTGTGTCTCTTTCGTAGGGTGGACGAGTGGTCGTCCGGGTGAAGTACGCTGAAATACCTCTGCAACAACAACGGAAAGTTAAACACAACACCAATTGCAGCTTACTCACACTGCGAGAAGCCCAGACAAAGGAGATTTCCATGTGGGAACAGTTCCTGACGGTCTCCATGGATGGGCGGATGATCTATGCCCATCCGGCCTCCGAGTACTTTCCCATCAGAGAGATTGTGCTGCGTCCCTGGAGAAACGCCATGGACGTCTACGGCTTGGAGTTGCAGAGGCCTTCACCCTAAGGCCTAAACCTTAAACCCTAAGCCCTTCGTGTGCAGAAAACAACCCCTCTGCCTCTCTAGTATACATGCTGTTACTAGTAAAATTCCCTTATGGTCCCTACATAATCATGCTATACGATCACCCACGGTCCTATTTTACTTATTCAAGTCCCTAGCTGAAGGTTCATGGTACGTACTAACCAATTATAACTGGGCTTATAACCCTACTTGTAATTGGGATAACCCCTATAAGGCCCTTTAGGGGTATTATGAGTAGGGTTATAAGTACAGTTATAATTGGTTAGTAAGTACCATGAACCTTCAAGTATATTCGAGTTTGCTGTTCACCTGCAGAAGGGGCTCAATGCTTCGACACATAAAGTGCAGCAAGAGCACGCTCATAGGGGTTAGGGTTTCTACTACTGTTCTTGGTGAGTGTACGTAAGGTTCCTTTTTTTTATATTGGTGAGTGTATATAAGTATATGTGTGGTTGTCCTTTTGGGATACAAGAAATATAAACCCCGCTTCAAATATCTTCGCGAAGCAGCAAGGGAACGCGATCGAACGGGGCGGCTTGGGGCTAAACTTTTGTCACTTTGCCCATTGTAGCATCCCCATACGGCCTAAACCCCAAACCCGAAGCCTTAAATTGTTAACCCTAAACCCTAAACCCTAAACGCCCTTGCTTTTCAAAGTCCTTGAAAACCACCCACGGAACTGTCCAAGTTGCTGCCCTCGGCCTTTCTGCCAACAGCCTGGCGCTGTCTGGGTGCACAAATCACGCTGTTAATGAGGGTTTCGGGTTTAGGGTTTAGGGATACGATCCAAATGCCTCTGCAGGGAACACCTTTGCCACGCCCTGGGGTCGTAGACGTCAAGATGCCGCATTTTTGGGAGGACCATGCTCGGGAGACCTTTCAGAGACTCCTCATAGGAACACTCGCCCACCCCCAAGTCGGAAAATGTGAAGGCAATGGGCCCCTGAACTGCAACCAGCTTTGGCACATGCGCGCACCCCTTAACCCCTAACCCCTAACCCCTAAACCCTAAACCCTAAACCCTCAACCCTCAACCCTCAACCCTCAACCCTCAAGCATCAACCCAAAACCCTCAACCCGAAACCCTAAACAACTTTGAGAGCCTTGCTGAAAGCCGTTGAAATTTGTCAGGCTCGAAGCCATCGCCACAGTCCTGAGCACCAACAACAAGGCGGGCTGTTTGCATAGGGTTTCAGTCGCCTTCCAAAAAGAGTGCTCCGCAAAGAGAACCGCTGCTGCAATCCCGTTCAACATCGGACCGCAGGAGAGCAGAAACCTTCCAACATCGAACAATTCCATAAAAGGTTTGTTGGCTCCGGCAGATTCCGCGGATTCCAGAACTAAGCCTGAGCCAACCCTGGCGGCAGACAAACCAGTTCTGTTGGTATTGCTTTTCATCGAACCCCCAGGGCGTTATTTCAGTTGACGTATGGACTACCGCCTTGTGCTTACTTGGTCTTGCTGTGGAAGGTTCATCCTGAGGGACTGTGCTTCAACTTCAATAAAGTGGACCTGCGCCTGGTCACCCCGAAGGGAGGGAAGTACTACAAGATGCGCCACGGCCACCGTCAACATGTAACCGTGTGACAATACTCCGGGCAGCCTGTGCTTAGCATGAGCATCGTCGCATGAGCGCATCCGCTGAGGATTGTCACCCGGTGCCGAAAGGGTGCCCCTCCGAAGAAGGGTTTGGCCAGAATCTTTCCTTCCGTAAATGGAGGGTCGGTGGGTGATGCGCACGGTCGGTGGGATTCTGGCTACGCAGCGGGAGACTGGCGGGTCTGCGGCTCAGTCCTTGGCACTCTTCAGCTCGGAAGCGCTTGAGGGTTTAGGGTTTAGGGTTTAGGGTTTAGGGGACTTCAGACCCTATCACTTTCAGGTCGGTGATCTCGTTGTGACCGGCAGCTGTCCCTGAGCTACTGGTGCCCCCGGCGTGTGGATCACCCGGAAAGTACATCCTAGTTTTGTCCAGTCCGTCGGAGAGAAGAGTACATTTTCAGCTCTGTCTTTCTGGCAATTCATTTGCAACAGCCAGTACTCTGAAAGAGAATCTGCTTTGACCATGTTTGCCAACCCGCTGCCGACTCGGTCCTGGAACGACAGAATGAAAAAGAAGCCGACTGATGCAGGGCCCGGGTTCTCTCAGCGAAGATGCACGACAAGCAAAGCAATCTTATAGTAAGCGAAGCCGCGCGCGTAGGCAAACAGCCATGATGCAGTAAGCATACGCACCAATGAGCAAAACAACCGCATATGGTAAGCGGAGACGTACTAATAGGCAAAGCAGCCGCGTGGAATCATCGAGTGTTGCGGGCCGCGCCGTGCCACTATGGGGTATCCAGCACTATTGCCAGCCAAGAGGAAGACTCACCAATAAGGAACGCAACCGCATACGTAATTAAGTGAAGACGCACCAAGAAGCAAAACAAGCTCACAGAGTAAGCGAAGCGCCGATATGCGAAACGGTTAACCGCAATGTAAGCGACGACGCACCTATGAGCAAATAACTAGCTCTTGTAAGCGAAGACGGCACCAATACGCAAAATACCTGCCTTCGGACATGAACATGATTTTGACCGGTCTGCGGTGGGGCCGAGAATGTGGTCTTGTGTCAGTGTGTGTGTGTGTGTGTTGTATTGGCATATGGGAGTTTCCGAAAACAGGGGTACATCATTGGGGTCCCCACAATATGGGGGTATATGTTAAGGGTCCCTATTTTCGTAAAACCCCGCCTATATATTGTATGGTCCATTCATGCACCAACCTCGCTGTTGTGGATCAAGGTGCTGTGATGCTGTAGCTGCATGGTGGTTTGCCTAAACCCTAAACCCTAAACCCTAAACCCTAAACCCTAAACCCTAAACCCATGAACCTCCAAGCTCACGCCTGCGGGCCAATCATGGCGGCTGGAAGGCAGATGCCGAGGGACACCGAGGCCGAAATCTTGTGGGCCTGCCAGGAACACGTGGGTTTAGGGTTTAGGGTTTAGGGTTTAGGTTTTTTTTTTCGAAGATCCTAAACCCTGAGCCCTAAGCCCTAAACCCTACACCCGAAGCCCTAAACCCTAAACCTTTGAAATCCGTAAACGCCTAGACTTCAGAATCGAAGCGTGCATCCCAGGGCTAGGCAATTTTAAGAGAGTAGGCGTCTTGAAGAAGGGATCTGTTGCGGAAAAGATTTGAGGTCTAGGGTTTAGGGTTTAGGGTTTAGGATCTTGAAGTTTCAGCAAGTCAGTTGTAGTTGATGCGTTTGACGAGAAGTAGCTCTACTTATACCCTCTTCCCTATCCTGCTGCGTCCCTCGCCTGGGACTTCGTCGATTCGGAAGCCATTACACTTTTGTTGCAGAATGTTTTTGGCAGAGGGTTATGGAGTTTGGTGATGAGGGTTTAAGGTTGATAACTCATCGTGCAGACTAAACACCACATCCCAATCGCCTCGGGGTTGAAGAGTTTTACCATGCATCACCATCCAGCTGATCAAGGTTATCTTTCTGTGCTGGGGTGCATTCATTCGAAGCACACTCCTCTCTGTGGAACGTGAGACTACGCTTCTGATCCACAGGGGGCCACATCATTCCGCATCCGGATCAACTTGCTCAGTGGAAGTCAGATGGTTATCCAAGTTACCTGGCTTGCATCCTCAAGGGACGAAAGGAGGGACCCTTATGAGGGACCTTAGGGGGTTTTTTGGGGGTTTAGGGGCTACTTAGGTATATAGGGACTATAAGGAGGAAAAAGGGGGATATATGCCCTTTAACGTTGTCAGTACAGGTTATGTTTGATGGCTGAGGATCTCGGACTTGAGGCGTGCCTAGGATCTCGGTTTTGGAGGATTTCATGGGTGCGTGTGAAAAGCCAAGGTAGACGATTCCCAACTCAAGGCCCTTCGGTTTTGCTTTAGCTTCGGGCATGGCGCCCCATACTCTGCTAGTTGCTTCTGTACACAAACTGATACCTACTGAAAATGATGATGGAGGAGGAGGAGGAGGAAGAGGAGGAGGAGGAGGTTGGGAATGCGCAAGGCCTACTTATGAACTTCCATCCAAGAGACTGTCCGATGCATTCCGTAGAAGCGTCAATCTCTACGTTCGCACGTGCTTGTGAAGTATCGCAAGTCGTGCAACCCCAACCGTAAAATAAGAGCTTCCGGAGCTTGCATTCACTGCAAACACCCGCATATATATATATATATATATATATAATCGTATACATATATATCGATATGTACACACGCACGTTTGTATATGTGAACTAGATGCTGCAGAACCGCTCGTAAAGCTATACCGAGTAGCTTAAAACCTGGTCCAAATGTCAGGTTCCTTTGCTTTTTGCGATGGCCGGCTACACCCAAGGTTTAGGGTTTAGGGTTTAGGGTTTAGGGTTTGGGGTTTAGGGTTTAGGGTAACCCTAAGCCGGCAAAGTGGCGGCATTCTGGGTGCATGCTTGGCTGTTCACAACCAAGCTGGGCCATTGCAGTTTCAAGAGCTCAGGTCATCAACCGCTAAGTTTAGGGTTTACCGTTTAGGGGGGGGGGTTTAGAGGCCAAAAAACTGGCTCGTTGTTAACGGAAGTCGCCAATTGTCACCCCAAACCCTCAACCCTAATCCGTAAATCCTAAACCCTGAAGACAGTTTGGATATGCTGGGATTAGTGGACTTCGAGCTTGGCATAGATTTGTTTCAGTGAACAGGTGGTGCCAGACACGTCGATCGAAAGCTTGCAGCTGGATTGCAGCAAGTTTAGGGTTCAGGTTTAGGGTTTAGGGTTTAGGGTTTAGGGTTTAGGGTTTAGGGTTTAGGGTTTAGGGTTTAGGGTTTAGGGTTTAGGGTTGAGGGTTTGGTGTGGAGGCATGCTCCCCATGATCAAACTGTGTGTTTGGCCCTGGCCCAAAGTGAATGATCCGAGAAAGAGACTTGAGCTACAGACCGCCCCGCCTAAGCCCTAAGCCCTAAGCCCTAAGCCCTAAGCCCTAAGCCCGAAGCCCTGAGCCCTAAGCCCTAAGCCCGAAGCCCGAAGCCCTAAACCCTAAACCCTAAACAATAAACCCTAAACCCTGAACCCTGAACCCTGAACCCTAAACCCGAAACCCTAAACCCTAAACCCTAAACCCTAAACCCTAGACCGTAGACCCTAGACCCTAACAACCTCAAACCTGAACCACCTAGCGGTCGTGAGGAGGGTGGCGGTGGAGAACGCCTTGGAAGAAATCCATGGTGACCTGTCCATTGATCTGACCTCGGTGTGAAACTGCTGGGTTTAGGGTTTGGGTTTTAGGGTTTAGGGTGTTCGTGGAACCTACATAGAAACCCTCAAGCGGTTCTTGGTGAGAGTGGGCTTGCTGCAGGTGGCGGCCGCCAAATCATCTTTCCGTTCGTGCGCTTTCTTCCTCCCGATGTGAACCTGACAAGCACTGTCGTGCAGGCGTTGCGCCGTTCCCTAACCCTCAACCCTCAACCCTCAACCCTCAACCCTCAACCCTCAACCCTCAACCCTCAACCCTCAACCCTCAACCCTCAACCCTCAACCCTCAACCCTCAACCCTCAACCCTCAACCCTCAACCCTCAAACCTAAGCCCTAAACCCTAAACGCTAAACCCTAAACCCTATACCCTAAACAAGTTGATGGCACAGAAGGTCCTAAGGGGGCCCGTAGGGTGGATGAGAGGGTCCGCAGTGTTGGTTCCTGATGTTTAGGGTTGATGGTTTAGGGTTAGGGTTCAGTGTCTAGGGTTTCGGGTTTAAGGGTTTAGGGTTTAGCTCCCAAGTCCTCAACGGCATTCAGCATCCTTCAGTGGTGTCCGTGATTGCTTCCAGCTAAATCTATACCGTGCCCAGAAGAAGATAGATGCCTATGTAAGCGAAAGAACGCAAGTATCAGCCGTTTTTGGTGCCCTGTTTCCCCGTATATGGGATCCTTTATGAAGTAGGATTTAGGGTTCTTGTATCCCCACAAGAACACCAAGTATACACCAATAACAGTAACATAAAACCTTGTTTCAATATCAATGTCATGTGTTGAGACCCCAACACAAAGAAACCCCGGAACCATGGACCCCGAACCGCGAACCCTGAACCTGGAAGACCCTAAAATCGCGATCCCAGCCGCCCGCAAAATCAAAAACACCGCTGAACACTCAACCCTAAACCCTAAACCCTAAATCCCAAACCCTAAACCCTAAACCCTAAACCCACCGTCAGGCTGGGCTGACAGACGACGATGTCCTGGCGGTCATCCAAAAGCCTCGGATCTTCTGGTCCAGTGGCATAAAGAGGCTGGTTTAGGGTTTAGGGTTTAGGGTTTCCTGCGGTTTACTGTCCAGTTGTATATGGCGTTGTAGGGCAGCTGTTTCTTAGTGTTGGGGTAGAAGCGGCGTCAAGAAAGGGGGGGTGTTGCAAGGTCCTTCCAGTCTTGTGCTTGAAAGGCTTCTTCGCTGCTTTGGGGTTTTACGGCTTCAGTATCTTCTACGAGTGCTCAGTGTCTCTTGACAATCAGTTCAATGAAGTGGTGAGTGCATTTTGAGATGTTTTGAGCTGACCCTCACCTTAACCCCCTGGCCTGCACGTGCTCTAACGCCAACACATCTGTCGCCGTTATGGAGCCTTGTGGATCGGCCCGTGGGAGTGAGCAATAGACGGTTTCGGGTTTAGCTTTTAGGGGTTTAGGGTTTAGGGGTTAGGGTTTAGGGGTTTAGGGTTTAGGGGTTTAGGGGTTTAGGGTTTAGGGTCTCGGGTTTAGGGTTTAGGGGTTTAGGGTTTAGGGGTTTAGGGTTTAGGGGTTTAGGGGTTTAGGGGTTTAGGGGTTTAGGGGTTTAGGGGTTTAGGGTTTAGGGGGGATCACTTACGGCCTGCCTGATTTCTCAGTGGTGTCTGGCCGTGCAGAGCCAGGTGGCGGGGTGTGCGAAGATGGTACGCTAAATGGCTATGGCAACCTTAGAACACTTCTAGCAGCGGTGTAGGGTTCAGAGTTCTAGGGCCCAGAGTAACCTAGAATACCCATTTCCGGAAGGTCCCGGGCCCCCCGGAAATGGGGGTCCCCGAGGGGAACCCTAAACCCTAAACACCCTAAACACCCTAAACACCCTAAACACCCTAAACACCCTAAACACCCTAAGCACCCTAAACACCCTAAGCACCCTAAACACCCAAAAAACCCTCAAAACCCTCGAAACCCTAAAAACCCTAAAAACCCTAAAACCCCTAAACCCTAAACCCTAACCCTAAACCCTAAACTATACATGTACCCGTCGGAGAGTGGCTCTTTTGTGCGCTGTGAGGTGGCATGTGCAGCTGAGGGCAGATGGCGTGCTTGAGATACCACAGCCGTGGGGCTTGCGTGCGCCCTCTGCAATCGCCCCGCCGGCTCGGTTCCTGATGATCCTCGGCTCGGGGATTCTCCGTTGTGTGATGGGGATTTAGGGTTTAACTAGGGTGTGGAGAGTCGCCGCATTTCGACTTGTCGTAGCTACAGCACTCAACAGAAGCAATAGGACGGGTAGTTGTCGTCGTTGCAGCCATCGTCGTCGTTCTTGCTAGCACTAACCTTTTCAACTCTTTGATGCAACTAGCTGTTGCCCTTCCTCGCCTCACGGTCCGCAGCAGGATCTTTCACGATTGTTCATTCCATCGCATTGATGACAACCGCCATCTCATTTCGAGACATTGCATTTGTTGGGTCCCCTGAAACTTGAACGTAGCAACCTTGATTTTGGCTTGTGAAGGAAGCGACAATATGAAGGGAAACCGTCCTACGCAAGTCCCTTGCCAAGACCCTTTTGTCCCAGAGGAACCGAGGCGGAATCCTATGTAGCGTTTGCTGGCTGGACTATAAGGCATGAGTCATGCAACGCAACCAGAATCATAGTTATAGCGTTTCATAAACGAAGGCATCATATTTTGTAATGGTACTCTTGACAGAACGTTGGACTTAGAGCATCATGCAAGCATTGTACATGATGCAGGTTGATATGCAGCGACTTTAGATTCTCATTCTCTTTCGAGAGAACTGCGGCAGAGTTGATGCTTCACTGTCTCTGCCAAAGTCTCATTGTACAGCGAAAGGGCCACAACCAGAACTGGTGTAGGAAACGATTGCCAGCACAGAAAACCAACAATTATGGAGCCAGGAGGAGGCCCAATGGAGTTGCAATTGTTTTAGCGAGATACTGACGGTTGGGGCTTATCGGTGCCTGCCAAAGCTAGGCGGAGGGAGGGGTGAGCCCAAACGCCGAGGAAAGTGAAGGACGTGGTTCTGAACAGCTCGTCTTGTGCAGCTCTGATGGAGGACAGTGGGGGGAAATGCAGCCAGAAACCGTTGATGTCCATCAGAAACCCGTCCCCAACCCTACGAAACACTTCTAGCCCTTATGACACCCTTTCAATGCCCGAGACGACTCAGTGCATCTGCCCCAGTATTCAGAGGTCGGAGCTTACTAAATGCCCCTTGATCATAATTATCCAATAACCAAGTTCTGAGATATGGTTTAGGGTTTAGGGTTTGGGGTTTAGGGTTTAGGGTTTGGGGTTTCTGAGATGTGGTATAGTTTGGAATGCTTCTTGCCCCTATGCCACGCACGACAAGGATGGATCGGTGACGACTTGGGGGCTAACCGGCCAAGGAGGCGGCTGCCTAAAAGATCAGGTCATTTACAAACAGGGAGGCATCTTCGGAAGCATTGGGGGTTTAGGGTTTAGGGTTTAGGGTTCAGGGTTTAGGGTCCAGGGTTCAGCATCTCAAGTCCAAGCATTCACTAGTCAAGCAGTTCATCGAGCGTTGGAAAAATACCCACCCGCCCAAAGAATCCCATAACATTAAGAAAATATTCCACTTGCATGTTTATATTCAGGTGACAAGACAGACAACTCTAAAGCCAGCCCAGAATAGGCCCTGAGCAGGCCTTGAACGGCCCAAATAGAACCTGAACCCTAAAGCCAGCCCACCCTAAAGCCAGCACCCTAAAGCCAGCCCAGACTAGGCCATGAACCCTAAACCCAGCCCAGACTAGGCCTTGAACCCTAAAGCTAGCCCAGAGTAGGCCCTGAACCCTAAAGCCAGCCCAGAGTAGGCCTTAACCCTAGAACCCTGAACCCTAAAGCCAGCCAGAGTAGGCCCTGAACCCTGAAGCCAGCCCAGAGTAGGCCCTCCAGCCCAGACCCCTAAAACCAGCCCAGAATGGGCCCTGAACCCTAAAGCCAGCCCAGTCGGCCCTGAACCCTAGAACCCTAAAGCCAGCCCAGAGTCGGCCCTGAACCCGAAAACCAGCCCAGAATGGGCCCTGGACCCTGAAGCCAGCCCAGAGTAGGGTAAATTGACCTGTCGTCGAAGCCTTGTGCCTTGTCGACGAAGCCTTGCGCCTTGTCGACGGATGACATTAAATGTGTATAGTAAGAGAGGTTTAGTGTTTAGGGTTTAGGCATCAGCCTACTTGTAACTCTAATTGGGGTAGCTCTAGTCGCAGAACACACTTTCAACTTTCTGCTCTGACTTGTGCAAGATCCGTGTCCCTAGCCCTGAACCCTAAGCCCTAGATGGTTCAACCAATCCTTGAGTTTGGCAACTTCGCGTTGATCGTGCATATGACTGGTCTCTACCTCCTAGCGAGAGCCACATCCCTCAACCGCTACACTGTTCTCCGAATACCATCAGTTTTGAGTAGCCCTAAACCCTAATCTCTAAACCCTAGACCCTAAACCCTAAACCACCACATGACGCACAAAGGATCCTTCATGGCCTCAACAACAAACTGACCTGACACCAAAGTCCGGCACGTGCTTCTTATGCGTTGTCTTTAAAGCCAGGTGACAGTGAAGAAGTGCAGTACCTGCTCCACGACGTGAGCTTGCAGGAGTTCATCACTGGGACCCGAAAACCAAACCCGGGCCTTTAGGGTTTAGGGTTTAGGGTTTAGGGTTTAGGGTTTAGGGTTTAGGGTTCAGGGTCCCTGTTCTTCACGCAGTTTCCGCAGCCAAAGGAACCAAACTCAACTATCCATCTGAGTGCAATGAGTTCTTGTTTGGTGTTAAGGTTAAGGGTTTAGGGTCCTCTACCAGGCGCCAATGCAAAGGCCTTCAAAGGATTCTCACGAAAGGGCTTGGGGTTTAGGGTTTAGGGTTTAGGGTTTAGGGTGTGTCAGGGGAGGGCGCGCGCTCGGGTGTGAAGCACCCCGGGCCGCGCGCTCGCGTTGCCCGTCAACCCACCCCGGCCACCCACACTATACTCTATTAGGGTTTAGGGTTTATGGAATGTATTTTCTTGTGCCCCGATGCTTGCTTTGACGTTTTTAACGTTGCGGTGTTAGGGTTTAAGCTGGGGTTGGGGGTAGCCTCGGCCCTTTTCGGGCCTTCGGCGTGTCAGGGCCCGTAGAGGCCCTTTTTTATTTGAAGGTCAGGGAAACCCTTTGTGCCGGCTCCTGGATTCCCCCTCTTTAAGGGCCTCAAGCCTTTTTGGTGGCTCTTGGGGCTTCTTGGGGCTTGGGGGTCCCAAAATCGCGAAGTTGAGCAACCAGCCTGCCTGAACACCCTCGCAGCCCCTGGTCCAGGAATCCAGCCACCAGGGGCCAGGGGGCCCCGGGGGGGGGGGGGCCCGGCAAACCCTGAACCCAAAACCCTGAACCGACCTCCAGAGGCAAAGGGTTACGATTTGGGGTTATACTTTAGCTACGCTAAAGGTGGTCTGGGTGCCGGCCATCCCTTCGCCGAGTACTGACGTTGTCGTAAAAAAGGCCGATGTCCGTTGGCCTGTCCAGGACAGACGGTGAGGCTTAACCCTCACCTTTCCGTTTCTCTTTTCGCTTGGGCGCTCGGGCTGTAAGGCCCTCGGCCGAGCGTTCGGGGTCTGTCGCTCGACGGAAGTGACCCCTCACTTAGTTTAGGGTTTAGGGTTTAGGGTTTAGGGATACCTTTCGTTCGTGTACCGGGAGGCTTCGGGGTACTTTTTTCTGTTTACCAGCCCATAATCAGCCTAAATGCAGGCCGATGTGCAGCCGTAGATACGACCTTTTTGCTCGCTTTTCTTCTGTGCATGAGAGTTTAAGGTTTTGGGTTCTTTGGGGGGAACTGAAGGTGACGAGCCTCGCAGCCAGCGACTGCGCATTTGCGGCACTGCGCATGGATGGCAGCGCAGTTGCCTGGGGCGATCCTGTCCTCGGTGGCTCCTGTGAGCATGTTGACGATGAGCTGGTCGAGGCACGGTCAGAACATGAAGTCGTGTGCGTGTGTGGGTTCAGATATGCGAGCTGTACGCTAGACCCTAAAAACCCTAAAACCCTAAATTCCTAAAACCTTAAAACCCTAAAACCCTAAAACCCTAAAACCCTAAAACCCTAAAACCCTAAAACCCTACAACCCTAAAACCCTACAACCCTAAAACCCTAAACCCTAAACCCTAAACCCTAAACCCTAAACCTTAAACCGAAACCCTAAAACCTTAAGCCGCCCTTCCAAAGGCGGAAAGGCTGCAGCACGAGCTAAGAGTATGAAGCACAGGGCGTCAACATGCGCCGATCCCTGAAGCCACCCTCTAGCTTTGAGAAACAGGGGGTTAGGGTTTAGGGGTTTAGGGGTTTAGGGTATAGGCTTTCGGGTTTAGGGGTTTAGGGGTTTGGGTTAGAGTTTAGGGTTCAGGGGTTTAGGGGTTTGGGGTTTGGGGGTTAGGGTGTCATTTTCTGGTGCTTGTTTTGCTTGTCAAGAGTGGAGGCCACTCTAGCTGCTGTTTGGGTTGGATTTAGGGTTGAGGGTTTAGGGATAGGGTCCGGAGCGGCAGAGAGCAACATTTCTCATGGTGGTCGTCGTAGACTGCAGTAGCAAAGGTTTGTGGCTCTGAGGAATCTTTGCTAAAGTACGAACCTGAACCCGAATCTTTAAGCCACAGAACGTCAGGGTTTAGGGTTTAGGGTTTAGGGTTTGGGGTTTAGGGTTTAGGGTTTGGGGTTTAGGGTTTAGGTTTTCGGGAACCCAGCCAGGTGACAGGGATCCAAGGATGCTCTGAGGGCTTCGCTGCCTTGCGGCTTGATGGCTCGGTGGTTACCTGGGGCCATCCGGTCATCGACGTCAGAAACTGGGGTTGTGCTTTGAGATTATTGTTTTTTGTTTTTAATTTCCCCTCGTTTCGTAACAAGGGAATCTATTCATAAATAATTCTAAAGATGTTTAAAGCTCTTAATAAGGGAACCTATTCATAAATAATTCTCAAAGGGTTTAAAGCACAACTCAGGAAATCCGGAGCTCCGCAACATCAAAGAAGCAGAGCAGGATTTGGTATACCTCTTTTTTTGACGAAGGCAAGGTAGGAGAACCTACACCTTTTTGATAGGGTTAGGGTTTAGGGTTTAGGGTTTGGGGTTTAGGGTTTAGGGTTTAGGGTTTAGGGTTTGGGGTTTAGGGTTTAGGGTTTAGGGTTTGGGGTTTCGGGCTTAACAACTCCGTCTGAGGCAATCAAGGGTCTTCGACTTGAAGCAGCCTTTGCAGCCCTCCGTGCAGATGGTGTGGTGATCACATGGGGTGTATACGGCCAGTTCCTGTTGCGTGGCGTTCTTCAACTGGAGGCCACTGAGTCAGCTTTTGCGGCTGTGCTCAACAACGGATCGGTGAGGGTATGGGGAGACCCGGACTTCGGTGGCGATGCAGCAGCAGTTCAACACAACTTGCAAGACGTTCTTCAGATTGCAGCTACATTTGCCGCTTTTGCCGCGCGAAACAAAGACGGCACGGTGACGTCATGGGGCTTGCCGAGTGCTGGTGGAGACCAAGGCGCAGTGTGGGATCGTTTGGTGGATGTGGAGGATATCACCACCGACAGTGACAGCTTTGGGAGCCACGTTGGGATACGAAATCTCATGAAACTCATCAACAGCCCTAGGCCCACCACGCCCTGAACGGAAAACCCCAAAAGCGTAGACTTCAAAGTCCCAGATTTTTTAAGACCCAGGCCCACACCCGCAAGAAAGAATGCACAAAGTCTCAGCCATCGGCTGCATGACTTGTGTGGCAGCCAAGGGTGGGCAGTGCTAAACAGGCTTGGAATGCCTTGCCTTGGCCTGGCTTTGGTTGGTTGGGGAGGGCAGGGGCGACTCCCCCCCTCCCCGCCTAGGCACTCTTGGAAAAACGCAGCCGATGGAGTAACACCAAGCGATAAACATGGTTGGAAATGAACTTGCGTTGGCCTGGCCTGACTACTCCTGAGCGTGAGTTGGGGGTTGTAATTGGAATCATGGTTACCGGTATGTTCCTTGTGACTGTTTCTTACTGGTATTGCTATGGGGTGTTGGCTGTTGGGGCATCGGTTGCCACCCTAAATAAACCCTAAACCCCAAACTCGGAAACACAAGCCACCCTAAACCCTCATAAGCCAGCAGGAGTCCCAGGAAAACTTGCTAGTCAAACTGCTTACTGCTGCGAGGAGCTTCTTCGTGGCTACCTTGGTGAATGGTGAGCAGGTCAGTTGGCCTCCAGATGGTCACGCCTTCGAATACTTGCAAGAGCATTGAGTCAGAATAATTAGTCATGTTGATGCTTGGCACTACCCAAGGGTGCTTATCACGTGCTCAGTCCAGTGTGACGCCAGTTAGCGGGTGCTACGCGTTGTCCGAACGGCGCTTCTACGGAACAATCACGTGCTTTGGGGAATGCTCGATTGAGGTCGTTTCACGACTAGCTGGCTCGCAACAGTGATGAATTCTTCAGAAGGCGCTTTTTGAATTAGAGTGCCTCAACAATGCTTGCTGTAGAGTGCCAACGGAGCAGGCGAGCCTTAGCCAAGTCCTCTGAGCCTCCTAGTGAACCACTTTGGCAGTCCCAGACATCACCCCTAAGCCCTCGACCTTGGACCATTTTGGCATCGCCGTGCAAGCTGTTTCTTCAGCACATGACTTGAGCAGAGGTTTTCGGAGCTGCTTGCCGAAGCAGGTGAGCTTTGGGAACTGTTTGCCATTTCTGTTCATTCTACCATGATCGTGCATCGGAACGTCTGGTGTCTCAGATTGGGTTCCGTGGCGAAATGTGGTGCACCACAGTGGAACTCTGGGAGATGTGGAACTCTAGGAGATGGGCCCCAAGCTGTAGACATCCGCAGACGTGGTTTCACCGCGAGGTTTAAGTCCAGTGTGACGATAGCTAGCGGGGTGCTATGCATTGTCCGAACGGCAGTTCTACAGAGCAACACGACTAGGCTTAAGCCTTGCGTGGCGCGTAGCACCAGCTTGCTCGCAACAGTGATGAATTCTTCAGAAGGCGCTTTTTGAATTAGAGTGCCTCAACAATGCTTGCTGTAGAGTGCCAACGGAGCAGGCGAGCCTTAGCCAAGTCCTCTGAGACTCCTAGTGAACCACTTTGGCAGTCCCCGACATCACCCCTAAGCCCTCGACCTTAGACCATTTTGGCATCGCCGTGCAAGCTGTTTCTTCAGCACACGACTTGAGCAGAGGTTTTCGGAGCTGCTTGCCGAAGCAGGTGAGCTTTGGGAACTGTTTGCCATTTCTGTTCATTCTACCATGATCGTGCATCGGAACGTCTGGTGTCTCAGATTGGGTTCCGTGGCGAAATGTGGTGCACCACAGTGGAACTCTGGGAGATGTGGAACTCCAGGAGATGGGCCCCAAGCTGTAGACATCCGCAGACGTGGTTTCACCGCGAGGTTTAAGTCCAGTGTGACGATAGCTAGCGGGGTGCTACGCGTTGTCCGAGCGGCACTTCTACAGAGCAACACGACTAGGCTTAAGCCTTGCGTGGCGCGTAGCACCAGCTTGCTCGCAACAGTGATGAATTCTTCAGAAGGCGCTTTTTGAATTAGAGTGCCTCAACAATGCTTGCTGTAGAGTGCCAACGGAGCAGGCGAGCCTTAGCCAAGTCCTCTGAGACTCCTAGTGAACCGCTTTGGCAGTCCCCGACATCACCCCTAAGCCCTCGACCTTAGACCATTTTGGCATCGCCGTGCAAGCTGTTTCTTCAGCACACGACTTGAGCAGAGGTTTTCGGAGCTGCTTGCCGAAGCAGGTGAGCTTTGGGAACTGTTTGCCATTTTTGTTCATTCTACCATGATCGTGCATCGGAACGTCTGGTGTCTCAGATTGGGTTCCGTGGCGAAATGTGGTGCACCACAGTGGAACTCTGGGAGATGTGGAACTCTAGGAGATGGGCCCTAAGCTGTAGACATCCGCAGACGTGGTTTCACCGCGAGGTTTAAGTCCAGCGTGACGATAGCTAGCGGGGTGCTACGCGTTGTCCGAGCGGCACTTCTACAGAGCAACACGACTAGGCTTAAGCCTTGCGTGGCGCGTAGCACCAGCTTGCTCGCAACAGTGATGAATTCTTCAGAAGGCGCTTTTTGAATTAGAGTGCCTCAACAATGCTGTAGAGTGCCAGCGAAGCAGGCGAGCCTTAGCCAAGTCCCCTGAGCCTCGTGGACCGTTCTGGCTTCCCCGTCCGTGTAGAAACCCTTGCTGAGTTCCGCACTTTCAAATCCCTCGCAAGTGGCGTACTGCACGTTGGCAAGTGCTGTGAGTTTTCATAACCTTGACTTGTTAGCCTTTCGCCACCATGCTGGTTCGGACATGAACATTGTTTTGACCGGTTGTCGGTGGGGCCGAGAATGCGGTCTTGTGTGATGTTTTGGCATATGGGAGTTTCCGAAAAACCAGGGGTACCTTGTTGGGGTCCCTACTATTTGGGGGTATATATTCAGGGTCCCTTGTGTTCGTAAACCCACCCCATATCTTGTATGGTCCATTCACTCACAACTCGCTGTTGTGGATCATGCCAAGGTGCTGTGTCACTTTAGCTGCATGATGGTTTGTTGCACTGGGTGTGGTGCAGCGGGTGGGAACAGCAAGCCTCATTGCGCAGCGGCTGACATGATCCATCAGGGCTTGTCTCATATCTCCTCTTGCGGTTCAAGCTGTGCCCTCGAAGAGCTCTTGGCAGCGTAAGCCTGTTATCTGACGTTGTGTTCTCCAGATGTGCCGGCAATTAGGCATCCGATGCTTCGACGCCGGTACATGTGTAGAAAAGTTGTCGGCGTTGCTATTGGGAAGTCGTGTTTTGTGAGCCCTTGAGCAGCTAGGTACTCAATGTACTTGATGAACTCGTGGTGGCTGTGGCTGAATTGCATTGCTGACTTGGAATGTGGGAGTCGGAATACTTGCTAGTAGTACTCATAGTATTCCCTTCGGGCCCCTGTGTACTGATGTTGCAAAACCCCCCTCCCGTAAAATTCCTATTCAAGTTCTGAAGGACCCTGCGTTACAACCTTGAACCCTAAACCCTAAACCCTAAACCCTAAACGCTAAACCCCTCTGCTGCCATGGCGACCGCAGCTGCGGCTGCCGCGGTGGCGTCTTCTCCAAGGTTCAGGACATGGCCAATTACAGCCGTGCAGCTCGGTGGGCCCTGCGGTTTAGGGTTTAGGGTTTAGGGTTTAGGGTTTAGGGGAATTTTTGTTTTTACATATTTCGCTTCCAGGGGTTAGGAGGATTATATTTCGGATCCCTAAGCCCTAAGCCCTAAGCCCTAAGCCCTAAGCCCTAAACCCTAAACCCTAAGCCCTAGGGCCATCCTAGGAAATCTCTGGAGCCCATGCTCCAGAAGATGGGCTTAAAGGTCGCGGCGGACGCGATTGATGGGACCTCCAAGAGTGACTCACTTAGCCAAGCGTAGGGTTTAAGGTTTAGGGTTTGGGGTTTAGGGTTTAGCATTTAGGGCTAGGAATCATAAAGTTTAACCTTCGTTTCCCTGGTCCATTGGAGAAGTAAGGTGAAGAAGGCGGCCGCCATTTCTCGGATGCTCTCGTGTCCGTGGGCGCAGCCGGTCGAGGTGGAACCGGCTCTTTTGTGTCCTCGAACCATGGCTTTCTTAGGGTTTACGGTAGGGTTTAGGGTTTAGGGTTTAGGGGTTTAGGGGTTTAGGGGTTTAGGGGTTTAGGGGTTTAGGGGTTTAGGGGTTTAGGGGTTTAGGGGTTTAGGGGTTTAGGGTTTAGGGTTCGGGCTTGGCTTCCTTCTGGCTGGCTCTTAGGACTTTAACCTTCTGGGTTTTTGTAGAAACTACAATTAGGAGCCTCAAGGGTTAAACTTTTAGGAGGGGTTCAGAAGTCAGCCAAGGAACGGCCTGATTTTGACAAATTGGCATGTTGCCTATGACGCCGTCCGACAAGCTTCTCTACAAGGCAGCCACGACTATGTGCGGGATGGTTTCGTTTCTAAGTCGTTGGAGGGAGAATTGCGAGGTCCCAACTACGAAGTATGGATTACGAAGTCCTGCAAGGATGTGTCCCAAGAGGTCAACAAAGTGATTGGGTCCGAGCAAGATCCACTGAAGCGCGCCAACCGTGTTCGAGACGTCATGCAAGAGATTGCCCAAGCCGCGCAAGAGGACCCTTCTACGGGAGCAAGCTCTGGCGGGAAACGCTGTGACGTTCAAGAGATGCTCCCCAATGAGTCTTATGTCTTGTTTACATACGAAAGAATCAAGGATGTGCGGATCGTCTACGTCCCGCCCAAGAGTTTAGGCAACTTCGGTGGTGATACCGACAACTTTGAGTGGCCGCGACACACCGCCGACTTTACTCTGCTGAGAGCATATGTGGGTCCAGATGGCCAGGCTGCCGACTATTCAGCTGACAACGTGCCCTACCAACCCAAGTCTTTTCTGAAAGTCCAAGAGCAAGGTGCTGCGGAGGGTGACTTCGTCTTTCTGCTGGGGTTTCCAGGCCAGACCATGCGCTACGCACCCACCTCCCGACTGCGCTACTCGGATGAAGTTGCCGTCCCTAACATGGTGTCGGACTTCGCGCGGAAGCTCCAGCTGATCGCGCAGTATGAGAAGGATTCGGAAGAAGCGGCCCTGAAACTGGGTACCAGCAACCTGGCAGCCCAGTGTGGTGCTCTTTTTGCCTTTTTTTGGTTCAAGGTTCCTTTTCTAAAGTAAGCAACCGAACAAAGGGTGCCCTTACTAGAGTATCCTAAGCCCTACTCCCAAACCCTAAGCCCTTAATTCTGCTGGGCTACCAAGGCAAGAAGGGCCTGGCCAATGAGCACAAGCGCAGCCAAGGCAAGCTGGTCATGATGCGGAAGCTGGGTTTGATGCGAGAACGCTCCGAAGAAGAGAGAGCCTTGGCTGTCGAGGAACTGGCAGCTGGTTCTTCGTAGGGAATGAGGGAATGAAGTACCCTATGTAATCTCTTAAAGGGTAGATATATATATATATATACATATATATATATATGTATATATATATGTATATGTATATAGGGCTGTAATTCCCTCATTCCTTACTAAGAACCAGGGGGTTATCTCAAGGCCTTTCCGTTCCCTCTTTGGAATCCGGACAGGTATAAGAAGCCCTAGACCCTAAAGCTTAAAGTCCTTCCAACACCCGAGAGAAGGCTTAGAAACCGTTAGCCCCCTCTTTCTCCAACGCCCCTCTAAACCCTAAACCCTAAACCCTAAACCCTAAACCCTAAACCCTAAATCCTAAACCCTACACCCTAAACCCTAAACCCTAACCACCCCCTTTCCTTCACGAAGGAGCTCTCTGTGACAAGGCCGGTCCCGAAACACGGGAGGCCCTTGATCGTCTTGCCCAAATTTACGATGCTCGGTTTAGGGTTTTGGGTTTAGGGTTTGGGGTTTATGGTTTAGGGTTCAGGGTTTAGGGTTCAGGGTTTGGGGTTTATGGTTTAGGGTTCAGGGTTTAGGGTTCAGGGGTTGGGGTTATGGTTGCTCGGTAGGCCTTTTTTGGCACCTGTTGCATGTTTTCCCTTTTCTTGGGTTTTAAGAGGATCATATTCTTTGGGACAGTATATACATTTTTTACACATACATACATATATATATATACACATATATATATATACATATACATATATGCTTTTGTTTTTGTGTCTTCCTTTCCTTGCGTTTAAGAGCATCAGGAATGTTTTTCAGAGGGTTTTTACGGGCCCTCCTAGGACGAGTTCCGTGCCATGGCCGGCGTCTCCCAAGCCTTGGAGGCCTGTCGCGGCATCTACGGTGGCAGTGCCCTCCTGGCCGTGGGCCACTCCCTGCATCTGGACCCCAAACCCGAAACCCCAAACCCCAAAGCCGAAACCCTAAGGCCCTAAACCTAAACCCTTAAACCCTTAAACCCTTAAACCCTGGAACCCTCAAACCCTAAAGCCTAAACCCTAAGCCCCAAACCAAAGCCCTTAAACCCTTAAACCCTTAAACCCTTGAACCCTTGAACCCTTGAACCCTTGAACCCTTGAACCCTTGAACCCTTGAACCCTTGAACCCTTGAACCCTTGAACCCTTGAACCCTTGAACCCTTGAACCCTTGAACCCTTGAACCCTTGAACCCTTGAACCCTTGAACCCTTGAACCCTTGAACCCTTGAACCCTTGAACCCTTGAACCCTTGAACCCCTCAACCCTCAACTTTCCAATCAGAAGCAAGGGTTTAGGGTTTAGGGTTTAGGGTTTAGGGTTTAGGGTTTTGAGCAACCTCCGCACCCCTGGGATGAGGCACGAGTACCTCAAAGTCGAGCGCCCCAAGCCCGACGGGGAGCGGGAGTCGACGTACCGGCAGCGCAACTTCGTCGTAGAGTAGGTAGCCTTTATGACCTTCTTGGGTTCTTATCTTTCCCGAAAAATATCCTAAAGGTTAACCTTTGGTAACCTTTAACCTCTTTGGGTTCTTATATTCCCGTCATTTTTCCAAAGGTTAACCTGTTGGTTCCCTTAGGATACTGGACCTAAACCCAAAACCCTTAACCCTAAACCCTAAACCCTAGACCCTAAACCCTAAACCCTAAACCCAAAACCCAAAACCCTAAACCCTAAACCCTAAACCCTAAACCTTGAGGTTTCGAGTTTTGAGACAACTAAGGCAACCTGCCCTTCCTCGCCCAGCGCCTCGCGAAGCGCCTGGGTGAGATCCACCCCCCGCACGAGGTGGGTTTAGGGTTTAGGCTTTAGGGTTTAGGTTTTAGGGTTTAGGGTTTAGGGTGAGATCCACCACCCCGCACGAGGTGGCGCTCATCAAGGACGCCCTGGCCACCCTGGTAACTCGGCAGGGCCTTTTTGACGGGACGTTTTTTTTCTCCTTGTTTTTTGTTTTGTTTTTGTGTTCTTCCCCCTTTACTAGGGTTGAAGAGGATCATCTTCAGGAATGCATTTTGGTATTTTCTCCTTTTACTTGGGTTTAAGAGGATCAGATTCAGGAATCTGTTTTTCAGAGGGTGTTGAGGGCCGGCCACCCGAGGAAAAGACTCCCGAGCTGAAGGACGTCTTCGCCAAGGTCCCTTGGGGGGGGGGGGGTGGATTTGGAGGGCAAGAATTTTGAAGTTTTCTCGGCCCAACCCCCATTTGGCCCCCTATGACAACCCCCATTTTCTTATGTAGACCCCCCCCCCGCCCCCTCCAAATATCCACCCCCAAAAGGTCAGGGAGGACTTCGGAGGCGAAAGTTACCTCTCGAAGATGGCGCCGACTGCGGCAAGCTCGAAGCTGCAACTTTTGGGGGACCCTGAGCTTCTCAAGGCCATCTTTGCCGAAGATGGCGACAAAGATCCTTAGGGATCCTTGGGAATGATTTCAAAGTTATTTTAGTACTAAAAAATTCCTAAGAAACAGCTAACATTAGAATTTTGCTAGGGTTCCTCCAGTATAGGATCGGGAGACGAGCCTCCTTCACGACCCGTTTCTGAAGTGCGGGGGCTCCCTCTGGGAGACGTACGCGGGCAACCGGGATCGATCCAAGGCGCTGTTCAGTGAGCGAGACGCGCTGTTTGCCAAGCTGCTCGAGCTTCAGCGCAAGCACAGCGATGGCGAAGTCACTTGGTAGCCTAGTAGTGCCCTTTACCCCTTCTTTTTTTGGGTTGTGGCTTCCCTGATACAGAAACCAACCCCCAAAAGGGCGCCCCTACTATAAGAGAGTTACTGGGCCACTCAAGGTCATGTATCCTGATTGCAACGGATCTCTGCGACTTTCTGCAGGCTTCGTTGAAGGCTATGAAGCTGCCGATGCGGTCGTGTGCAAGCCGCAAACCACACTTGCTGGCTTACATGACAAGGCTGTGGAGGCAAAGTTGAGTGTCTCGGTAGGCCCGGGATATTTTTTAAAACCCTAAACCCTAAACCCTCAAACCCTAAACCCTAAACCTTAAAACCCTAGACCCTAAACCCTAAACCCTAAACCCTAAACCTTTCAGGGCCATCCTAGGTATGGACGAGGGAAGAATGGCGGAGTTCAGCTGCCCCGATCGTCTCTACGACATGCTTTCGTCCCCGGACTCGAAAGCCAAGGCGGTTCCTGTCTGCTTGCTGTATCTTGGCTTGTCCAGTTCTTTTGTTTTGAAATTCTACTTATTTTTACATATTCATACGCATATACATATGCTTTTTTTTTTTTTTTCTGTCTCTCTCTGCCTCTCCCTCTCTCTCTCTCTCTCTCTCTCTCTCTCTGGGGTCAGGATTCGCTTCGGAACAATGCAACGCGGGAAGGGCTGCTTTCTTTTTGAATTCCCAGGCTTGGGGGGGCATCCCCAAGCCCTAAACTCTCCAGATAAACCCTGAACCCTAAACCCTAAACCCTAAACCCTGAACCCTAAACCCTAAACCCTAAACCCTAAACCCTAAGTTCCATGCTAGGTATTCGACGGATACAGTGGGTGGCAACTCAGGGAGCCCCGTGATGAATGCCCAGGGAGAGCTGGTGGGCATCAACTTCGACCGGCAGCGCCAAGGCCTCATGAATGAGTTCAAGTGGAGTAAGGACTCCAGAGGGTTTTGGGTTTAGGGTTTAGGGTTTAGGGTTTTCAAGGGATGAAGATCGTACCCTTAAGGTTGTACCCCTAGAGGCTCCCCTTAGTATACTCTTAACCTGGCCCTTATATTCCCTTAAAGATCCTTTAAAAGGAACCCCAAAACCCCTGGAAGGACTACTCTCGAAGTATGGGCGTCGACGTCCGGTACATGCTCTGGCTTGTGGGAGAGTACGACGGAGCGTCAACTCTCGTAAAGGAGATGCTTGCAGGGTAGCCTGCAGAAGAAGAGCATCGGCGGAGGTGGTCTGAGGCAGTGAGCAGGCAGTTTTGCGTTCCTTTAAACGGTTTTGGGTTGCTGGCTTGGAGGGTTGGTGTTTCGGGTTTGAGCGATTGGAGGTTTGAGTTTCGATGGCTTAGGGTTTTCATGAGGGTGTGGGGATTGCAATGAATCAGCGTGCAACGCTGTGACGGTGTTCGACCGGCGTAAAAGAGTTTCTGCAAGAGCGTCACCTACCATTTGCTTATCAGAACTCCCCAAAACGAAAAGCAAATCTTCCTTATAAGGGCAATATAGGGATTATACTTGGAAAAAGTTGCCTCCACACTTGATGTCCCGTTGGCAGCTTCGTAAGTGGCGTAGATTGTACGCAGATTTTCCAGCAACACCAACACATTACTAGGTAGGCCCTTGGGACATTTTATATTTTCCCTTATTTGGGTTTAAGAGCATCATATTCAGGAATATTTTTCAGAGGGTTTTAGGGGCCATCCTAGAGTATAATCCCCATTAAGGGCTGTTAGTAAAAGGGGGAACATCCCAAAATTGGAATGTCGGAGTGCTTCCTTGGTTGCTCCAGCCAACTCTGGCCAAGCCCGTACCCTAAACCCTAAACCCTAAACGCTAAACCCTAAACCCTAAACCCTAAACCCTAAACCCTAAACCCTAAACCCTAAACCCTAAACCCTTGTGTGTTGTGTTTTTTTTTCCGCATCTCCGAGGGCCCTCCTCTGGGACCAAAGCGTCCCCGCCATGTTCTTGGAGCCGGCTCCCCAAGCTCCGACCGAGGATGCTTAGGGTTTAGGGTTTAGGGTTTAGGGCTAGGGTTTAGGGTTTAGGGGTTCAAGGGATTATCGGGTTCTTAAGGGAGGGGTGTTCAAGGAAAGTTTTGGGTTTAGGGTTTAGGGTTTAGGGTTTGTAACCCAAGGTTCCCAAATACTCCCCACGATTCCCCAAGGCTCCCTAAGCTTTTTTAAGGTTCCCTAGGTACCTACCCCCATGAACCCCCCTAAATCCTAAACCCTAAACCCTAAACCCTACACCCTAAACCCTACACCCTAAACCCTAAACCCTAAACCCTGAACCCTAAACCCAAAACCCTAAACCCTGAACCCTAAACCCAAAACCCCCTCTCTTAAGAGCCCTGTAAGAGGATCTTCCGCTGCCCGAGGGGTTCAAGCCCCTGGTGGGGTTCAAGCTGTGCCCTCCAGGCGCAAATCTTTTGTGAACCCCCAAATCCCTAATCCCTAAGCCCTAAGCCCGAATCCTAAACCCTAAATCCTAAATCCTAAACCCTAAACCTGAAGCCTGAAACCCTAAAAGGAGGGAGGGGGCAGGGTTGTCGGCTTCTCTTGAGCACTTTAGGGGCGTAGAGCTTTCAACTTCACGCCCAAGAGGCCAGCTACTCCCGGCTTCTTCTCCGCCTTCTCCCGAAAGAAATGCAGCCAGGGTAGTTCAGCTTCATGTGGGACACGTAGGAGGGGATCCTATGATGACACAATTCAGCATGAGCTTCTGTGCTCCTTTTCTGGTGCATTTCTGCCTGGGCCAACGGTGCAGGTGGTGTCTACCTTCAGCTCTTCTTCTGGCTACTGGACAACGTGACAGACGTCATCCAAATTGTCACGTTCGTCTTGCACAAGGAGCGCTTCCGCTCAAGAAAATACATCTTTCCGAAGCGCGCTGCTCTCTAGATCGGCAGGCATCTAGTCCTCGGTAGAACCCCGAAGCCTACTTCGAGGTTCATGGGTACTTATAACCCGGGTGATGAGTCTACTTGTAACCCATTTAGAGGACTTAGGGGACTTATAAGTGCAGTGAAAAATTTGGGGTCATTAGAAGTACCCTGAACCCTAATCCCTAAACCCTAAACCCTAAACCCTGAACCTCCTAGTACCACTGTCCGCAACAAACATGCAGCCAGAGAGCTGGAGCCTTGCCTGAAGAGTTTTAGGGTTAGGGTTTAGGGTTTAGGGTTTAGGGTTTAGGGTTTAGGGTTTAGGGTTTAGGGTTTGTCGGGAGGAAAACCTTACGGGCGCAGCTCTGACCAAATCTGCGCTGCATCGTGGCCCCAAACCCTAAACCCTAAACCCTAAACCCTAAACCCTAAACCCTAAACCCTAAACCCTAAATCCTCAACCCTCAACCCTCAACCCTAAACCCTAAACCCAAAACCCCAAACCCTAAACCTCTCCAAGAATTCCCTGCCAAGCCTGCCTCCGGAAGCTGAACGGAAGCGTAGTGGAGCTCCCCAAACCTCAAACCCGAAACCCTAAACCCTGAACCCTGAACCCTGAACCCTGAACCCTAAACCCTAAACCCTAAACCCTAAACCCTAAACCCTAAATCCTGCACCGGTCCGTACCGGGAGTTCCCTTATAGCCTTTTAAACTGTCGAAAAGATGGATTCGCTTTTTTCATGTACGCAAGCCCAAATCCCTGCGTTTTTGGGCCATGAAGTGTTTTGAAATCCATTTTTTCGGAAGCTCGGGTTTAGGGCTTTAGAGCATTTAGGGGGGGCTTAAGTTCTATGTTTTGTCAGTCAGTGTCAAGGGACCTGGCCGGCTTCAGGGTTTAGGGTTTAGGGTTTAGGGTTTAGGGTTTAGGGGGTTTAGTGTTTAGGGGGTTTAGGGTTTAGGGGGTTTAGGGTTTAGGGTTTAGGGGGCTTGCTTGTTTGATAAACCCAAAGCCCTAAGCCCTAAACCGTAGAAGCCCTAAACTTACCCTCGAATACCAAGCTCCTTAACCCTTAACCCTCAACAGCAAAACCTTGAAGCCGTCAGTACTACACCAAAACCCCCAGCCCTAAACCCAAAACCCAAAACCCAAAACCCAAAACCCTGAACCCTGAACCCTGAACCCTAAACCCTAAACCCTAAACCCTAAACCCTAAACCCCGCCCCGAAAGCCTAAACAGGACTTCGGGTTCGCCTTCTTCGTTGGCTTCTTTGTGGCCATGGGCCTGGTCTACGCCCTGTTCGTCATGGTCCCTTGCGGGGTTAGGGGTTCCGGGTTTAGGGTTTCGGGTTTCGGGTTTAGGGTTTAGGGTGTGGTAGAGTTCTTAGCGCGTGTCGCGTGGCGGTACACCCACCCCAAACCACCCGGCGTATAGCATTTTCGGCTTTTGGTCCTAAACTCTGGGGTTGGTGCACTTATCCGCTGTGGGCCTGTTCCACTGCAGGCGCGCGGCCGTTCTAAATCGTCCCTCGTTCAGACGACAACGGTGGTTGTTGCCGTGTAGGGGGGCTGGAGGCCCCGGCTTGACTTCCGGGCGGGTCAAATGTCGGAGGGCAGCTCCTGCGCGGTGCCGGAATGGGCCTTGTGCCCCATCTCCACTGGCGCAGGCTGGCGCAAGCCTCCCTAGCTCCGCTCTGTCCCTGAGGCTCCACTTGGTCTTCCCGGGGGGGGTCCAAAGGCGCCGGCAAAGTGTTTGGGTTTTGGGTTTTGGGTTTGAACCTTTGACACTTAAATTTTGATCGTCTGATGCTCACGGCTGGGTGCTCATCTTGCCAGGCATTCAGCAGCCCCAGCTTGACCTGGGCTGCAAGCCGGGTCTCACTTCCGGTATGGCTTAAGGGTTCCGAAGTTTCGGGGTTTAGGGTTTCGGGGTTTCCGCGTTCAGGGGTTGAGGGGTCTAGGGGTTTAGGGTTTAGGGTTTTGGGGGTGTAGCTATGTTGTTGGCGTTTTGGGGTTCAAGCGCGTAGGGGTTTAAAGATTGTGCGCCAGTCGCAAGCTGGTGAAAAGCTTATGCACCTAAACCCTAAACCCTAAACCCTAAACCCTAAACCCTAAACCCTAAACCCTAAACCCTAAAGCCTAAACCTTAAACCTTAAACCCTAAACCCTAAACCCTAAACCCTAAACGCCAAACCCGAAACCCTAAACCCTAAACCCGAAACCCTAAACCCTAAACCCTAAACCCTACACCCTAAACCCTAAACCCCAAGCCACTGAACCCTACGGCCGCTCTTCCAGCCCAAGGTTCAACTTGAATCCGACTCAATTGCGAACAGGGGTGGGCCGATCGCTGGCTCAGTCTTGCTGGCACCTTTCAGGCTGGTTTAGGGTTGAGGGTTGAGGGTTGAGGGTTTAGGGTTTAGGGCCAGGGTTAGGTTGAGGGTTGAGGCTTGAGGGTTTGGGGTTTAGGGCTGAGTGATTCGAGTCTCCTAAGCCCTAAACAAAAAAATTGACTTTCAAGGGAGCCTTCGGTCGTTGCTCGCAGTACGAGCTGCCCCTCCGTTGTGTCAGCCCAGAAATCGTAAACTTCCTTCCGAACATGCCAGAATGATTCCGGAAAAACGAAGACTCTAAGCCCCTAAACCCTGCACCCGAAACCCTAAGCCCCCTAAACCCCACGACTTCAACTCAAAGCCACAGGCTGTTGGTAGCCCCAAATGTGCAGAGCTGCTAGGTCGAGACATAAGAAAACGGTTCGAACCGAATGTGCCCAAAATGGCCCTGCAAGTACTTTCATAATCTGGGGTCTAGAGTGCAGGATTGAGGGTTTGGGTTGAGTGTTTAAGGATTAGGGTTTTCAGGGTTCAGGTTTTCAGGGTTTAGGGTTGAGTTGTACGGGTTGGGGGCTTTGGGAGCGAGGATTGAGGGTTTAGGGTTTGGGGTTTATGCCCCAAAAGCCTGCATCCTAAAGCATCAGGTTCGAGTTTAGGGTTTTGGAGTTTAGGGCCCCAAACCCTAAACCCAAACCCTAAACCCTAAACCCTAAGCCCTAAACCCTAAACCCTAACCCTAAACCCTAAACCCTAAGCCCTAAACCCTAAACCCGAAACCCTATACCTATACCCTAAACCCTAAACCCCGTAGGTTCTGCACTCCCCCTGCAGGGCTGCCGTGGAGAGCGCGGAAGCCGGCGTGGCAACCATGACTTGGGGGTGGATACTTCGGGCCGAGCAGCAGATCGAGGCAACGCTACAAAACCCGATATGGTAATTTCTCGAAAAATTTGGGTTCCTTGTAAGGTGGCCCCACTTAATAAGGGTACCCAAGGTAATTTCGAGGACTGACCATATGGTCAGTTCTCAAAATCATGGTCCCCTTTTTTTGGGTACCCTAAATGATTTACACTAGTAACCCGCAATGGGCCCTAATTTTGAGAATCCCCCAGAAAAACATGTACATATGTATATATGTATATATGTGTATATATATATATATATCTGTGTGTGTATAAACCCGTAGCAAATGATGCATTTTGCATGCTGACTAACCTGTTATGTACTATAAAACAGAGAGAGAAAGAGAGAGCATATGTTATACCACCTGGCATCCAAGCCTCCATGACCTTACACCCCTAAGCCCTCAAGCCCCTAAACCCGTAGAGTCATCCTTACAGATAGACTCCCCAAATTCGGGACAGTATAAGCCCTAAACTCATATTGCGGTAACCCACCCTAAACCCTAAACCCTAAACCCTAAACCCTAAACCCCCTAAACCCTAAACCCTAAACCCTAAACCCTAGACCCTAAACCCTAAACCCTAAACCCTAAACCCTAAACCCTAAACCCTAAACCCTAAACCCTCCAAGCCTTAAGAGCAGCTGTAGACACAGCTGATCGAGGCTCCGGGTACGGGCCTCGTGGCACCCTATGGCGACTCAGAATGTTTCAGAGGCTCTCATATATTTCTTGACACCTCGCGATTTTGGGTTTAGGGTTAGGGTTTTGAGGTTTAGGGTTTAGGGTTTTAGGGTTTAGGGTTGTAGGGTTTAGGGTTTACGGCCTTCTGATTTCTGCTCACTTGCTTGCAAGGTGTTGTCTGGCACCGTCGGTTTAGATTGAGGGCTTCGCAGCATTGCATAGTGTTTGCTCAGAAGCCTTGAATCCTACACCTTCTAGCAGGCTTTGCGGGCATACTTCTTTCAGGGCTTTAATATGGCGTGTGGGCACTTCTCACACTACACCAGGGGCTCATGTGAGCTTCTGGCTTGGTTTTAGGGTGCAGGGTTTAGGGGTTAGTGGCCCTAAACCACAGAGCCCAAAACCCTTATCCTGTCACAACCCTCAAGACTCTGAATCCCTAAATGTGAAACCAAGTTCGCACTGCGAGGCATGGAACGACCTCCGCGACAATGAAAGGCTTTCCTGGTTCGAGCAAAAGGAGCGCAGATGCGCAGGAGGCCCCGTGGGGTACTTGGTGGGTTTGGGGTGTGGTCTTCCTCATCTTGGTTTGTTATTGGTAGCGGAGCTACCAAGCCCTTCTTGCTAGATATCCCTATGACTTCAAGGAGCTTGATGATGATCGTGTCCTTCGACTCGGAGTACAACCTGAACAAACCAGTGACGACCATCAGAAGCCCGAGGTTCTTGTTGCTTCGCATGAGGAAGGGGCAAGACAAGCAAGGCGCAGTAGACCAAGTACAGCCTGTGAGATCTCCTTTGACGACAGTGTTCCCAAACATGTGCAGTCTGCCCTCGCAAGGTTACATCAAAATCTCGGACATCCTGCTGTACATGATCTGGCAAGGCATCTCAGATTTGCCGGAGCTGATGCCGGGTCGTGAAGGCTTGCAAAAGTCTCCGTTGTGAGGTTTGTGAGAGAAACCACCGAACCAACATACCGCGCCCGGCAACACTTCCCTCGCTCCTCGACATGAACCAGCTTGTGAGCATAGATGTCTTCCACGTTTTCGATTCTAACCGAGTTCGACATGAGCTTCTTTCCGTCATTGACCATGCGACGACCTACCACCTTGTTTGTAGACCTCCAGGACATCGCACCCAAGATTTCTTGCATGCCTTCACTTTGTTGTGGGGTAACGTCTTCGGAGCGCCTGGCACCATAGCAGCAGATCTAGAACCTGGTCTGCAGGCCGGGCTAAGTCAATATGCTGAATTTCATGGATGCAAAGTACGACCAGCGGCTGGGCAGGCCCACTGGCAACAGGGTGTGATAGAGAGGCATGGCATGTGGTTTGAGGAGATGTTGAAACGAGTCATTGATGAAAAATCCATCGTTGGGGAGGACCTTGAGCTAGCAATCCAGGCCGTCAACAGCGCAAAGAATGAACTTCGAAGACAGCACGGTTTCTCTCCTAATCAAGCAGTTTTTGGACGGGATCCTAAAGTGCCAGAGGAGCTGATGTCTGGCGTCGATGAAGAGAAGTTCATCGAGCTTATCTCCGAGGACAGGCAGAGACAACGGGAAGTCAGTATCAGGACCTCAGCTCGTATGGCGTTTTTCAGGACCCAAGCAGATGCCAAATTCCGTCGAAGTCTCCTTCAAAGGGCTCGGGTTAAACGAGGAGGTTATCGCATTGGAGAACTCGTCTGTTTTTACAGGATCGAGAAAGTGGCAACTCGCCGAGGGCAGTGGCGAGGACCCGGGACAATCATAGGGGCAGAAGGTGGAAACTGGTGGATCTCCTTTGGTGGTCGGTGTCATCTAGTTGCCGAGGAACATTTGCGACCTTCAACAGCAGAAGAACTCGGTGATCTTCTTTCCACCAAACTTGCCCGGGATGACCTGGAGAAACTCCTTCAGTTAGACCCCGATGATCCCGAAACATATCAAGAGCCAGATCAGGAACCAGGCGATATCGACGAAGATCCCGGTCAGGAACCCCAACATGACATCGACATGGATTTTCAGTTCGATCTCGGTCCCGAAGACTCCATTCCCGATTATAGTCCTAGCGTTGCTGCTGATGAAGGATTTCATCCTCAAGAACGAGTAGAACCTCTTCGTCGGGAACTGGAATTCCTTACGCCGCCTGGAGGAGTTAACAAAAGGGTTCGTAAGAAGGGTCCTGGACCTGGTGCCGAGGTAGGAGAACATTCGGCCCATATGTTGAAGAGATGCCAGACTGAGAAGTCTCTCGAGAAGCAGCTCGAGAAAGAATTGCCGTGGCGTCTCATCCCGGAAAGTGAACGTCCCGCTTTTCGTGCTGCTGAAGATAAACAGTATCAGGAACACCTGAAACATGGAGCTCTACAACCGTTGAGTCTGGAAGAAAGTGAAGCTGTACGACAAAGCGTCGATCCTAGCCGCATCTTGACCTCGAGATTTGCCTACAAAGACAAACGTTGGAGCCGTAGGAAGGTCGATTCTGCTGTTTGTTGGAAACATAAGGCGAGACTCGTCATTGGCGGACACAAAGACCCGGATATCCATATGCTCCAGACCGACGCGCCTACCATCAATCGATTGTCGGTGCTGATCTTGCTGCAACTTGTCGCAAGTAGAAAGGGTTCTGAGCGTTGGGAGGCATCAGCAGGCGACATAACTGCCGCCTTTTTGAACGGCGACGAGCTCGATCGCGAGCTCTACCTTCTTCAGCCCAAAACCGGTCTGAGTGGCCTCCACCCTCAACAACTCCTCAAAATCACCAAAGGGATTCTTGGGCTTCCTGACAGTCCCCGAAAATGGTGGCGTAAGCTTCGGGAAAGTATTTTGGGGCTCCACATCTCCTATGATGGGATCGACTACAAGTTCGTGCAAAATCCTCTCGATCCTTGTCTTTTCCAACTGGTTGGTTCACAGCAAGGCAGCAGTGTGGCGCCGATCGCATACGTCGGAGTTCATGTTGATGATCTTCTTGTGGTAGGCTCCCCCGAAATCAGTCAGCAAATTCGTCACAGTCTCTCACAGGTGTTTCCTGTAGATGATTGGGAAATAGATGATTTCGAGTATCTTGGATCACACATCACAGTTTCCGAGAAAGGGGTATACGTGTCACAAGAAGCCTATGCCTGCAGCCGACTCTTCGAGATCCCTGTCACCAAAGACCAGAACGAAGAAGACCTCGCGACTCTCGAGCAGAAGATCGACAACCAGTCCCTTATAGGCGCATTGTCGTGGCTGAGTTCCCAATCTCGGCCCGATCTTACCTGCAGCGTTTCCCTTGCGCAACAACTACAAAGAGAACCTTCAGTGTCCGACATCCGATTTACCAATCAGATCGCTCGACGTGCATTGGAACACAAGGACAAGGGGATATGGCTACGACCGCTTGATCTCTCCAAGCTTGAGTACCTTGTCTATCACGATGCTGCTTGGGCGAACGCAAAACTCGGAGGAGAAGAAGGTTTTCGACTGAGCCAAGCCGATCACGAACTGGGCCAAATGTCCGGTACCCCGTATGATTGGAAGGAAAGGAAGGCTAAGAGAGCCAACTCAAATGTGGCCAGTCAATGTGGTTTGCTGGTTGTTCTTACCGATAGTGAGGCGTTCGCTGCCGGAGGTGGGGTCTGTAGCATAGTTGATTGGAAGTCATCTGCCACGCGAAGAGTATGTAGGTCAACTTTTGGTGCCGAGACTACAGCCTGTACAGAAGCTGTAGAGGAAGGACAATACGTTCGCTCATATGTCGAGTCCATCCTTTCTGGTACCCTGAAGACCGTTGACTCTCTGTCTGGACACCAGTTGCGCTGCATCACCGATTGCAAGAGCTTGTACGATCATCTTCACAAGGAGGGCATTCCTAGGATCCCCACCGACAAGAGGCTCGCAATCGATCTGTCCGCTCTCAGACAGAATTTTGACTTCGAGAAAATCCAAGATCGTGCTCCGCTTTACTGGGTTCCCACTAGCTATCAGCTTGCCGACATTCTTACTAAGCCGAAGTCTGCTACCGAGTGGTGGAGCACTCTCTTCGGTGAGATACGTCTGCCGTTCGCTAGCTCTTTGAAAGAGCCGGCGTAAGCAGCTTTTTCGCTGCTCTTACTTTTGAACCAGTGTGAAACCAAGTTCGCACTGCGAGGCATGGAACGACCTCCGCGACAATGAAAGGCTTTCTGGTTCGAGCAAAAGGAGCGCAGATGCGCAGGAGGCCCCGTGGGGTACTTGGTGGGTTTGGGGTGTGGTCTTCCTCATCTTGGTTTGTTACTAAACCCTAAACCCTAAACCCTAAACCCTAAACCCTAAACCCTAAACCCTAAACCCTAAACCCTAAAACCTCCAAAGATCCAACACACAGAAACCCAGGCTCTAAACCCTCAAGCCCTAAACCCTAAACCCTAACCCCCTAAACCCCCTGCACCCCTAACCCCCCACCTTAAAAACTATCCCCCCCCCCGGCAGCCCCTTGCAAAACAACCAAACCACCGAGGCATGGTCTTGACGGAAGGGCTTACGCCTTTCCAAGCACTGGCTGCTTCCTACGGTGTCTACGGCTCCGCCAAGGCTCCTTGATGGTCTGTATCAGGGTTCTAAGGGATTTAGGGTTGAGGGATTTCGGGGAGTGAGGGGTTCAGGGTATTGGAGGTGTGCAGAAAATGTGGGTTTAGGGTTTAGGGTTTGGCGTTTCGGGGGTTCAGGGGACTTAAGGTACATGTTCGGGACCTGGCAAGGGCGGCTGGGGCTGCGAGCAGCGCCCCCACGTACGTGTTCTATGTGATTTAGTGTATATTTTATGTTCCCGAGTGCATAAAAACTTTCTGTATATATATATATATAGATATTCTAGATTATATGGTATTGGAAGGGGTTTCTTGACTCCTGCAAAAACTCTGAGCTTACTTCAGGAAGATCTAAGGAGGATTCCACACAGCCATACAGATCAGTACTATGGTTTCAAGTTATACACCCTAAACCCTAAACCCTAAACCCTAAACCCTAAACCCTAAACCCTAAACCCTAAACCCTAAACCCTAAACCCTAAACCCTAAACCCTATACCCTAAACCCTATTCCCTGAACTACGCCCTGCTGGAAGATCTGGGAAGGCCATGTCGTCCGGACTCCTGGACCTTTGGTCAGGTGGACGCTTGTCGCGGTTCGGCCCTTGAGATGTTTTAGGGTTTAGGGTTTAGGGTTTAGGGTTTAGGGTTGGGAGTTTGGGGTTTTAGGGTTCGGGGTTTGGGATTTGGGGTTTGAGGTTTTTGAACCTTTCTGTGTTTGCAGTGCATGCGTGTGTTGGGAAGGCGGCAAGCTGGTCGAGCCAGTTACGGTTCCTAAACGCGGAGCCCTAAACCCCAGAGCTGGTACTTTCGTTTTCTCGTGCTGCTTCTCTCAGGCTTCGTCGATAGACATTTCGCGGTTTGCGTGGCCGATCCTTAAGGCGTCGTCGCTCGGTCTCCCGTCCATAGGACCCATTTCTGCGTTGAACTGACATGGAAGCATGTAGCAACGCCTTGCACCCAACACGCATAAACAATCACTCAGTGGCTGGCTGCATGTCCAAGAATCCTCAACGTAGAAATGGCGTAGCCAAGAGACGTTGTGTCGAGTGACATCCTGTCTTTATGGTACTTAGTCTGCATGGGCAAGTGGTGTCTGTGAGCTGAACGTTGTATGCAACACATTCCCCTCGTTGCTGGCTCCACATCTGCAACTCAGGACGTCCGGTGGCCCTCCAGGCTTCACGGCCCATGCTGTTCGCCGCCACGCAAACGTGGCTCCTGATTGCTTGCTTTGGAGAGCTCGCCCTTTTTGCTTTGGCGCCTAGCTGCGGTTGGGAGTTGTAAGTAGTTCGCACAAAAACGGTAAAGCATGGCTGACTTTCGGACGCTGCTGCCAGACACGCCCGGGGTTGTTCTAGATCAGTTTCCTTTTCTGCGTCCTCTGTGGCATGATACCAGCGACCTGAAAGGCCACCCTCACCTAGGGACCAATCCCCGTGTTTACCTGGTCAAACCTAGCCAGAGCCAGAGAGCTAGCCTAGTCAGGCAAGCCGGGTGCTACACCCTTCAGTCCCCATTGCGTTCTATGTCGCTGCGGCTGCGCTCAACACAATGAACGAGCAAGGAACAACCGGCGATGCCAAATTTCACGCTTGCTTCACGTCGGTCGTTCAGGTGACGCAGAGCATGTTTGGATTTCATACCTGTCCAACTGGCTTGAGACACTTGGTAGCCCAGAGGGGTACCCTTTACCCCTTTTTTTGCTTAGGGTTGCCCTTTTAAAATAGCCAACCCCAAGAGAAGGGTGCCCTTATCAGAGTATGGTTACTGGGCTACCAAGGACAGGAGGAATCTTCAGTGAAGACGTCAGGGCCTGGATGGCCCGAGGGCACGTTTGTCGTGGTGCGACTGCTGGCCTTGGTGGGCCTTTGCTTCCTGGACTTGCCAAATGGTCTATTGCCCATCGGGACGTTGGGACGCCCCATGGGCAGGTCGGCCCTAAACCCTCAACCCTCAACCCTCAACCCTCAACCCTCAACCCTCAACCCTCAACCCTCAACCCTCAACCCTCAACCCTCAACCCTCAACCCTCAACCCTAAACCCTAAACCCAAAACCCTAAACCCTAAACCCTAAACATGGGCAGGTCGGTGCTTGGTGAAGAGTTCCTGTCGCCGCTCCTTGCTGCAGTGAAGGCGACGCGGGCGCCGAAGCGGTGGCGCGTCACTTTGAACATTGCAGCTTCGAAGGCTTGGGAGGAAAGAGCGCGGGGTCCACTGCCTTCAACGCCATGATTGCAGCTGCTGCCGTCGTTTGCGTGCCAATACACGTCCTGACAACGCTGGGCCAGCTAGCCTTCAACAGCCACTACAGAACCTCAGGGAGCGCTTGGAAATATTTTCTTTCATTTTTGGGCACTTTAAGTCCTAAGACGCAGCTAAAATTTAAATTTTGTTTGGGTACTTTTAAGTCCTAAGAAACAGCTAAAATGGTGTTAATTTGTTGCTGAGGTTCCAAGTTCAGTATAGGAACCGGCCTCGCCAACCCGGAGCTCAAGGCAGAGGTGCAGAGCAAGAACTCGCAGATCGAGGCGTGGAAGTCTCACCATCTGGACGTCCTGCACCCCGAGCGGGTCATGGAGCGCTTTATGCCGATGCCCAACTGGTAAAGACGCTCTGGACCCTAAACCTTAACCCCTAACCCTAAGCCCCAAGCCCTAAACCCTAAACGCTAAACCCTGGCCTTTGTGTTTCACGAACCTTGGCCTCCTGCCGTTCCCGATCCAAAAAGACCCTGTTGCTGAAGCTGGCAGATGGGGGGTTTCTAGCTCGTCTCAGGGCCGCCGAGTATCTGAAAAGCTCGCTTGCAAAATCTACAAAACCTATAAAACCTTTAAAACCTATAACGCCTATACCCTCAAGCCAGAAATTTCTCGCCACAAGCTGGGGAAGGGCGGCCCTATCTGGCTGGTTCTTAGTCCCTCTATACAGTGCCCTAATTCCCTCATTCCTTGCCAAGAACCAAGCGAGGGGGTGTAGGTAACCCTAAACCCTGAACCCTAAACCCTAAACCCCAAACCCTAAACCCTAAACCCCAGACCGTAAACCCTAAACCCTAAACCCTAAACCCTAAACCCTAAACCCCCATTCCCTACTAAGAACCAGGGGGCTCTGCAAGAGATCTGGTCACTCGGGGCATCCGGGCTTCATGGGCTTCGCGTGGGCCCCAGACTTGCCAAGCATTCCCAAGAGCGGCATGTCTAGGGTTTAGGGTTTAGGGTTTAGGGTTTAGGGTTTAGGGTTTAGGGTTTAGGGTGTAGGGTTTAGGGTGACTGTGTGAAGCCGAGACTTCAGCAGACGCGGTGGTGCTTGCCAGCACTTTCGCGCAGCTTTCCCTGGAGAGAAACTAGGACCCGGAGTAGGCCCTTACTTCCTTGTTTTAGGGGTTTAGGGTTTAGGGTCTAGGGCTACCAGGACAAGGAGTAGGCCCTTACTTCCTATTTTTAGGGTTGGGGTTTCCTATATAATCCCCTTAAACCCAGAAAGGGTGCCCTTTTTATTGGTTTCTCCCGGGTCTAGGACAATGCTGTTGTAGAGTGCGCTGCTGCTTAAAAGAGTAGTATTCCCTTAGGGGTCCCTGTATACCTATACTTTTATAATACTTCCCCAACACTCTCTTCTAGTGATGAACCAGGTAGGCCCTTGGGATGTTCGTATATTTTGCCTTGTTGGGTTGGAGGATGATGTTTAGGAATCTGTTTTCAGGGGGTTTTTGAGGGCCAACCTGGTTTAGGGGATTTGCCGTCTGTTTCAGTTTAGTATCTTGATGCGTGCTTGTATCGGGCACATGCAAGCGCTTCAGACGGCAGTCAGAACTTAGCCCCCCCCGCTTTTCCGTCCCACATGGGCTATGGACCAGTCCACGGGATTCATGCCTTTGGTCTGCGAGTCAGCTAGCGAAAGCAGTGAAGATGATCAGGCAGGCCCGTGCTTAGCCCCTGGCGCCGCTTGTTCTTGCGTGGAAGGTGACCTTTCACATGATGACATGAGAAAGCTAGCTGCCAAGTTCGAGCACGAGTGTCTCACAAAAGATGGCTTGTTCCCGAAGTATGACAGGCGGGAATACAAGGACGACAAGCTTGCAAAGCAGGATTCTGTAGACTGCTCCAGGGCCATCAAGGTTTATGTGGACATGAGACCGCAGGAGTTAAAACGAATTGATGACGAGAACGAGCAATTCGGCCTCGTTTTTGTCCTGAAGCTTTGGTGGCGCGACCCGAGATTAAAGAACTTCAAGGCCCAACTCTGCATCGAGAAAGAAGCACCGAATACAGCTCCATTTCTTGAAGAGATCGACGTGGTGGTGCGGGAACTTCATGAAGATGGCACCTTGGTGTTTGAAGATTTCCAGAAGCTCGGCTCTCGGCAGACTCGCAAGAAGCACGAGTATGTGTCCATCAGCCCGCCAAAGTGGGAGAACCACTTCTTCCCCAAGCACACGTTTATCAATCAGGTGGACGCTGAAGCACAGGGGGGCATCCACATCGCGGAACGACAACTGCTATGGTGCAATGAGGCTGGTGGCGTTGTGGAGTACAAGGCGAAGTACGACAGGGTTTTTGAAGAGACCTTGGAACTCAAGGAATTTCCCATGGACCGCCAGCTGTGTCGAGTGAAGCTGACAGCAGAGTCACCGGTAAGCGATTTTCAGTTCATTGCAATCGACACCTGCCGGCGTCTATCAAAAGTCACGGATATGTGGGAGACAAGCAAAGAGGAAGACCATCCTGAGTGCATTGTTTATGTCCGACATGTGGACCGCATTCTCCCCAGCAGCAACATGATCCAACGGCCACTGGGCGATTGCAGGGCTTTGGGTGTAAAACCCTAAGCTCCGCAAGCCTGAAACACTTACCCTAAACCCTAAATCCTAAACCCGACACACCTGGAAGTCTTCCACGTCTTTTTAAGGAAAAACATATAAACATAAACATGAATGCAAATAGAAGTATTAATAAACGTTTAAATACAAATACAAATATAAATATTGGTATAAGTATAAATATAAGAATATATATATATATAAACAAGAAATACAAATGTATTTAGATTCTATATCTATATCTATATCTGTATCTATATCGATATCTATATATATAATATATATATATATATATAGGTTTTTCTCATTCTACGCTGTCCGAGAGCGTAAGCAGGCCAGCGGGAAGAGAGTGGCAGAGCGAGAGTTGGTCCCGTGTGCGAGTGTCTTGCAAGTTGGGGGGATAAGATTGGTGAGTTGAGAGTGGCAGGAAGGGTTTAGAGTATAGGTTTTAGGGTTTAGGGTGTTTGGGGGCTTTACGGTGTTTAGGGTAGGGCGTTTAGGGGGTTTAGGGGGTATAGGGGGTTTAGGGGGCTTTAGGTGGCTTTAGGGGGTGGGGGGTTTAGCGGGTTCACAGGGCAAGCTGAGGTCGCTGGTCAATATGGTTCTGCATGTGCGGCGCAAGCCGGACTTCTTTTACCACAGCGTGTGGCTGATGGTTGCTCAGTGGCCCTTGGGACATGTTACATTTTCCCTGAATTAGGGCTCAAGAGGATTATATGTAAACCCTAAACCCAAGACCCTAAGCCCTGCACCCTAAACCCTAAACCCAAAACCCTAAGCCCTAAACCCCTTCAGAGGGTTTTAAGGCCATCTTAAGGTTGCACTCATCAACGGCATTAGCCTCTGCTCCTTTGCCATTCGTCCAAGCCACCACTCTGGCCGTTTAAGTTACCTGAGTACATGCTTCTTGGCGGTCCTTGCGTACCGCTACATCATCAACGACTCTCTACCCAAGAAGTCGTATACCACGTACGCGGACCAGTACATCATCTCTGCCTGCGCGTTTCAAGCTGTGCTGTGTTTGTGGTCTAGCATCCTCATGTTTTGCTGGCGTGTTTCAGAGGATCAAGATGAGCACTTGGACCCCGACACGCGTGGAAGGATTGTAGCGGCTGATGTCGCCGCCCTAGGCCTTGCCACGTTTGCGTTCATTCTTTTGAACTGCCAGCTCCTGTCTTGGTGGAGGATCGCGAGGTTCCATAGCTGGCAGGAAGTATACGAAAGAACCACCAACAAAGAGCCGTACTTTCCGGTCGACGAGTGCAAGAGCTGTGGGGGCACCTTCCTGAGCCAGCAACACTGCCATGCAGACCCTAACAAGCGTTGTCAGAACTCGGACTGCAAGCAGCAGAATATCCATACACACTACCTCACACCAAAGAACGTCCCTGAGGACATGAGAAGCGCCCTCCTGCCTTCGCTTAAGGATCGTTTGAAGAGACATGGGCCTGCCGACGAAGTCGAAGAATATCTGGCAGCCCACGCTTGAAAGCGAGCCTGCGAGCCAGAAGACACAGTGGAGTTCAGCTTTCGTGGAACGAATCATGTAAGCAATCAAGTTGCGCGCGTGGTCGCGCCGTGTGCTGCCTTGCATAGGACAGGTGCATTCCTATTGATTGCTTAAGAACCCCAGCCCAAATACAAAGATTCTTCGTCATAAGGGCAATAAGGGGCTTATTATCTTCTATGTTTTGGGGCCAAAAACGCAAAGATTCTTCCTAATAAGGGCAATAAGGGGATCATTATCTTCTATTTTTTTGGGGAGGTTCTGCGGGGTTTCCAGATGCCGCAAGCGTGTGCTGCAGCCTGACATCGCTAAGCGACAGGACTTTTCAAAACTGATGGAGACCTTCGGGTTTAGGGTTTAGGGTTTAGGGTTTAGGGTTTAGGGTTTAGGGTGTAGGGTTTAGGGTTTAGAGTTTAGGGTTTAGGGTGGTGGGTTTGCTGCGGCTTCGGGTTCAATCGAACAGCTTGCGCTCCAAAGCAGTTTAAAACAACAAGGCGTCGAAGTCTAAGTCCTCGACCCGAAGCAGCAAGAGATAGCCACTCCTCCCACAATCCCAGGGTTTAGGGTTTAGGGGTTTAGGGTTTAGGGTTTAGGGCCCTAGACCACAAATCTCTTAACCCCCTAACCTTGGGATGTTCCCCCTTGTACTCACAGTCCTTACTAGGGATTATAGGGATTATAATCCTTTTTAAGGACTGTTAGTAAAAGGGGCAACATCCCAACCCCTAACCCCTCAAAATCCTAAGCCCCGCGCCCTAAACCCTCAACCCAAACCCTGAGAACCCCGAAGTGGTCGCCGTGCTTAGTCGAGACATCCTGCAATTTAGGTTTAGGGTTTAGGGTTTAGGGTTTAGGGTTTAGGGTTTAGGGTTTAGGGTATCTTGCATGCCTTTGAACCTCAAAATCCTAAAGGGCCACAGAGCCCTAGAGTAAACACCAGAAAGTTGGAACATGGCTTAAGGATGATTAGAGCTGGGATTCCCTCTAGTGTTCCTTTTGGGGTATGGGGATAAAAAAGGTTCCAACTCTTTGGAGTTTACTGTAAACCTTCAACCCTAAACCCTAAACCCTAAACCCTAAACCGTAAACCCTAAAACCCTAAAACCCTAAAACCCTAAAACCCTAAAACCCTAAAACCCTAAAACCCTAAACCCTAAAACCCTAAAACCCTAAAACCCTAAACCCTAAACCCTAAACCCTAAACCCTACACCCTAAACCCTAAACCCTAAACCCTAAACCCTAAACCCTAAACCCTTCAGTTGCTTGCAACGATCAAGTTGGCTTCAGCAGTGGTGGAACCCGGCCTTTGGCCCGCCCCTTTTAGCTCCTTGGCCGCATGCACGGTGGCATGGGACCCTACACCCTAAACTTAAACCCAAGACAGGGTTTAGGGTTTATCCCAAACCCCAAACCCCAGACCCCAGACCCCAGACCCCAAACCCTAAACCCTAAACCCTAAACCCTAAACCTTAAACCCTGAACCCTAAGCCCTAAACCATACACCCAAAACCCCACCTTAGTCCACCCCCAGACCGGTGAGGTCGGACATGGACTCGAAGCCCGAGGGAACTGAGGAGGTGGACGCGGACATCATCGCCGACCTTCCTGGAGACGGGACGGAGGCGGGGTTTAGGGTTTAGGGTTTGGAGTTTGGGGGTTTGGGGTTTAGGGTTTAGGGTTTGGGGTTTAGGGTTTAGGGTCTAGGGTCAAGGGTCTAGGGTCTAGGGTTTAGGTAGGGGTCAAGGGTTGGAGGCCCGAGGGGTGGTTTCAGGGCTGAGGGCTTCAGGGTTTAGAGCAGGGTTTGTTTAGGATCGGGTTCAGGGCTGCCCCCCCCCCCCGCAATACGAGCCCAAACCTCCAGCGAGGTTTCAGAGCACATTTCCCCCCCCCCCCCCCCCCAAACCGACAACCCCCCCCCAAGGGGGGCTCGTTGTTGTTGGATTGCGCGCTGGGAGGGGCAGCTGTGCGGAGAAACCTTGCCGTGGCCGAGGTTTGGGCCTCTACTGTATTGGGTTTAGGGTTTAGGGTTTAGGGTTTAGGGTTTAGGGTTTAGGGTTTAGGGTTTAGGGTTTAGGGTTTAGGGTTTAGGGTTTAAGGACCTGCTCTGGAGCCGGTGCGCGGTTGAGGGCTTCAGGGTTTTTTGGGTTTAAGGGGAAGGGCCGCTCTCTAAACCAGGGGTCGCCGAGAACCTTAAGCCCTACCCAAGTTCGTCCCAACATTCAGGAGGCTAGCCCCATCATGAACCCAGAGCCCTAAACCCTAAACCCTAAACCCTAAACCCCAAACCCTAAACCCTAAACCCTAAACCCTAAACCCTAAACCCTAAACCCTAGACCCTAAACCCTAAACCCCAAACACTCTAAACATTGAGACTGAAGTGGGCAGCACATTGGCCAGGAGACGGAGGTCGAGAAGAAGCAGCGACTGGCCAAGGAGACGCCTGGGAAGCAGAGGGCGGTTAAGGGTTTAGGCTCTTTTGTGGTTCAGGATTCAGAACCCTAAACCCTAAACCCTAAACCCTGAACCCTGAACCCTGAACCCTGAACCCTAAACCCGAAACCCTAAACCCTAAACCCTAAACCAGGCTTCTAAAGGAACTTGCATGGTCCCTTAGTGTGTTCGCGTACCTCCTCTTGAGGGTTTCTGAAGTATCGGCCCTTGCGTTGCGTATGGTATATAAGGGGTATATAAGGGGCCCCCTTTTAAGGGCCCAGATTAAGAGACCTAGCTACCCTAGTAGGGTTAAGCCTTCAGGGTTTAGGGTTCAGGGTTTAGGGTAGGAAAGAAGAGGGCGGATGGATGTAGCGTTGTGCGAGTTGTGAGGTGCGAATGGTTTCTGCTCCCAAATGAACACCCCTGAGCCCAGAACCCTGACCTTTATGGCCCCTACAAGGGAATCCAAATCTTTTTGCAGAAAAGCTTCAGACCCGCAGGCCACGAAAGTACTTCCAAAGACCACATCCACCAGAGTTCAGAGCGACACCTGAATGCACACCCCGAGCAACCCTCTCCTAAACCCCAAGCCCTAAACCTTAAACCACACACCCCAACCCGAACCCTAAACCCTAAACACCCAAACCCTCAACCCCAACTCCTAAACCCTAAACCCCTCAAGCCCCAAACCCGCAGGAGAAGAAAGAGGCTCTCAAAGAGTGGCTGGGCCTCAACCTACGAACTTCGCAAGATTTGGGGGTTTAGGGTTTAGGGTTTAGGGGTTTCGGGTTTAAATTCAAAGGTTAAAGGTTAAAGGTTCAGGGTTTGGGGCTTAGGCTTTACCTGGGGCTGTATTGAAGTTTCTAGGTTTAGGGTTTCGGGTTCCAGGCATCTCCTCGGGGGCTCCATCATGGTATCTTCCTTTAGTGGCGGGTGCAGATGAAGTAGGGTTCGTGCTCGGGCTTTGGTGCATGTAAAAATCGGGGATACTGGTGAGTGTACCTATGGGGGAGTATCCACTTGTTGAGGATGCGAGCAATAAAAGAGCTTTTTCATCTTGTAGTTTGGGTTGACCCCGTGGACCCGAAACCCTAAAAGACCCTGAAGACCACCCTAGAGACCTTAAAGACCCCGAAGACCTTAAAGACACCCTAAAGACCCTAAAGACCCTAAAGACCCTAAAGACCCTAAAGACCCTAAAGACCCTCAAGACCCTGAAGACCCTAAAGACCCTGAAGACCCTATACCCTCAGCCCTAACCTTTACACGCCACATGAAAAGTTCAATCCCAGACCCCTGAAGCCCCAGACCACGCAAAGCCTGCGATGCTCTCCCTTAAAGGAGGGTTTAGGGTTTAGGGGGTTTAGGGTGTTTAGGGTGTTTAGGGTTTAGGGTTTAGGGTTTGGGGTTTAGGGTTTAGGGTTTAGGGTTTCGGGCGCTCTTTAGAAGCAGAGCCGGCTCCTAACAAAGTACGGTTCCCAGAAGTTCAAGGGTGGGCAAAGGCCCTAACTCTGGGACTCTTGGGGTTTAGGCTTTGAGGGCTGAACTTTGGATTCTTGGGCGCTAGGGTTTGGGTTCAGGGTTTAGGATATGGTTTAGGGTTTAGGGTGTAGGGTTTAGGGTTTAGGGTTTAGGGTTTAGGGTTTAGGGTGTAGGGTGTAGGGTTTAGGGTTTAGGGTTTAGGGTTTAGGGCTAGCAGGCTTCCTTGACAAACTGCCAACGCAGGTGGGGTGGGACGGCTTCCTTCGGCCGACTGCTCTCGCGGCCTGTCTTCCTGGGCCTTTGGGGGGGCCTTGGGGGTTTAGGGTTTAGGGTTCAAAACCCCCCAACCCCCCAAACCCGAACCCCGCAGTCCCAAGCCCTAAACCCTAAACCCGATTTAGGGTTTAGGGTTTAGGGTTTAGGGTTTAGGGTTTAGGGTTTAGGGGCTGTTGGTTCGGTGCCTTGGGCCTTCTTGGGGTGCTGCTGGGATCGGGCGGATGGCCGGCGGTTTAGGGGTTTATGCGTTTAGGGGGTTTACGGGTTTGGGGAGATTATGAAGTTTTATGGTGAGCCTCATGAAGAATATGACAGGTTTAGGGTTTTAGGACGTGGGGCTCTTTGACAAACCTCTTTTGGTTCCTAGGGAATCAGGTGCCTCAGATAGCTAGTCTCTCAAGGGCATCTATCACTTTTTGGGGATGCAGGGTACGGACTTCCCTATTTCCGCATGAAGAGTCCTCAGACGAAATTAGAGAAACCCTAAACCCTAAACCCTAAACCCTAAACCCTAAACCCTAAACCCTAAACCCTAAACCCTAAACCCTAAACCCTAAACCCTAAACCCTAACCCTAAACCCTAAACCCTAAACCCTAAACCCTAAACCCTAACCCCTAAAGTAGGTCAGAGTCAGAACCAACAATTTTCCCAAGGCTTGCCACGTGGACGGACCTGCTGATCTTGGCCCCTCGTCCGAAACTGCAACGCATGGACCCCAAACCCTAAACCCTAAACCCTAAACCCTAAACCCTAAACCCTAAACCCTAAACCCTAAACCCTAAACCCTAAACCCTAAACCCTGAAATTTGAATTCTGAATTTTGAAACCTGAATCTGAGCCTTGAACCCTGAATCCTGAACCTCAAGGCTCCGCTGGTTGGAACCCTGCACCCCAAACCCGAGCCACAAGCTCTTTCCGGGCATTCCCCGAAATCGGCGTATCCCTCATATTCCCTGGACCCCTACACGTCCACAGCCTACATAATCGTAGAGCCGAAACCCTAAAGCCTACAGCCTCAAGGGTTAGGGTCGCAGGACCACCCAAAACCCTCAAATCCAATAATCCAGAAATTCCCTAAATTGCTTAACCCCAAAACCCAAAACCCTTCAAACCCTCACACCCTAACACCCTAAACCCTAAAACCCCAAACCCGAGACACCTCCCAAACTGAACCCGGACCGAACCCAGACCCCCTGAGCCGTTCTAACCCTAAGCCCCTGAAGCCCCTAAAGCCCCGAAAGTCCCTAGAGCCCCTAAAGCCCCGAAAGTCCCTAGAGCCCCTAAAGCCCCGAAAGTCCCTATAGCCCCTACAGCCCGAAACCGTACACTCCTGCCGCCTCGAAAGCCCCTAAACCCCAAAACCCGAAGCCCTGAACTCCAAAAACCCTAAAGCCCTAAATCGCTAAGCCCCTGAACTAAAGCCCAAAAGCCCTAAGCCTGAAGCCCTAAACCCTCAACCCTCAACCCTCAACCCTCAACCCTAAACCCTGGACCCTAAACCCTAAACCCTGGCTCTCCCCCAGACACCCTTGGCAGAGGTACTTGGCATCTTGGGCGCAATCGCCTCCGGGGCGGGGCAGCCTATGCCGCTCGGGGCTAAATTTTTTCGTTGGTCGTCTGTTGAGGTTAAGGGTTTAGGGTTGAAACCCTAAGAAACTCCTAAACCGTTAAAGCCTTAAACCCCTCCTCCCTCAAACCCCTCGGCCCTTAACCCTAAACCCTTAGACCCCGAAACCCTAAACTCTTCAACCGTAAACCCTTAAACCCCAAAGCCCGTAGACCCCTGAACCCTAAAGCCCTCAAACCTCAAACCCTTCATCCTTTAAACCCTTACACCCTAAACCTTATATTGCCTGGTGGTCTCTTTAAGTAGGTGTTTCTGTTTTGTAGGGGGTTCTTATTCGGGTATCTAGGGGCTATATTAACGTACAAGGGTAACAGATAAAGAGGCCACCTTCCTTTATAACCTAAACCCTTAACCTCTTTTGAGGCCTTGTAGGAGGCCTGTACGGCGTGGGGGGGGGAAAGAAACCGAGCACCAAGGAAATTCAGGGTTTAGGATTTAAAGGGAACCCTTACAAGGTCAGTCCCTAAACCCTAAACCCTCAACCCTCAACCCTGAACCCTAAACCCTGAACCCTAAACCCTAAACCCTAAACCCTGAACCCTGAACCCTAAACCCTGAACCCTGAACCTTAAACCCTGAACCCTGAACCCTAAACCCTAAACCCTAAACGCTAGACCCCAAACCCCTTAACCCTGGCCTGAAGCCCTGAAACCCCGACCAACAACCCTAAGCCCTAAACCCGACGCCCCAAGCCCTAAACCCTGAGCCCTGAGCCCTAAACCCTCAACCCCAAACCCTGAACCACAATCCCTAAACTGAGTGAGCCCGGGGCCGTCGAACAGGGCGAACGCACCGAAGCTGGCAGGCGAGGTAGCTCCGGAGCCAGAAGCCCTCCGGCGGGCGACGGAGCTCCAGTCCCGCAGGCAGCTGCGGGCTGCGCGGTGAACCCGACAGGTCGCTGGCGAGAAACCCGTCAGGTCGCCCCAGGCCCCCCCTGCCTGGGACTGGGAGGATCTCCTGCTTGCCGACCTTTTGCCTGAACCTGAAGGATCCCCAACCAGGACGCAGCATCACCAAGCAAGGGCGGCAGCCAGCCCCAAGCCCAAACCTTCGGGTTTTTGAGAAAGACTCACTGCCTGGGAGGCTCCCTGCCTGGGATTGGGAGGATCTCCTCAACAACCATTAGAAAAGACAAAAATAACCAAAGTTGCAGCATCAGCATGGCGAAAGCCCAAACCTCTAATTTCACTCCCTTCCAAGCAAGTTTTCCAAATCCCCGCCCTGCACGCAGCATCGCCGAGGGCGAAGGCGGCAGCCGACTGATAGACATCTCCCTTGCAATGCCTAGGGGCTACGAACTTCAGGGTAGTTGATCTGCATCGATGCCGAGCTTCAACCCAATAGACAAGAGAAAAATGACAAAAGCACGATCAGAGTTCAAAAGAACCCTAAACCCGTAGAGGTTAAGGCGAGGGTGGAGCGCCAGCGGGGGTGGGCTTATGCAAATCGGGGCACGCGCCTGGGTGCTTTCAGCACCAGCGTGCCCACTCATTGAGACACCCTAAACCCTAAACCCTAAACCCTAAACCCTAAACCCTAAACCCTAAACCCTAAACCTCGCAACGGTGAATTTCGGCTTCAAAAGTGGACAATGGTGAATTTCCTTTTCCCCGAGTTTTTTCAAGGTTTTTCGAGGTTTTTCAGAGGTTTTCAGTGTTTTTCAAGGTTTTTCAATGTTTTTCAGGATGTTTCAGGCCTTTTAACCCTCAATTCTGATGAAGGGCAGCCCCCGCGACCTTTTCACAGCCTAGTTTTGGTCAAGGGGGGGTCGTATTTTTCAATTTTAAAGGCAAAATAGTCTTCGGAGACCCCCCCTGGCCTCAAACTCCGACCCCCCCTTGACAGCAGGGAAAGTTTGCCTCCAAAAACACCCCAAATGAGGGGGACCCAGGGTCGGCCCGGGTCCCTATTAAAAATGCGATTTTTTAGTACTGAAGTCGACGGTTCTGGGTGGCCTCGTTTTCTGGGTTTTTGACCACGAGCCTTCACCGATAGGGGCTTAAAATCCGTAGGGTTTAGGGCCCTAAGAGCATACAGGGCCTGTTGTGGGCCTTAGATTAGATTTCGGGTTTTGGGTCCGTTAAAAACTAACTACTGGGAATGTATTGAGTGAACTTTGTATTTTCTCAATGTTATGGGTTTCTTGGGTGGGTGGGTTTTTTTTTTCCAACGCTTGACAAGCTGCTTGACTAGTGAATGCTCGGATTTGAGATGCTGAACCCTAAACCCTAAACCCTAAACCCTAAACCCTAAACCCTAAACCCTAAACCCTAAACCCTAAACCCTAAACCCTATGTGCCAAAAGCTGCATTGGCGCCCCAGGATGTGCCTCATGCTGCTCGGCGGGCCGACATCTTTGGGGGGCGTCAGGGGTAATGGGGGTTTAGGGTTTAGGGTTTAGGGTTTAGGGTTTAGGGGTTTGGGTTTGGGTTTTTGAGGTTTAGGGCTTAGGGCGTCACGTCTTTTGACGTGGGTTTTGGTTTCGGACTTGCTTCGGGTTCGGGGGCCTTGGGGTCTAGGCTTTTGGGAGAGGATTTTGTGGGAGTCCGTTCGGGTTTAGGCATGTCCAAGATTCCCCAATACTCCCCACGGCCCCCGTTGACCCCCCCACCCCTCCCCTCCCCTGAAGAACCCTTGGGGTCTGTCCGGAAGAACCCTAAACCCTAAACCCGAAATCCGAAACCCTAAACCCTAAACCCTCAACACACGAGGTTCGGCGACCTCATCGATGGCTTGGGAGCCACCATGTTCACCAACTTCGACATGGCTGCCATGTCGAACATGACCGCCGCAGAGCAGACTGCAGCAATCGAGGCCTAAACCCGAAACCCTGAACCCTAAACCCTAAACCCTAAACCCTAAACCGTAAACCCTAAACCCTAAGCCCCCTTGAGTCGTCGTGGTGCATGTCGCGAGCGCTCCGGTCATGTGGGTTTAGCAGCTTGCGCTCCGAGCCCAGAGCCCCAAAGCACCAAACTCCTGTTGGAAGTTCATAGTTAACTCAGTGGACATTTCATATTATCCTTTATGGGGTTTTTTGAGGATCATCTTCAGGAATGTTTTTCAGAGGGTTTTAGGGGCCTGACCCTTGCACCCCTAAACCTGGCATCCGCGAGAAAGATGAACCGTAGCCAATGCATTCCCACAGAGTATTTTGCTGCGGCCTGAGAAAGTATCGGCCAAATTTACATGTACAGGGTTGCGTCGACACTTGGCAGAGAAAGAATGAGCAGCTGCCACTGACGAGGCGGGTCAAAGATGCAGGCCCACAACATCTAGCAGAGCAACTTAACTGGCTCTGAATGGGGAATAAGGGTTCCTTTAAAAATCCTTTTTTTCTCCCAGGCTTGCACAGCGGGAATGGGGAAATGAAGAACAAGTAAGGAAAGGTAGCAACAGCAAATGAAGATACTCCAAGCGCGAGACCTTCCTCGGCCGGCAGGAAGGGCTCCGGTACCTCCCAAACCTTAACGCCTCTGCTGGTGCAAACTAAGCCCCTGAAGCGCCTAAACCCCAAAACCCCAAAACCCCAAACCCAAAAACCCAAAAACCCCAAACCCCAAAACCCCAAACCCTAAACCCTAACCCCAAAATCTGAACCCCAAACTCAAACCCCAAAACCCCCCAAACCCAAACCCTAAGCCCCAAACCCTAAACCCTAAACCCTAAACCCTAAACCCTAAACACTAAACACTAAACCCTAAACCCATTTGGGTGGCGTTGCCGCCTTGGACGGCGTGGGGTGGGAGAAAAGTGTTAGATGGCCCTCCACAATCGGGCCAAAGCTGCTAGCTTGTTCCGAAACCTAATCTTCACAGCATCTACGCCCTATCACAGCAAACCCTAAACCCTAAACCCTAAACCCTAAACCCTAAACCCTAAACCCTAAACCCTAAACCCTAAACCTTAAACCCTAAACCCTGAACCCTAAACCCTAAACCCCGGAACCCCGGAGTCGCCTTTTGCAGGCGCTGACGGCGGAAGCCCAGGCTGTCATGCTCCAGAATGCGACTCCTTTGCAGCCTCCCCTCAGGGTTCAGGGTTTAGGGTTTAGGGTTTAGGGTTTAGGGGTTAGGGATTAGGGTTTAGGGTTAGGGGTTAGGGTTCGGCAGCCTCCCTGTTCAGCCCCAAACCGCAGAGCTGCTCAAGTTCGGGCTAAAGAGGGGATTTAGGGTTTGGGATTTGGGGTTTGGGGTTTAGGGTTTAGGGTTTAGGGCTAGGACCCAGGGGGGGGGAGGAGGCTCCTTGAGCCCCTGTGAACCAAACAGGGCGCCCTCTTTATTCCGAGGTTACTTGGGCTAGAGGGGGTTTGGGCTTGGGGGTTTAGGGATTTGGGGTTTTTATGGCTTCGGGCCCAAAACTCGAAACCTCAAGGTTTCGGGTTTAGGGTCTAGGGTTTGGGTTTCGGGTAGTTGTCCAGTATCCTCGGGAAACTAAAGGTGAAACTTTTGGGTTACAATGGGAATATAAGAGCCCAAAAAGGTTAAAGGCTACCTGCTCTACCTACTAAGTCAAGGCCCCTTACTTGAAGGTTCATGGTACTTACTAACCAATTATAACTGGGCTTATAACCCTACTTATAATTGGGATAACCCCTATAAGGCCCTTTAGGGGTATTATAAGTAGGGTTATAAGTACAGTTATGATTGGTTAGTAAGTACCATGAAGCTTCAAGTATCACACGTACCCAAGCCCGCGGACCCCACCAAGGTGGGCGAAACGGCGATCAACTTCATTCTGCGTCTCGGGCCATCTCGGGTTCATGTTGTAAAGGGACTCTGGGGCATCTGGCTCCCTACCTGGGTAGGCGGCGCCTAATCCAGTTTGTGGGCTTTAGTGCCTTTCAGGCCAAGCACCGGAGCCTACAAACCCTGAGTCGACCCTTTACCATTTTCTTTTGGTTCTGGTTTCCCTTACAAAGTAACAAAAAAAATGATTACTGGGCTACCAAGCCATAGATGTGAGCTGGAACTTAGGATTTCTAGCGTCCAGGGCTTTAGGAACCTTGGGGCTTTAGGGTTTTTAGAGGGGTTTTGTGAAGTTTTAGGGGTTTAGGGTTTCAGGGTTTTGGGGGTTTAGGGTTTAGGGTTTAGGGTTTAGGGTTTAGGGTTTAGGGTTTAGGGTGTAGGGTGTAGGGTTTAAGGGTTCTGGGGTGTCGGGCCCTCGGGTTTGGGGGTTTAAGGTTTAGGGAAACACCTTTTGCTTGTGTAATTTCGGTTCAGGGCAGGGTTTAGGGGGTAGGGTTCAGGGTTTAGGGTTCAGGGTTCAGGGTTCAGGGTTTAGGGTTTAGGGTTTAGGGTTTAGGGTTTAGGGCTAGGGTTTAGGCGGATGAACCCCAGAGAGCGCCTCCCAGGATCGGCTGTGGCGTCTGTGTCGCCGCCTCCCTGCAAGGGTGGGGCTTCGCGTACTTCGCCGACAGCCAGGTGTCTCGGCTGGGGTTTAGGGTTTAGGGTTTAGGGTTTAGGGTTTTAGGGTTTTAGGGTTTTAGGGTTTTAGGGTTCAGGGTTTAGGGTATAGGATTTCTGGCTGTTCTCTGAGGGGTTTTGTTAGTTAGGCGTGTCTCGTCTGATCTTTCTCTCCGCAGAGAGTGTCTGCCTGCCTGCCTGTCTGTCTGTCTGCCTGTCTCTGTGTGTGTGTGTAAACACCTGAACATGGTGATCAGTCATTCTCTGTCTATTCCAGTCTGCAGGAGGGCAGAGGGGGTGTGGGGGTGGCTCTGCCCACCGAAGCTCCCCACCCCTACCCCTGGTAAACGTACCTGCGTTGGTTTGTGCCTGGACTCAGTCTAGAGTAGCTGGTAGGCCCTCACTTCATTTTCGTCTCCACTTCATTTCGTGCTGCACCATTCCTCTGAGTCTGGTACAGCGAGGCAGGACCCTGCCTCATGTTTGCATCACCTCATCAAGTTTGCACATGCCATTCCTTGTGTCTGGCATGTCTGGTACAAAATCTTCACGTCACCTTCATGCCCCAGACACCCTTAAGATTGCACACAGCATCAGTTCATGCCAAGCCAAAGTGAGTGAGTGTGTGTGTGTGTGTGTGTGTGTGTGTGTGTGTGTGTGTGTGTGCGTGTGTGTTGGTTTGGGGGTTTAGGGTTTATGGCCTAGGGCTTACGGGCTTCTGTGGGCTTTGTTTGGGGTAGGTACTTGGAGAGTCATGCAACTGTGCATAAAACACCCAATTATAACCCTATTGGGGTGCTTAAGGGCCCTGAGTGGGACATAACTAACATAGGGGTCGGAATAGCTACTAATCATATTCCCTTCTGGTCCGTTTGTAATTCTACTACAAACCCTATTCTAGTTATTCAGGCCCCTATATTACACATGCAATTGGGTGATAAGTGCCCTGAACCTCCAAGTGAGGGGGAGACCAGCCTGCCGAAACGCCAAAGGTGAAGAAGATGAGGCCATTGCATCTTGGATGCCCTTCAGCCCAGGAAGCCTAAGCCCTAAACCCTAAACCCTAAACCCTAAACCCTAAACCCTAAACCCTAAACCCTAAACCCCAAACCTTAAACCCTAAACAACCCAAAGCCCGAAGCCTAAGCCCTAAACCCTAAACCCTAAACCCTAAACCCTAAACCCTAAACCCTAAACCCTAAACCCTAAACCCTAAACCCTAAACCCTAAACCCTGAACCCAAGCCCCAGGTACTTCGACCTGATGCTTCACCGAGATGTGGGCTGGTTCGACACACATAGCCCCGGTGCTTTGCCAGGCGGGACCAGGGTTCAGGGGTTTCAAGGGCTTTTAGAGTTTCAGGGTTCTTAAGGGCTTAAAGGGATTTCAGGGTTTTGTGGGTTTTAAGGGCTTCAAGGGCTTTTGAGGGTTTTAAGGGCTTTAAGGGCTTTAAGGGCTTTGAGGGCTTTAAGGGCTTGAAGGGCTTCAAGGGCTTTAAGGGCTTTAAGGGCGTTAAGGGCTTTAAGGGCTTGAAGGGCTTGAAGGGCTTTGAGGGTTTTAAGGCCCTTACGCGTTCTTAGCGGCTTTAAGGGTTTGGGGTTTATTAGAGGGTTTTAGAGTTTCGAGTTTAGATTTGGGGTGTAGGGTTTTGCGAGTTCTGTGTTCGGCGTTTAGCATTAAAAGGGGTTGGGGTGTGGGTTTTAGGGTTTTGGGTTTTAGGGATTTGGAGGGGGGCGGGTCGGGGTTTCGCGTTTACGGGTTTAGGGCTTAGGGTTTGGGTTTTAGGGTTCAGGGGTTTCACAGGTATGGGGTTGTAGGCTTTCGGCTTTTACGGGGTTAGGGTATCTGTTTTTTCAGGGTTTGACGTTTAGTAGTTTTAGGTTAGGGTTTGGGGTGTGTGTGGGGGCTTTTCGTGTTTGGAGGTTTCGTAGCCCTCGTTGGTATGTGGTAGCAATGGTGAAGTTCGTTGGTTTCAACATCAGTTGTACAGAGTCCCTGAACCCAAGAACCGTGTCAGCCCAAACATCAAATAGAACGGGCTTCTCAAAGTTTCCCTTGAGGGTTTAGGGGATATGGGCCCTAAATGTAGTCCCCTACCTCCTTTCAAGGGTTCTGAAGTATGGGCCCCTAGGTTGTATAGGCTTCGTCAGGGGTAAATCAGGGGTCCCGTAGTCCTAAAACCTAAGCCCCAAACCCCAAACCCTAAGCCCTAAACCCTAAACCCCGGGGGCCCAATGTAACTACCCTTAGACCCCTGGTCTAGGCGAGATGATGGCGGACTTGGAAGCCTTGCACGAAGGACTCCCGGCAGCAAGGATGGTATCCTAAACCCTAAACCCTAACCCTAAACCCGAAACCCGAAACCCTAAACCCTAAACCCTAAACCCTAAGCCCCAAGATTCCTCGTACCTCCCCGGAAGCTTGGGAGGGGGTTCCCCAAAATTAGTGGTGTTCCGCAGAGGCCCGAGGCCACAGCACGGAAGAGCAATGCCCAATATCTGGGGCTTCGGGTTTAGGGCTCAAGGGTACGGGGACCCTAACCCCTAAACCCTAAACCCTAAACCCTAAACCCTAAACCCTAAACCCTAAACCCTAAACCCTAAACCCTAAACCCTAAACCCTGAACTCTAAACCCTGAACTCTTCAGCCTCCAAATCCTGAAGCTCCCACAGTCGTAGAAGCTCGAGGCGCTCCCCACCTTACTTCCCAAAGTAGCCTCCAAGAACCCCTTAAACCCTTAGACCCTAGAACCCTAGAACCCGACAACCCGAAAACCCAAAAACCCAAAAACCCGAGATCCCAGACCCTAGAGCCCAGCGCCTTGCCAAGCCTTCGGCACCAAGCCCTAAACCCTAAACCCTAAATCCGAAAACCTAGACCCTAGACCTTAAACCCTAAATCCTAATCCTAAACCCTAAACCCTCAACCCTAAACCCTAAACCCTAAATCCTCGCCTTGCCAAGCCTTCGGCACCAAACTGGGCGTGAGCGTCATGTCCTTCTCGGGCTTGGTCATTGGCCTCACCGTGGGATTCATCCTGTCGAATGCTCAGCTAAGGTTCAGGGTTTCGGGTTTAGGGCTTAGGGTTAAAGTCTAGGGTTCGAATGCTCAGGGGTTTTAGGTTTTTTTTTTTTTTTTTTTTTTTTTGGGGGGGGGGGGGGGGGGGGGGGTGCTGCTTGTCAAAGAATATGATTCCCTTCCAAACCTATCGTTCGGAGCATTGTGTTTGCAAAGGGGCTTTGTTAAGCCGTGCAAGCTTCCTTAAGACACCGTAGGAATCCCTTAAAAGAGGCTGCTATTTACAGTTTTGGCAGCCTCTGAAAACATAGAACAGCTGCTATTTACGGTAGTTGCCAAGCCAAGCCGAGCCACACCTTCAAAAAAAAACATGCCCGAGCCACGCCTTAAAAAGAAACTTAAAACACTCCGCCGGTTGGGGGTTTCGGGTTCAGGGTTTCGGGTTTAAGGTTTGGGGTTTGGGATTTAGGGTTGAAGTCTGGAGTTCTGGGGGGAGCCTCTTAATATGAGCTGCTTTGCATAGAAGGGTACCTATCTGGAACCGTCTAGATCAACCACTAGGGGGTTTCCGAAATTCGGGGACCTTGTTTGGGGTCCTTACTATAAGGGAATCCTTCGGCACCTCAGCAAGGGCGTCTTCGTGTCTTCTGTCGCAGACAGTCAAGTTGCGCTTGAACAGTTGGAGCTGTGAGGGGTCTCAGCACAGCTCGAAAGATGCAGTATCAGAAGGCCCCAGGGGAGCTGGTGCAGCCTCACTGATCTACCGATCCAGCCTGCGTCTGCAGGTTCTGCAGATGCTGTCTCTGTAATACTTGGTTGCGTATCTTCTGCAAACTAGACACGGAGAGAGAGAGAGAGAGGACCAGATAGATACCTAGACTCCACCACTCCCCCCACCGAATCCCGAACCTTAACCCTGAACCCCAAACCCCGAACCGTGCATTCCTTGCCCTGAGACCCTCGAACCCTCAAACCCGGAGCCGTACTTGGAGGTTCATGGGTACTTCTAACCCCAATAATAAGTCCACTTATAACCGACTTAGGGGACTTAGGGGGTTTATAAGTACAGTTATAATTAGAGTTATAAGTGCCCATGAACCTCCAAGTACGATGCCGGAGGTCGTGGCAGATTGCCCTGCTCATGCTTGCCACGCTGCCCTTGATGGCGGGAGGAGCAGTTATCATGCCGGGGGCCCCTAGGGTTTAGGGTTTAGGGTTTAGGGTTTAGGGTTCAGGGTTTAGGGTTTAGGGTATCCAGAAATTCTAGATTTTGGGTCCCTTTTTGGGTGCCCCAAAAATAGTAGGGCCTTACAAGAAGGACCCCCAAACAAAACACTAACTTAGAGAACTGCCCAGAAGGACTCAGGGTTTAGGCTTCAGGTGCTTCGGGGCTGGCGGGCTTTGGTGTTCAGCTGACGATCCCGAAGCAACCTCAAGAGGCTGGGCATTCGGTTTAGGGTTTAGGGTTTCGCCTGGAGCCTCTGCTCAAGGTCGGGCCGGCTCCTTTCATGATGCAAGGGGGGGGGTACCCTGCACGACTTTGGGGATTTCAGGGTCTGGGGGCTCGACTTCCTCGACCCCCGGCAGTCTAAGCCCTAATCCCTCTACCCTTCAAGCTCCTTACTTGGAGGTTCATGGGTACTTCTTACCTTACTGAAAAGTCTGCTTCACACCTGCTTAGAAGACTTAGGGGACTTCGAAGTGCAGTTACATTTGGGGTTTCAAGTACCCGGCTCCTAGGGCTTGAGTGTCCCTAAACCCCAAACCCTAAACCCTAAACCCTAAACCTTAATCCCTAACCCTAAACCCTATACCCTATACCCTAAACCCCAAAAGGTCGTCCGCAGTGCTGGATTTCGTGCGACCCGGCCTTTGCAGACAGCGGCCGTGGGACATTCTGAGCGAATCTAGGGTCAGCTCGGGTCTTAGGGTGTAGGGCTCCATCTAGCTAGAGTCTAGTGCTCGCTATGTTATAGTTATGTCAGGCAAAGAGGATCTCTGTTAGGGTTAAGGGTTTAAGGTGCAGGGTTTTAGTTTTGGCTTTACAGGCCACCGTAAACCATGAGCAACCATGAGCCCGAAGCCCGAAACCCTAAGCCCTAAACCCCAAACCCTAAACCGTGGGACAGGATCCCGGACAATCCCCGGATCGCAGGACTTCATGGTCTCCGAATCCCCAAACCCCGAGCCTGAAGGTCCAAGTGTTTAGGGTTTGGGGTTTAGGGTTTAGGGTTTAGGGTGGGGGCTTCAGGGTTAGGGAATCAGGGATTGCTGTGGAGCAACATTGTGTTTGTTACTCCCCACGACCGCCCTCCCTCAAGAAGCCCTTGATTTTTTGAAGCCCGCCCTAAAACCCTTCCGCCCTAAAACCTTGAACCCTACACCCTGGGCTACCCTACGCCCTAAACCCTAAACCCTAAACCCTAAACCCTATACCCTAAACCCTAAACCCTAAACCCTAAACCCTAACCCTAAACCCTAAACCCTAAACCCTAAACCCTAAACCCTAAACCCTAAACCCTAAACCCTAAACCCTAAACCCTAAACCCTAAACCCTAAACCCTAAACCCTAAACCCTAAACCCTAAACCCTAAGCAGCACGAGGCAAGAAGCGCAGGGCCCTTACGAGAAGGCTGCAACCCTGGCGGACGAGATGCTCTTTGCCATCCGCACTGTCGCCGCCCGGACGTGGCACAGAGTAACTTTGCGTGTTGACGGTTTAGGTTTAGGGTTTAGGGTTTAGGGTTTAGGGTTTAGGGTTTAGGGTTTAGAGTTTAGAGTTTAGGGTTAGGGTTTAGGGTTTAGGGTTTAGGGTTTAGGGTTTAGAGTTTAGGGTTTAGGGTTGAGGGTTTTAGGCTCTTGGGTGCTTTGTTTTCTGGAGTTTGGGGGTCATTGGTTTGGTTTCTTCCACAGGCGATTCCTTTAGGGGCCGGAAGAATTACCCATTGTTCCCCGATGGTCTCTGTATAAGTATACGATCATATCCCCCAAACCCTACTCTAATTGTTAAGGCCCCGATAGTACACCTGCCCAAAGCGCATTGCGTGAATCTGAAGGGAGGGCCTTTAGGGAGAATCAGGAGCCTGCACAACCCTAAACCCTAAACCCTAAACCCTAAACCCTAAACCCTAAACCCTAAACCCTAAACCCTAAACCCTAAACCCTAAACCCTAAACCCTAAACCCCTAAACCATAAACCCTAAACCCTAAACCCTAAACCCTAAACCCTAAACCCTAAACCCCTAAACCCTAAACCCTAACCCCTAAACCCTAAACCCTAAACCCTAAAGCCCCCCTAAAACCCGGTCCCTCTACCCGACCTGAGGTCGCCTTTGGCGGCGAGGACCCGTCATGTCAAGTCCAGTCAGGGTTTAGGGTTTAGGGTTTGTTTGGGGTTTGGGGTTTAGGGTTTTGGCATGTGATATGGGTCGTTCTCTAAGTGAGGGTCCTTTTTGGGGTCCTTTTAAGGGTGCCGTAGTATATAGTATACTTGCAATGTTTGTGGTCCTGCCCGGATGCGTCAGTTCTCGTCATGCTTCTTTCCTGGGGGTTCCTGCGAGGCGCGTGAGATCCGCCGCTATTCTGCAGCTGTTGAATCTGCATCAAGAGGAGGCAGGAAAGCAGCGCCAGCCTTGTGAATTCTGTGAGCTCTTTGCATTGCATGTTGAACCCTGAACCCTAACCCTAAACCCTAAACCCTAAACCCTAAACCCTAAACCCCTAAACCCTAAGCCCTAAACCCTAAACCCTAAAACCCTAAACCCTGAACGCTAAACCCTAAAACCCCTGGCATCATGTAGAGCGACGCCGCAGGCCTCCGGAACCGAATTAAGACCGGCGTCGGCACCTTCGCAAGCACTAGTCACGTCATGGAGCTGTCTGTTGTCATCACGCTGTCCCTAAACCCCAAACCCTAGACCCTAACTAAGCCCTAAACCCTAAACCCTAACCTGCCAATTGCTCTTGCGGAGATTCAGTTGGTTTTTTTCTGTTCGACTTTTTCTGTCGCTGGGACATACTCGCATCTTCCGGTTTGTATGCTTGTTAGATTGCTACTTCGAAGAACGCTAGACCCAAGACTAAAACCCTCAAGCCCTCCACAAACCTAAACCCCGACCTCACAACCCCCCCCCCCCCCCCCCCCCCCCAAAATGCGTCCGAGGCATGGGCTACATATGGTTCGTGTACTTTGCGGCAATGGCCTTGGCATTCTGGTTCGCGTCGAAGCTGATGTATGATGGCCAGGAGGACAGGGCTCACCCTAAGCCCTTTAGGGTTTCGTAGTATTTCCCTACGTAGCAGGGTTTACGGGTTTTTCGGGCATAGGATCGCCAGACCCTGCCAGGATCTGACCTCGGGGAAAGTCATGGCAGCTTTTACTTGCCGCTGCGCAGAACATAACGTTCACAGGGCTTGTAGGGCTTCAGCTGGGGTGCTGCTGGCTCAAATGCATTTGCGCTATGTTTTGATTTTACTTGAGACTGGATCTAGCCTCAGAAGTCGTCCGCGATGCTCCTGCCCCACATCTCCTGAAGTAATATGGGGTCCTGCATACTTAATTAGAATCGGGCTTTGGGGGTTATTCTAGTATGCATATGATATATAGGTGACCATAAGGGAATACAATCCCTAAACTAAACACTAAACCCTAAACCCGAAGCCCTAAGCCCTAAACCCTACACCCTAAAACCCTAAACCCTAAACCCCTGTTTTGGATGTTGAGGCGTTCTCACCGTGGGCTTCATGGTCGGCAACATTGCCCCGGGATTTGCCAACATCGCGGTGGCGAAGGCAGCCGCGCTCACACGACTCTTCGCAAGACCGAGGTTTTTCCCTTTAGGGTTTAGGGTTTAGGGGGGTAGGTTTAGGGTTTAGGGTTTGGGGTTTAGGGTTTAGGGTTTCGGGTTCAGAGTTACATCTCAGCACTAGGTCGTCCTCTACGCGCTTTTGTCGCGAAGGTGCTGTTGCCAAGACATAAGGCCTTCGGCCTAGGGCTTAGGGTTTGGGGCTTAGGGTTGAGGGTTTAGGGTTTAGGGCTTAGGGTTTAGGGGTTAGGGTTTAAGGTTTAGGGTTTAGGGATGATTGATAACCCAGAAGCCCTAAACCCTGAGCAGAGCGTTTGTCCTTCAGGGCGTGAGCGAGCCACAGAAGCTTGACGGAAGGACACCCTAAACCCTAAACACTTCACTAAACCCTAAACCCTAACCCTAAACCCTAAACCCCAAACCCTAAACCCTAAACCGTAACCCCTACACCCTGAATCCTCTTCAAGCCCCCTGATGCTGCGCAGGCTTCCATGGCCAGGTTCTTTTACCTGGCACCTGGGCACATTGTGGTGTTTAGGGTTTAGGGCTAGGGTTTAGGGTTTAGGGTTTAGGGTTTCGGGTTTAGGGTTTAGGGTTTAGGGAGTAGGGTTTAGGGGTTAGGGTGTCGGGTTTAGGGTTTATGGTTTAGGGTTTGGGGCTTAGGGTGTAGGGCTGGGGTTTAGGGTTCAAGGTTCAGGGTTCAGGGGTTAGGGTTCACAAGTTCAGGGCTTTGGGGGTTTCGGGTTTCGGGTTGGGTGTTTCGAGTTCAGGGTCCAGGCTTTAGGGCTCAGGGTTCAGGACTTTCTTGAATGTGGGGTTTAGTGATTCGGCTTTAGGGATTTGGGCTTGCAGGTGGAGGTTGCGGTGTAGTCTTCAAGGACCTGAGATCAGATGCCTGACATCCTTGCATCCGAGGTGAACCATGAATCTACGATTCAGAAACGCTCTCTGGCAGATTTGGGCATAGGGTTTAGGGTGGGGTTTAGGGTTTAGGTTTAGGGTTGAGGGTTTAGGGTTTAGGCTTTTGATAGCACGAAGCCTAAAAGCCCCTAGTCCCTAAACTGTAAGCCCCAACGAAGACAACGAAGGCAACCGGCTCGAGTGGTCCCAAGCTGTCTTGCTCAGGGCTTACGCCCTTCACAGGGCTTAACCCTAAACCCTAACCCCCCCCCCCCCCTTTAAGCCCTCGTTGCCATCGAGGACTTCGCGATGATCGCGAGGTGATCGGGCCAATCGAGACGCTTCAACTGGACGAGGTCCACTTCGCGTACCCGGCGCGGCCGGACATCAAAGTACTCCACGGCCTCTCCCTGACCATCCAGAAGGCGAAATTTGGGTTTTGGGGCAACCCTAAACCCTAAACCCTAAGCCCGAAACCCTAAGAGAGTTGTAACGATACACTTGTGTCCGCTCAAGAGGGCAAAACTCGCCTGCAAGAATAGCTACGGGACTAACCGCAGTATAGCAACCAGGTGGTTTTGGGGCTTTGAGGTTCAAGGCTTCAGCTTGCGTGCGTCTTTAGGGAAGGTTACCGTCTGAAAAAAGCTTGGCACCCATGAGCCTGCAACAAGCTCAAGCCCGAAACCCCGACAACGCAAACCTGAGATCCCAATTCCTAAAACCCTAAACCCTGAACCCGAGACCCGAAACCCTAAACCCTAAACCCTAAACCCTAAATCCTAAACCCTAAACCCTAAACCCTAAACCCTAAACCCTAAACCCCAGCAGCCCGGTCGTCTCGGGGCCCCCAAGACCCTCTGAGCAGCCCTCTTGCGAAGGGCCAGAAGGTGGCGGTGGTGGGGGAGTCTGGCAGTGGCAAGAGCCTCCACCCATTCATTTCGTCGGTTTAGGGTTTAGGGTTTAGGGTTTAAGCTTTGCGGTTTAGGGTTTAGGGTTTGGGGTTTGGGGTTTAGGGTTTAGGGTCCAGAGCCCCAAGCCCCAAGCCCTAAACCCTGGGTGGTCGAGTAGGTTCCTGCGAGTCTGATGCCTCGGGTTGGAGGTCAGAGTTACTCCTTGTAGTCATGGGTTCTTCAAATATTTGCTTAAGAACCCCACAAGACAAAAGTAATCCGCATATTACCCTTATGAGGAAGACAGCTGTCTTTTGATTTTTTTGGGGTTCTCAAGCAAATACAGTAGTACCAAGATAGGTTTCCTCACCACCCTCTGAAATCTCCCTAAGCCTCTTAGAAGCTTGCCACAGGTTGGGTTCAGGGTTAGGGTTTGGGGCCCTGAACCCTGAACCCTGAACCCCAAACCCTAAACCCTAAACCCTAAACCCTAAACCCTAAACCCTAAACCCTAAACCCTAAACCCTAAACCCTAAACCCTTGAAGCACCTGGTAAGGAGCACCATCATGGCCCTCCTGGAGCGCTTCTACGACCCCCTGGAGGGCGCGGTGCGCGTGAACGGCAAGGATCTGAGGCCGAAGGGCGGGCGTTTCGGGCTTGGGGTTTAGGGTTTAGGGTTTAGGGTTTAGGGTTTAGGGTTTAGGGTTTGGGGTTTAGGGTTTAGGGTTTAGGGTTTGGGGTTTAGGGTTTCAGATTCGGGTTTAGGGTTTAGGATTTAGGATTTGGTGTTTAATTAGAGTTTAGTTGACTGTAGATCCTGTGACCTGCTGGTTCTTAGTAGGGAATCAGGGCAGGGCGTTGGGCATAGTATCTTATGTTTCCCTGTATGTATGTACACATACATACATATAAATATAAACATAAATATAAATATAAAAATAAATATAGATACAAATATATATATATAAATATAAATAAAAAAATAAATAAACAAACGATAAATAAATAGATAAATAAATAAATATAAATATAAATATAAATATAAATATAAATATATATATATATATATATATACGTACCCTTGAAGGCTCCATTCCCGACGGAGAGCCAGTAGGGAAATGGTTCGCCTTGGGAGGAACATCAACATTCAGTCCTACCGCAAGCAGATCGGCTATGTGGGCCAGGCCCTCTGCTCTTCGCTTCCACTTCCTGCCATTTCTGCCCTTCTCGGCTCTTCGTCTCTTCTTCTGGGACATGAATCTCAAGCCCCTCGTTGCTTTCAAGTTGCTTTTGGAGTTTCTGACGGGATACCCTAAACCCTAAACCCGAAACCCTAAACCCGAAACCCTAAACCCTAACCCTAAACCCTAAACCCTAAACCCTAAACCCTAAACCCTAAACCCTAAACCCTAAACCCTAAACCCTAAACCCTAAACCCTAGACCCTAGACCCTAGACCCTAGACCCCAAACCCTAAACCCTAAAGCCTAAACCCCCCTCCGCAGGAGCCCGTGCTCTTCGCCACCAGTGTCCGCGAGAACATCCTGCAGGGGAGCAGTGGCGCTTCCGAAGAGGACCCAGGGGCTTGGTTTTGGGGCTTTTCAGGGCTGTTAGGATTTAGGGTTTAGGGTTTAGGGTTTGGGGGGCTTTTAGGGCTTTTAGGAACTTTAGGGCTCTTAGGGTTTAGGGTTTAGGGTTAGTGAGGGTTTAGGGTTTTTAGGGCCTGGTTTGGGGCTTTTAGGGCTATCAGGGCTCTGGGCTCTAAGGGTTTAGGGTTTAGGGTTTAGGGCTTAGGGCTTTCAGGGTTTAGGGTTAAGGGTTCGGGGGCTTATGACCCCGAACCCTAAGCCCTAGGTTGAAGGGTCTAAGACCTAGCCCTAAACTCGAAAGATTTTGCACCCAAGCATCCGCACCCCAAGCCGCCCTTGAACCAGCCTTAGGCTGAAAGCATCTTACGCCCTCTAAACCTGAACTCAAAGGACCAAGTCCAAATTTTTGTCAAGGCATGCAGTTCGTGGGTCGGTATTAAGGGGGTTCACTCCTGTTGTAGGGCCTTCCTAGGTAGGATAAGGGGGACCCTTAAAAGGGAACCCCTTCTTAACCCTCTTCTGGCTCTCTTAAACAGGGACCTTATTCAGAGGGTCTATATCCCCAAATTTCCCCCTAATCCTATCCCCTAGGCCTAAGCCGAAACCTGAAAGCCTCGGCCCCCAACCCCGAAACCCTACCATCCTTAACCTTGCAAACTGCCCTGAACCTTCAACCCAAAACCCCCAAAACCCCAAAACCCCGAAACCCGGCACCATCAGCCTGATAAACTAAGCCCTAAAATCCTGATGAGCCTGAAGCCTGACCCTAAACCCTAAACCCTAAACCCTGAACCCTAAGCCCTAAACCCTAAAAACCCTGAACCCTAAACCCTAAACCCTAAACCCTGAAAACCCTGAACCCTGAACCCTGAACCCTGAACCCTAAACCCTAAACCCTAAACCCTAATCCTTGAACCCTCAACCCCTGAACCCCGAAACTCTGGTAAGCCCAGGACTTCGAGGCCGCTGTGAAGCAGGCCCCGCCGCCCTTTGCACATTGAGGGGTGTTGGCGTTTAGGGTTCAGGGTTTAGGGTTTAGGTTTAGGGTGGGTGTTTGGGGCTTTTGGGGTTTAGGGTTGTTGTAGGGGGTTTAGGGTTTTCGGGCTTTAGGGTTTTTAGAGGGTTTAGGGAGCTTTAGTAGGGGTTTTACGGGTTTTAGGGGTTTTGGGGGTTTTGGGAGTTTTGGGGTTGTGGGGGGTTTAGGGGTTTTAGGTGTTTAGAGGGATTGTGTTACCACCTAGTAGAATCCCTATCAAGGACTATCAAGGACTGCTAGTATAGGGGGGGGGACATCCCAAACCCCAAGCCCCAAACCCCAAACCCCAGACCCCAAACCCAAAACCCCAAACCCCAAACCCCGAACCCCGAACCTCGAACCCCGAACCCCGAACCCCCAACCACCAACCCAAAACCCCAAACCCCAAACCCCGAACCCCAAACCTCAAACATCAAACCCCAAACCCCAAACCCCAAACCCAAACCCCAAACCTCGAGCCCTAAGCCCTAAACCCTAAACCCAAGACCCTAAACCCCAAACACTACACCCTAAACCCTAAACCCTAAACCCTAAACCCTAAACCCTAAACCCTAAACCCTAAACCCTAAACCCTAAGCCCTAAACCCTAAACCGTAGCATCTTTTGGCTGCCAGAGAAGGCGCAGCTGGACTTCGTCCAGGCGCTGCCCAACGCCTTCGAGACCTACGTGGGTTCGGGAGGGTGATGGCCTCGGGGTTCTTGGGGGGCATTTTACTACTATTTGACTCTTCTCATATTATCAATTCTTTGTATCATCAGAATTGTTATTATTACTATTGTTATTCTTACCATAAAAATAAGAGTGATAATATTTAACACTAATAACAATAGTAGTAATAGTAATCACAACAACAACAACAACAACAACAACAACAACAACAACAACAACAACAGTACTAATAATGATAAAATAATAAGAATAGAAATAATACTAATAATAATAATACGAATAATAATACGAATAATAATACTACTCAGAATAAAAATACTAAAATTAAGAATAACAATAATACCAGTAATAACGATGATGTTAATAACAACTATAATTACTATTTATTCTTATTATTCTTACTACTACTGTTGTTAATATTATGGTTGTGCGTGTTTTTTCAAGGGGGGAGGGTCACAACCAAGAGCAGAAGATTCCTCATAAGGTGGCCTTGAATGTCTAGGGGTTTGTCTTTTCACGGCTTTAGGGCACAGGTTTTGGGGTTTAGGGTTTAGGGTTTAGGGTTTAGGGTTTAGGGTTTAGGGTTTAGGGGCTTACGCGTGGCTCGTCCGGAAGCTCCGGCACCCAGCACAGGTGTTGAAGCAAGGAAGGGTGTAGGGAAGTGGGTCCTGAGGCCGCAAGATGCATGTTTCGTCTTGGCAGGGGGTTTAGGTAGGCCTAGCCCCCTAAACCTCTAAAGAAGATCCTGAGGTCCTAAACCCTAAACCCTAAACCCTAGACCCTAGACCCTAAACCCTAAACCCTAAACCTTAAACCCTAAACCCTATACGGGGGCAACCGAAAGGGAACAGGGAAAGAAACCAACGCTCAACAGTCGCCTATATGGATTTCCCAGATCGAACCAGAAACAAGAACACCCACCCCTAAGGGGACAGGATAAGGGAGAAGGGACGGGACTACTCCACCCCGTTAAACCCAACCCCAGGCGTACGTACTTTTTCAACAAAAGCTGACGGCTCTTGGCCATCTTGAGCCAAACAAGATTTCCGGGTTCATTGACCCTTCCAACTCCCAACACTAACTCCTTTCTACAATACCAGTTGCAGCTCCGCACTCCCCCTGTCCTAGGATTTCCTAGGACACATTGGAGGTGCAGATCTTTTGGCCAAAAACTGCCATTAAGGCAGCAGCCAGCTGCTTGAAATGCACAATATGGTTTTACGTCATCCAGGACGAAATTATAGCGCATTGGCTAACCCACTAACCACAGAGAATCTTTTTCCACCATGATCCTCTTATCATTGAAGACTCTTCGGCCTTCTTCACCACAAACCGTGGTCTTCGCTACGCGAAAAACTACTAACTTCTACTATCAGGGATTTCCATACCCTTAATAGTAACCACCACATTGTCAGCACATTGGCTGTTCCAGCGCACCTGTCTCCAGAAAGAGAAAAACCATCCCTTCATCCATACCATCCAATCACTTCTTTTTCCGATTGTTGGCAATTCTGAGGTGAAGTTGCAGCAGTATATACTCCAGGTCCGAAACTGTAAGAACAGGATCCTGCACGCACCTTTGAATTGAGGATACCAATCCTTCTCTCTTTGCGTCCTCAATCGCTTGGCAAGATTGACCCAGCTCTGCATTCACAGTGGTAGACGCTGGTGCATCCACATCAGATGGACGATCCTCTTCCTCAGGACCTTGCACCATTACCACCTCTTCCTTTTTGGGACTCTGACTTTTCTCCTTCTTCTTCGTCTTTCCACCGACATTTGACTTTGTGCGCATTTTCGAGGCTTTTTCCCCTGCAGAAACCACCGCATTGGATGATGATCCACCCCTCTCAATGTTCGCCGGCATCTTCTTCGGCTTTGGAACCAGAAGAGTGTAAGGATCTTCGATAGCTGCAGCTTTCCTCTTCTTTTTGACCTTTTTCATCTCCTCCTCAACGGCAACCTCCGTCTCCGAAGTCTCAACCACTTCTTTTTCTGCAGGAATATCCTTGCTGGACTCCCTTTCTAGGGACCTCTTTTTTCCCCTTTTGGGATCTTTCTCTTCTCCCACGTTGGCACGCTCGAACCATATCCTCAGGTCATTGACCCATTCTTCCACCTCCGCGAGCGAAACATCATACGACTTCACTACTTCGTGAAGTTCCAGCACGGACAGCATACTAGTGGTCCACGAAACCCATTCTCTATCCATCTGGTCAGCATCTCCATTGAACTTCAGGAGTTTGAACAGTGGGTCCGCCTCTGCTCGAGCCAAATCTGACTTGCCATCGGACAGAAATGAAATCGCCTCCATCAACAGTTCCGTCATTTTGGTATCATCGTCATAAACCATAAAATCCTCCTCACCATCATCGAACTGTTCAGGAGAGATCTCCTTTTCTCCACCTTTTGCACCAGAACTTCTCCTTGGACCATCCCTTGGGGGCGTCCTTGGAGACCTTGGCCTCTGTTCATCCAGCGGAACACCATGCTCGAAGACACACTTGTCACCATAACGACACTTCCCAGACTGAGCAAACTGGATGCACCTCACACCAGTTGCATCATGCGAGAACGCACACTCCTTCCCAGCGAAGCAGGGTCTCCCCGCCACATAGTATTTGCACCAATACGAATGCAGCACCACATCATCTTCTGAATGGATGAATTTGCAGTCTTCACCAAATTTGCAGCGATCTTTTCCCCTGCTGAACCAATAGCAGAAGCCTTTCTTCCTCTTCTCCAAGCGCTCTGCCTCGTACCGGTCCATAGGGCGATTCTGCTCTACATGAACATTGCCATGTACCTGGGAACTGCTCCCTTCACCCAAGGTGCTATCAGTATTTGATGCTTGGAGTACAGCTGGAAAACCTGGCCTTGGTCCTACCACCTTCATGATTGGTTTTCCGCCTGAGACGATCCAAAAACATTGAACATTTTCAGGAAGGCCTTTCTAGCGCCGATCTTCTGCACCCTTTTGATTGGACGTTTCATTGCTCCAACCTTGCATCCAGATGCGTTCAAACGACACAACCTCCTATACCCAGCTCTATATCCCTTCTTCCAAAGAGCCATAAGAATTTAGAGGCAGTAACATTCTCCACCTCTACCTTTTCCAACGGTCCCTCACTTCCCGGAACAAACCCATCCAACCCATCCATATCTGAAGACCTTTCCATCTTTTTTGACACCACTTCGTCGAGGTAGTCTTCCGAGATCCAGGGTAAGTTCCTCTTAGAGGAAGGATTGTCACCATTGTTTGGTCCTTCACCAGGATACCCTTTTGTGCTGTCAAAGATCTTACCAGTAGTGCGGTCCTGCGTAGAGAAATTGGAAGCAACGCGGGAGTACACTGACCACAAGAAAATCCTTGTGTCCGCCAGTCTTGATGACCCACTGGATGTCTCCTCTTCCGGAGAAACTTCTGGCGCTTTGCCATCCCTTCCAGTGTCACCAATTGTCTCACCTCCAGCATCTTCAATGGGGATAAGGGATTCATTGTTCCCTTGATCAAGTACCGCAACCTCCGGTCCAAGAACTTCCAGCACCGCTGTCGAAGGATCCACTTCTTCATCAGCATCGTCGTCCATCCTTCTCCAGAGAACCTCCAATTGATCAGCGCAAGTCGCCGCCTGAAGGAACTCCATCAACTGGGCCCTCCCGCGCTGCCAGAGAAACTCCAAGAACATCACTGACCCTTGAGCTCCTAGGGTAAGGAAAGGATGAACCAATTT